TTGAAACAGGTGGAAGATGATTGATTTATAGCTCAATGCAACGTAATGTTCTGATGACTAACCACACAATCACGCACGGAACAAAAAGAGAACAATCACATAACTTTAAGGTTGAACCTTCCTTCAACTCAAAACCACCAAACAAGTCACAACCTGGCAACACCCTAGGCCTGTAAACGACCACAATAAAGCTCACCCCACCCGTTCCATTGCCCAGGGTCCCACCCAAACCTCTCCCATACCTGGCTCTGCCCTCCCACCGACCCATACCCCTGTCCACCCCCGCGATCCGACCCATTCCCCTCTCTCCCCTCCCCACCCCCACAACAACTTGCATTTATATAGTGTCCTTCGCGCCGGATGGTGTCTCGGAACGCTTAGTAACAGTCTGAAGTACGGAAAACGTTTTGCCTCTGACTGTTTTATTAAAGACAATTTTCTGGGCAGGGTTGGCTGGAACATCTTGCCTGAGGTCCCGGGAGGATTCAGGAACCTCTTTTCGTGGCAAGCGCAGGGATTTTTTCCTGCACCACCAATGCTCTCCCTGAGGAAGGCGGTTGCTTCCTCTTTCCTGGGGACAGTTCTACAGGCAGCAGAAAGACAGGCAGAGTAGAAGAGAACACACCTTGGGGGCAGAGAGCGGCGTGATCAAAGCTTGTGAAAGCCCACCCCAAGCGTGCTCCAAGCAGTTTATTCTCCGCAGATCAGCTGGTACAGAGCTTTACAGAAAGAGCTTCGCGTGTATCACTGCGTGAATCTAGCCGTGGAATCCAACCTGAATCCAAAACGTTCCCCAGCTGAGCCAACCGTGGATACCCTTGTCACAAGTGTCCTGGGACGCTACCCTGCATGTGAGGGGTGCTATATAAATGCAAATTGCTGTTGTTTTTGTTAAAATTGTTACCCAATCTCACACACTTCAAACCCAATTAACAAGTAAACGAACACTTTCGTAGTTTCTGATCACGTTAAAGCATTTGAAAGCATTTACTGTTGATACGTCCTGTTTTGAGTGCAGTGACTGTTTTTGTAAGCCAATGCTGCAACCGTTTTGTGTACATCAAGGAACCCACAATCAATCATGAAGCAAATGACACTTATCAGGAGAAATTGTCCAAGAAGCACGTCAAAAGCTCCCTTCTCTTTTCTCATAGTGTCACGGGACCTAACTGTCGACCTGAACGGGCAATTGGGAACTGGGTCTAACATTTCTCTGAACGATGGCGCGGCCACTCATATCACTCGAAAGGTCATCGACCTGAAATGTTAACTCACTTTCCTCTCTCCATAGATGCTGCCTGACCTGCTGCGCGTTCTCAGAGACTGTCTTTATCTCATACCACTGTACTTGCCTGTCAACTCAAGGTCCTGGTATGGGACATGTATTCAGAGCATTCTGACTGAGGCGAGAGTCTTAACGACTGAGCCAGGCTGACACCTCAAAACAATTTGTCCCGAACAAAAAAAAGGACAGAGGGGAAACTTGACAATGCCTCAATAAAGGCAACAAAATGGGCTTGTCGTAACATGTTCTTGCGATACCTCAAACCAAGGGGATACTATGCCTTCTGTGCCTGGAGGTCATTAATTTGCCCTTTTAAAACGAGACCAAACTGCAAACAAGAGCCACGCACAGGACTGAAGGAAGCTTTTTTGTCATGAACATTGTTCAGAAAATGATGGGCAATCATTTCATGCACAAAAAAAAATGAGAACCTTGAAGGAGAGAGGTTACATTGCAATAAATGACAGGAGCAGAGTCAGGGATTGAGTGAGTGAGTGAGTGAAACTCACACAATAAGTGAACAATAGCCAGTGCTCGTATCTCTATCTCTATCTCTACTCATCCCCGCAAACACCCACGCACCCACTCTCCCTTAACACATACCCTGAGCAACATTCGCAAATCTAAAGGCTCTGTGTCTTTAAATAAAAACCCTGGATCATTTTTTTCCCATTGATTTCCTGTTCAAACGAGAGAAAATCTTTCTCTTTAACCACACACACACATATATATATATATATACATACACATATATATGTATGCACACACACACCCCATCCAGCACTGCTCACTCACTCACTCACTCATGTCCTACCCAAACCTCCTGCCTTTGCAATGTGCATTCAACGTAAGGACAAAGAGAAAAGGGCAACAAAAGAGAGGAAGAGAGGAAAGTTTGCCTGGAGCTGGGGGTGGGGGGGGGGGGGGGTGTAAGCAGCCCTGAGCTCCCTCTGCTCCTCTCCCCTCCCCTGATCTGCCCCACACAAAGAGCGAAGTCTCCCCCCAGGACTAATGAAAGCCACAAAAGGCGAGGTTTGTCCCGAAGAACAGAGAGAGAGAGAGAGAGGGGAGAGACGTCGGAATCACTGCCATTAACTCGTGAGAAGGACAGAGCCTCTGTGTATAAAGCACAGACCCAATGCCACAGAGCAGCAGTTTGCAAACACCCACAACCCAAACCCTCATATTAATCTTAAACCAGACACAAAAGACAGATGGGGTTTTTTTTTGTTGCAAACTTCACTTCCTCGAAGGTCTATGAGAAAAAATGATGGAAAGCCACAAATCATCTCCCAATCAGCCACTGTTCCCTTGCAATCACAACCTCCTCTTTTTTATTTCCCCTCTCTCTTTATTCCCTTTACCTGAGTGAGAGACGTGGCCTTTCCCTTGGCTGGACCTGCCCAGGTCTGCCCTGGCTCCAGTCCCTGCTGAAAGAGGCTCCTTCCAGCTGCAGATCTCACAGCATTGCCACCTGCCTTACAGACCCTTCACCTCCTCCCAGACTGGCCAAACTGGGGCAGAGCCTCCTGGTTCTGGGCAGCTGAGAGAGGGAGGGAGGGCCAGGAGGCCAGACAACACACACACACACACACACAATGGGAAACACAGCTTTACACACAACAGGCTCTGCTGGAGCTGCCTAGAATTACAACCACATATTCCCCACAAACACACACACACAAGCCTCAGGAACCTGCATGCTCAAGTCCTGCCAATGGTTCTTGACATCAATGCACCAGCGCTCTCTAGTGGACCTGAACGGGATGATTCCCTGCCCCCAGTGACCGGTCTGCCCTTCCACGTCCTGGCGGCGAGTCAGGTGTACACTGTGAAGCTCCTTGAAACAATCTCTCTACAATGTGATAAGGCGTTACGTCAAATGCAAGGCTTGTTATTATTAATATTAACCCTGCAAGCCAAAGGCTTAATGGGTAGAGCCATCCTCGCCGGACAAGCAGCGGGAAGCTTGCCAGACAGTACGTTCAATGGCAAGCTGTTTAAGTGCGTTAACCTCCAGTTACCTCAATCCGCACCCTGGGGTTCCGAAGCCTTGGCTCTTACAAACCTGTGCCTAGTTTCAGCCCCAAATGATGTCAGAACAGCTACAATTGGAGCTCTCCGCCCATCATTTTGTGCTACTTCAACTCTCCTTCCCACTCGTATTCTGACCTCTCCATCCATGGTCTCCTACGCTGTTCCAATGAACCACATCGCAAACTCGAGGAACAGCACCTCGTCTATCTGCTAATAACCTTACAGCCCTCTGGCCTCGATATTGATTTCAATAATTTCAGTCCGTAACAGCTCACCTTCCCCTGCCCCCCCCTCTTCTGTGATCATTACCACATCATCTAGGTCCCAGACACACCTTTTCTCTCTCTGGTCTGCCTGTTTTGCTCCATAGAAGCTGCCTGACCTGCTGAGTATTCCCAGCGAGTTCTGTTTGTGTTGCAGATTTCCAGCATCTGCAGTATTTTGCATTTTGACATCATTTTGTGCATCTGCCCAAACTCAATGGTGTTTTTAAACTTGAGCCCCTAAATTTAAATTCCCCCAAATGTGTTCTTCTTCCACGGCCCCGTATAGTGCTGCTGTGAACAAACTCCTCGATGATTCTGCAAATAGGGAAGAGGGTTCGAACCTTGGGAGGAAATGCATTGAGAGAAACATGTGATGGTTCTTTTGCTCATTTCAGCAAAAAAAATCAACCAACGGACTGAGAAATTATTTTTGCACCTACATCTTTTTATTTATTAACATATGAACATCTCCTGTTGAATGACGAATGCTGTTGTTGCTGAATTAAAGTTTTGCTCTCTGAGTCATCATGTGCTTCTGATGGCTCAGTGAGTAGAGACAGGACCCCAGGGATGTTCAGATTCTCATCTGGGCACAGATCCCGTTCCAGCAGAATTTTTGAAAAAATATGTTCAGACGACTTGGTAAACGGCCATACACTAATAAAATGACATTGTTGTGATGTCTCCAGTTTCAAGGCTGAATAACTAAACCATTTTGAGCTGTCAAATTTAGAGATTAGATTTGAGGGTTATTTTCAGATAACCAATTACATTGATACAGTGTCTTTCCCTTGAAAGAGAACATCTCAAAGCAATTTACAAAAAATGGTTAATTAAAAAGTGAATGTTGCTAAAACACTGCAGTCAATTTGCACCAATAGCATCTGTAAACAATGAGATTAGCCAATTTGTTTGAATTTGGATGAGAAGGGAATATAAACTACTCACTGCGAGAAAAACCTAGCTGACTCTGTATCTGGTAGAGTGTGGGTTTCACTTCCATTTCCTCTGTACTGCTCAAAGTCCTGAACCTGTAATGATCTGCAATATTAATCCTTGCACTTGATATAGCATCTATCATGTCAAAATGGCTCAAAGTGCTTTGGAGGTAATTGCTGTTATTTATAGGCAAATCTGGCAACAGTCTGTGCACAGCAAGGTTACACAAACAGGCATGAAGTGAATGAACAATTTAACTGGAATATTGTTGGTTAGGACACCAGGAGAAACTCCCTTCTCTTTTAGTATAGTGGCATGGGGATTTTTAACATCCACCTGAATAGGCAGACAGGAGTTTTGGTTAACCAATTGTGCCAACACATTGAGCTGAGGGTAATGCAGGAAACAAGTCCCAAGACACAGTGACAGCTGGGATCTAGCTGCAAGGCTCAATACCTATGGAAGTTGCTGCCCTACTGAATGCTGGTAAGGGAGTTGCTACCATAGGGAACACCAATGTCTTGGCTTCTTTCTGGCCGCTGGGGGCACTCTGAGTCCTGAAACTGCTGGAGGTAGAAGCGCATTGCCAGCTGGTTAGTCATCATCTTCAGAGCCTGGAAGCCAGCAACCACCTCGAACACCACAAAGCTGAGGTAGGGGATGTGAATGGCCCGCTCCAGGGGCAGAATGATGATGGCTTCATCAGTGAAGAGGAAGAGAATGATGGGCAGCTGGATAATAAAGGTCACCAACCAAAACCCAGCTAGCTCTGGTACCTGCAGGCACAGACCAAATCGGAAAGACATCACTGCACTATTGAATGCACGGATCATTATTATGATTATAAACATCAGCCTGGATACAACGTATCTGCACAGAGGTAACATGGATGGAATATGCTGGTCCAAGTGGTGACGTTACATTAACAACTCTCCCTCTGGGGGCCTTAACACCGAAAATAGAGCTTTTGAAAAGAGAGCAGATTTAACCAGGCGGAGAGTGGGTTGGTGGTGGGGGGATGTGGGGAATAGCATTACAAACGCAGCAGAAATAAATAGAATTGCTTATGAAAAGTACAACTTAAAGGCAAAATACTTCAATTGTAAATTGTCATTTCCTTACAAATCTTACCTTTTCATGTAAATTTCCCACATATCCCAGGGAGAGGCGAACACATTCCATCAGTGTGAGGATTACCACTGCCAAAGTAAGCAGGCACTGGTAATATCCTGGTAACATGCTGTACTGTGGTTTGAGGAGAGGAAGCTTTAGTTAGTGATTTCCAGATCATCACCTCTTTGCTGACCTCATTAAATCATGATTTAATTGTGATTCAGTGGATGTTAAGGGTTCCCGTGTAATAATGTAATTATTATAAAATAATGTCTTTATTGTCAAGTAAAGTGGAGTTTTCTTCACTTGTTCTGCACCAAAGAGACGTGAGTCAACGAGTCCTCCTATGATGTATCCTCAGACCCTTTCCCTAACTTTTGAGATTTTTCAGGTGAACAAATTCCTACCTTCATCTGAAGCATGATCACTTCTGAGACCCACCAGAAGGGGAAGAAGAAGGTGTTGAAATACAGAACTGTCTGCAGGGTGAGGCTGGACACCATCTCATTAACTGTCAACACAAAATGCCATAACTCAGCAAACCTCAAAAGACTCTTATAATTCATATAATTATAATTAATCCCCAAATAACTTCACGGTTATTTGTGGGACAGTGCTGTGCACAAATTGGCTGTCGTGTTTGCCCACAAATAAACACGTTCACTACCTTTCACTATAAATCCTGAGGAGAACATTTTCAAAAAAATCAAATACACAGGTCACTCCACTTCACACTAAATCCCATGAAACACTTTGGAACAACCTCTGGACATGGAAGACAATATACCAAATTATTATTATAGGAACAGCACCTCCAACTGAAGATATTTCAAATGGAATTTCGATTAAGTAGCTGATTTAATCACACTGTGTCCCCAAAGTGAGCAGTAACACATTCAGAGCCAAACAAATCAGATCAATGGAAAGTTAAACGCATTCAGTGACAGAATCTAGAAGGAAAAGTGCTTCCTTGTTTCTTTGCTCATTCCAAGTTATTAGATTCCATGTTCTGGTACTGGAGCAAATGGATATACTGTATTTGGCTATTTAGTATTGAGGGATCTAGTAATCCACCTCTTTTAAGAAAAATTAGCTATGAAAAATTACTAGAAAACACTGACATTTCAGCTATGAAAAGAAAAAGTCTAAGACAATTATGGAAGTACATTAAGTGTTAAATGGGGTTTAGAAAGCAACCCACAAAATACTTTTGCACATGCCAAGGCAACAAGACAAGAGGTTCTAGGTTATCCAGGGCCATTTTATAGGACAAACAACTTGAAACATTTCTTCACACAGAGGGGAACCAACAGGTAGATGGGGTTAACAGGAAGGGTGATTTAGGCCAGAACACTCAATTTATTTAATAAACAGATTTATGTTGAAATAGGAAGATGGTAAAATGAGAGTTTTGGAAGCATGTTATCAAATCACTGACAACAACCCCGTCTACAGATATCATTGACTCACTGAAGGAGTCAACAATAATTATCTAGAGACATATTGCTGTTATTTTACCTTAAAACCATGCAAAGCTGCAGAGTACCTGTATAGGCCATGAGATGCAACTGGTACTGAAATGACTGCAATACAACAATGCTATTTTGAAATGTGTAGCTGTCTTAAGTTGATTTATACGTATCTCATAGTATTAGATGGTTCCTGTTGGAAAACTCTGCACCTCACCTGGTATATTGGTATATCCATCTCCGCAGTCCTGCGTTTTATTGCTGATGAAGAGCGAGCCACTGAAATTGGCCAGCCTCTGTCTGATATTTTGAGGTAGAGAATACAAAGACATGGCTGGTAAAGGGCTTGTCTCCACCCGTGCTAAATCCACAGTAATCCCAGCACAAGCTGCTCGTAGTAATAGTGATCTTCCAGGTCAGGGGGCATTGGAGAGGTGTCATCATAACAGAAACATGTTATTCATATTCATTAAGTCCCCACCGTAGGGCATCAACGCCTCAGATTTTCTGTTAAAAACTGTTTTTAAATTTGTAGAATAATTAAGGTCTTTCATAATCATTCATTGTCTGATTTGCAAAAGGATTCTTATTTTCACATTATAATCATTCCAACCAAATCACTATTCGTTGGCTTAATCATCACTCCTGTAAACAGTAATTCTCTCACAGAATCTGTGCACTAACTATAATTATTAACAATTCCATTCTCTCATCTAAATAATTTGAAGTAAACTTTATATTGAAACAATCAGTTTTATTTTGGCCCTCCCTCAATCTGCAGGTGTTCCTGGTGTTGCCCTAACAGCATGTGCTGAGGAGGCTTTGGCTGATTTGTTGGGATGAATCCAAGTCCCAAGGAAGCCACAGCTCCAGTCTCAGCTCATGCAGTACTTATACAGCTATACGTGAGCACCTTAGTCTTCTATAAGGAATGATTAAAAAAAGCAACAAATTACATTTGTATAGTGCTTTTCATGTCGGGAGGACATCCCAAGGCGCTGAAACTGAATAAACTGAAACAGGTCCACTGCTCATATTTATCAATTGAGATAAATATTTATGCAAATCTTTTGCAACACCTGTCCATGCGCTGAGACATGGTGTCTTGGTCAACGATTACCCGCAAATAAAAAAAAATGGCCATTCACTTCATGGTGGTTTGTTGTGTGCAAATTGGCTGCTACATTACGCTACATTCTGTGAAGCACTTTGAGACGCAGTCCCAAACATCGCAGCACTATCTCAAATGTAAGGATTATTATCGTTTTATACATTATTTGTAGAAAGTACTCTTAAGACCATACACAGCATTGACTGCCCACAAACGGCTCAGTTAGTAGCGCTCTTGTCAGATGTAATACTGCGCGCCCGCCTGGCTTAGGAACAGGGCTACTGAGGCCCTGCTTACCATGACATCGTATTGTTTTAAAATACTGTGTAACAAACTCAAAATACAACACTTGCATTTGAGGAAAACGTTTAATCAGTGCGACAACAAATCGTCAATATCATAAAGCAAAAGATGTCAAACGACATTTTTACAATTGGAATGACTCCAAATAAATAACTCTTTAGAATTTAACCTCGAGACAATTTTACCCTTTTTTCTCCCCCCCCCCCCACCCCCCACATGTTACAAGATCAGAGCATCGTCCAGACCCTTTTTAAATCAACTCTAATCCGAATGAGTCAAATGTGCACTTTAACATTTATCTTCGAGGTTTCTACCAACGGGGGTTAACGTTAACGTTCAAAGAGAAACGAAGCATTATAACAATTAAACCACGAGCATAACCTTCGGGAGTCGCCGAAGGCAGCGATTCCTCGCGTTAACTCGGTTTACACGTTGAGGGTGGAGCTGTCCATGGTGTAAGCGGTGGGAATCCGAGAGAGAGAGAGAAAAAAAAAGCCAAACGAACTGGAACGAAACAGGAGAGTCAACAACGTGCAATAACGATTAAGGTCATCAACGGTACACATTGAACATCGAGGTGCAAGTGTTCGGGATGTATGTACTGTTGAAGACCAGTTCCCCGGGGCCGGGGTGGAGAGAGGAGGGGGGGGGGGTTGGGGTGTAAATGTCTCCCCAGCGCCGATCCCGGGCCGGGCGTTAGTTTACTTGATGATTCTGAAGTCCGAGTACTCGAGTCGTGGGATGCGCCTCTCTTCGCCGAAGAGCGCCTCGTCTATCCTGGCGCTGGGGCTGCCGGTGTGCCGGAGCCAGGCCTGCATGGCGCGCACACCGTCCTCGGAGCCCTGCAGCTGCCCCTGGACCGTGCCCCGCGGCGTGTTCTGCACCCAGCCCCTCAGGCCCAGGCGCCTGGCTTCCTTCTCCGTGTGTTTGCGGAAGAACACCCCCTGGACCTTCCCGAACACCTCGTAATCCACCGACACGAACAGGGCCTGGCCGCCCAACGACATGGCGGCCCCGGCGAAGAGCGGCCGTCCCCCTTGGCAACCGGCCCCGGAAGGGACGCTCGCGCCGCGCCACAGCAACTGCCACATCCGGGGGACTCGGGGCGGGGGGGGGCCGCCGTTCAGGCGAGCACAGACTTCTGGGAGTTGTCGTGCGCTTCCGCTTGGGCGGGCGGAGAGCAACGGGCATTGGGAGGGGGTGGGGGGGGCGAGAACTACACGTCCCACAGTGCTTCGCGCCCAACCCAACCCGCCCGCCTACCCGTCAGGCTCTGCGGTGGCGCCTGACCGTTGCACGAAAGGCGGGAAAAAAAAAGCCCCGAAGCGTTTGAGGATTTGTCGAGTCGAGTCGGTGGTGGTCCCGGTGACTCTCGCCACTGAGTCAGGAGGTGGTGGGCACGAACCCGGTGAAGATGGCGGGACAGGTGGATACAGCTGTTTTATGAACAGCTGAGTTGGGCCTCAGCCAGAGACTGTGTTCAGTTCTGGGCCCCACACTTGAGGAAGGACGTCAAGGCCTTGGAGAGGGCGCAGCGGAGATTGACCGCGATGGCACCAGGAACGAGGGGCTTCGGTTATCAGGAGAGGCCGGGGAAGCCGGGGTTATTCTCCCGGGAGCACAGAAAGGTTAAGAGGAGACTCGGTCGAAGTTTTCGAAACGATGAGGGGGTTCGATAGGGTGCGCGCGGAGAAAACCCTTTCCGCGGGCGGGCGGGCGGGCGGGAAACCCAAGGACACCGATTTAATATAGTTGTTAAAAGAAACAGGAAGGGAGATGAGGAGAAATTTTCCACGCAGCGAGTTGTTGGTAAATATACAGTCACTTCACTTTACAGTGTGTTCTGTGAAGCGCTTTGGGACGTCCTCCCGACGTGAAAAGCGCTATATCAAATGCGAGGATTATTATTATTATCTGGAATGCGTTGCCTGAAAGGATGGAAGACAACAGGGCGATTCTCCATACAACCCGGTCAACAGTCCTCCAGATTCCAGAGAGCGGGGACAGAATGGTGGATAATAATGCTCATTGCGTTTGATACAGCGCCCCATCACATCTTCGAGATACCTCCCAAGCGCTTTAAAGAATATACTGTAAAGTGAATTAACTATTTTGTGGGTGGTGAAACATGTACATAAACTTATACTGGCTTAAGCAAGTTTTAACAATAATAAACTGGATCGGACACGGGCATGAAGCAGCCCAGTGTTAACCGAGCAGAGCGATTGCCCAGGCTGGTGGTGTCACAGAGGTAGGGTGGTGTGAGGCCTCGGAGGGATTTGAACATGAAGGAAAGGATCTTGAATTTGATTCACTGAGGGTGGGGAGCCAGTGGAACTTGGGTGTGATCGGCTCACATAGCCTGGTGATGGAAGAGGACAAGGATTGGAGATTTGGGATCATTGTGTAGGGAGCTTGTGTAATAATAATAATAATAATAATCCTTGCATTTGATATAGCGCTTTTCACGTCGAGAGGACGTCCCAAAGCGCTTCACAGAACACACTGTAAAGTGAATTGACTGTATATTTGTGGGCGAACGCGGCAGCCAATTGCGCACAGCAATGTCCCACAAACAGTCGTAGATAGGAGCTGGGGAGGGAGTCCAGTAAGCAGGGCATTAGAATACAGGCCTGGAGACACGATGAAGGTATGAATGAGGTTATTGGCAGACTTGGGGGAGAGATAGTGTGGAGGCAGGCAATTTTGTGGGGTGAGGGCAGGCTGAGCACGTGAGAGCTAGGATAAAGACTTGGAAGACAGTTGAGGGTCAAACCAGGTACCAAGGTTCTACCCCAGGTCTGGTTAGAACAGCAGTAAACCTGGAATTACGTTCATATGGAAGTGGACCCATGATTGCAGATTATGTCACTGAAATTATTTATTACATAAAGATATTTAGTTCTCACATATCATCTAGAAGTATAGCATCTTTGTTCTTTAATACACTGGATCTCCTGAGAAGTGCAATTTCCAATAGAGTAACAAATAAGCACATTTATGGTTGCATATACCTGTACGTAAACTTACACTGTATTAAACATGTTTTAACAAATACAACAACAACAACAACAAGATTCCATTTATAAAGCGCCTTTCACGTCAGGAGGACGTCCCAAGGCGCTGCACAGTTGGGTCATGACCCGAGCAGGGGGGAAATGGTCAGGGTGAGGGGAGGGAAGGGAGGGAGCGAGGAGGGGGGAAATGGTCAGGGTGAGGGGAGGGAAGGGAGGGAGCGAGGAGGGGGAAGAGAGTCGAGAGGGGAGCTGAAGGCACGGTCAAAGAGAAATAAACTGGATAAATAGCGCTTTCCACACCAGGCATTATCCCAGAATGCTTAACAATGGTGGAACTCGATGCCAAGCCAGGGGTGGTGGGGAAAGGTGACCGTAGGCGCGATCAAAGGGGAAGGTCTTCAGGCGCAACTTGAAAATACGCCAGTTTCTTTTATTGAACTTTCTTAACTTCTGTTCAGAGTAGGCTTCCTCTGCTGCTGATGTTTCTACTCATCAACTGAGAATCAGAAAAAGTTTCTCCACAAACCCCTCACCCTCTAACATTCACTGAATAATTCTGTTCTTTGGAATTGAGAAAATGTGATAATGTGAAGCCTGAACACATTATAAGGTTACTTGTATTACTGTAAAATTCGTATAAGTCTGATTTGATGCAAGTCACACATTTGCCCAAGTTGAATTTCCCATTAAATCCACTTCAATTTATCTGCATTAGTTGTACTAACAATCATACAACTCATAACGCCACTGCCTCACTCGCCCCTACCAAATTTAAAGAGTCAAAACTTTGTTTTCTGAGCCATTTCCAATGATACACTGCACATTCGCACACCAATCCTCTCCATGTCCTCCTTGCTGGGGGTGTAACATCAACATCATCGCACACTGTAGCGGGGTGGGGGCGAGAGAGGAAAGAATCACCTGATTACGTGGAGGGGGCGAGGAATATCTAATCACTTGGAGAGGGAATTGAGGGTTTATGATTGACTTAACATTTTCTTAAAAAGTGATTGATAATTCTGTTGGTGTTAATACTGTAGTTCTTTGTAAGAGTTTATATTCTGCATTGTGACAACAACAAAATTACATTTATTGGGAGCCTTTCACATCAGGAGGACGTCCCAAAGCGTTGAACAGTCAGGGTTCGGGATCCGAGCTCAAACGTTGGAGCAAGCAAAGCTGCAAAGAGCCTCTGCTTATCTACCCAAACCCAACCCCAAGGAGTAGAGTCACTAGTTTGTCATTTGAGCCCTCACAAGATGGACAGCACAGGTTTTCTCTGTTAGGTTCCTGGTGAGTAGCACAGATTTGCATGAAATAATAACCCTTGCATTTGATATAGCACCTTATCACGTATTGAAAACGTGTTTAAATCCCTCCATTCCTTGGCACCCCCACTATCTCTCTAACCTCCTCTCTTCCCATCGCAGTATCCGTTGCATCTACTCTGCTAGGTCCGTCGTCCTCCGTGTCCCCCGAATCCTCTTCTCTTCCATCGGCGGCTGTGTCTTCAGTCATTACTCCCCAAAACTTTGGAACTCCCTCCCTCAACCCCTTCGCCTCGCCCCCTCCTTCGCCAACTTCAGGTAGCGCCTGAACACCTTCCTCTTCGACTGCGCCTACAGTCACTTCCCCCCACCCCCCACCACCACCACCGGCTTGGCATCAGGCTCCGCCATTGTGAAGTGCTCTGAGACATTGCTAGGCATGGAGGGTGCTATATAAGTACAAGTTGTTGTTGTTGAAAATGTCCCAAAGCACTTCACAGAATCTACTGTAAGGTGTATTGACATTTTGTGGGAGAAACGTTTGCAATACATAAAAGCAACCACACCGCCACAAGTATGGATTGAAACTCTGTGCACTCTGCAATCTGCTACTGTACATTACATAAACATCCAGCAGAAGGAGCCAATTCTGGAGTAAAACCTGTTCAGTGGGATAGATTATAGTTAAGAAAGAATCAGGAAGTGAGGGAAAAATTGATAAGCGGGGAGATCTATATGAAAGGTGTGGCCTGTCTTCCTTGTCATTTAAAGAAAATTTCTTGCACACGCTAGTCTACACTGGATCTCCACATTCACTTGTACTTCATCAGTGGTGAGAAAGTGGAGCTGGAAGGGATGCTAAAAATTGGCTGGAAATCTGTGCTAAAGTTGGTTGGGAGAGAGTGAGTGTGAACAGGCCAAAAACTGTTTGTGGTTGTGATTGATCACTTCCCATTGCCTGAAAACCACCTGGTGTGGCTGATGAAATGGATTCTGTGCTGAGTTTAAACCTCAGGAGAGGTTTGATACTGAGCAGCTACTCTGAGTCTCTGCTGGCAAATTCCTGGAGGACGGAAGCGAGGGATCCAACCCCAGTCTCCCAAGTGTTTACCGGGAACGGCTCTGCCTTTTTCCTGCGGGAAAACTATCTGCAGAAAATACAGAAAATATTGTTTTTCAACCTATGTTTCCATGTTGTTTCAGCCTCGACACAGAATGAGTTTCAGGTCAATGAGTGTCGTCGATTCGTTGGACGCACTGACTTTAGAAGAACACTCAGCTAAAGCGAGTCAGCGTTGTAAGTAAATAAATCCATTTCTTCTAATTTCATCTCTCCAGAACAGGGAAAGGTTTGCTGTGTGACTCCTGTCATTGCATTCCCCCAGGACAGAGCGAACCAAAGCAGTGATTTGGTTTGGTCTGCCAGAGCGACATATACCACTTATGTAATTCCAGAGTGTATTAAACGCAGGGTGGCAAGAGCCAAGGCCAGTGTCACCAGAGTGTGGGTTGGGGGCACTGCCAATCGAAACCGCAGAACTTGCATTGGAAGTACTATCTGGCGTGCTTCCTACTGCTTGTCCTGCTAAGGCCACCATTACTCCCAGGTGGTTTCACTTCCAACTGGGTTCTGAGTCTGCTGATAATCGAGATTGAACTGACCGGTGATGATTTTCTTTGCGATTCGGAATCTTTCTCTTTCTTTCCACTTAAAACCTCAGTTAACTGACTCAAAAGAGAAATTCAGTCTTAATTTAGAAGCTGGATTTCTGCAGGGATGGTTGAAGGAGACCTTCATAATTCTGAAGGGAATAGGAAGAATCTATATCCACTGGTCAGCAAGTCAATGGGTTGAGCCCATTGATTTAAGATAATTAAGAAATAAGCCGTAGCTTTTTTTACACAAGGGATGAATAGTATGTGGAGATCCCATGGCATGGTGATTAAAATAGGATCCATGTAAGCTTTCCAAGAGGGAACTAGATGGAGATCTAAATAGGAAGGTTTTGCAGGGCTTTGGGGAACAGCAGGCAAATGGGACTGGATGGATTTGTCTTTAAATTTTTTGAAGCTCGTCAGACAGACACAAAGTACGCCTCCTGCGGTCATGTTGGCTAGCAAGTTACAAAATTGTTTTCATACAGGTAACCTTCCATTTGCAATATTTATTGAAGACATGCTATCAAGCACATTGGCAATCACACACAAACTAATGTTTTTGCTAATATTTGCCTTGAGGACTTCATCAGCCACTCCATTCAGGCTGAACAATTGATTGAGAATGAAAGAAGTTACTAATTCAATAGTCTGCCTGTTTGAAATAATTTACCCACAAGATAATAATAATTTAGGTGTTGTATAGTTGATGAGAGTTAAGAATCTGTGAATTGACCCTACCTAATCTGCTGTGTTTTGTTTTTCAGTCGTTGACGATGATGTCATATACTTAGGTAATAATAATAATCCTTGCATTTGATAGAATGTCATATCAGCAGAATGTCTCAAGGCTCTTGACAGGATGTACTGGACAGTGTGGTTTCTTGGTAACGTGTGTGTTACATTTTATATTGGAAGTAAATTGAGAATCCTATTGTGACTCAAGCACCTCTTTATATAAAAAAAGGATTTCAAATCTTTTACCTGGTTCGATTCCCAAATGCAAATAAAGCTTCTTGAGATGCTCTCCACTGTTGCACGAGATCAGGTGCAACTGAGATGCAACCATTGCCCTATAATGGTGGTCTCTCTCTTGAAAGCTGATGTATATTGTGAAGGCTTTTGCATCACAGCGTGGGATGTAAATCTCCAGAAATCCTATATACATCTCAGTAAATAAGCAAACTTAAGCAAACTGTGTGTAAAGATCAACAATTTGTTATTGTATGAGGAACATCATTAAAATTATTGACTTCTGAAAAATCTCTCAGAGCAAGGAAGTTTGAGGTAATTGAAGAGTGTAGTGACTGGATATTTCAATTCCACTGCAGGAATGTACGATACAATCAATTTACATTTATGTAGACCTACCACATCAGGAGGATGGCTCAGAGAGTACAGTTATGAATGTAGAACCTTGTGTTGTGCTGCTTCTTTGGAAGTGTGGTTGAGACAGTTGACATATCTCCATTAGCTTTAAACTACTTTTTATGGTAGGTCTTTTTCTGTTGCGGTGAGTTAGTCAAACATATAGCACTTCAGAGTAAAGATTATTGATTGAAGCTACTGATGTAACATTTTTTACTTGTTTATTTGAGGATTACCATTAAGATTATATATGTCTGAAACATGTATTTGCCTCATGTGTAGGAAAATCCAAGTCTGCCAATCGCCATTCCAATACAGGTATTCTTTATTAATTATTTTTCAGCTTGTGCTCCATATCTGTAGAATCTTGCCATGGTAAATATCTTTACAAATGTTGCTCATGCATTGGATTTAAAATGCTTCTGAGATTACAGTATTTGATGATTTTTTTACTCATGGGATGAGGACTGTCACCCTGCTTTTCTGTGATAATAATCCTTGCATTTCATACAGCATCTTTTCATTTCCTCGAGACATCTCAAAGCGCTCCACAGAATATACTGTAAAGATATACTCTAATCACTGGGGAAAGAAGGGGTTTTCTGTGAGGAAACTGCACCCATGTTGCTCAGAATCTGTCCAATCAGTAGCCAAGGGAATCTCTGATTATCCATCTCTGTCGAGGTTGATGCTCCAGTGCAGTGCTGTTAAGAGGCTTCAGTCAAGAAAACTTGTCCGCTGATGAGAGCACTATTGTTTGTCTAACTAGGATTATCCTACCCTTTAGGGCTTCAGCTTGCGGGGTAGCAGGAGTGGAGTGGGAAGAATCCCTGCTCCCCGTCTGCCCCTCCCTCAGTCCTGCTGACAAGCCAGGCTGGACTTTCACCAGAGGTGCGGTGGATTACTGCTGACACGTCTGACTCAGCAATGTTTCAGTTTCATAGTCCAATATAATAAAATAATATTACTATTTTTTGTTACAGTGCCTTATCACATTGTCAAAACGCAACACAGAATGTATTGCAAAGTGTAATGATTGTGTGTTTTTAGGCAAACGTGGCAACCAATGTGCTCGCAGCAATGTCCCACAAACAGCCATGACGTGAATGACCAGTTTTTATTTGGGGGTTTGTTGAGCAGGACACTGGGAGAAATTCCCTTCTCGATTCGAATGGTGCAGGATTTTTAACGTCCATTTGACATTAGCAACGCAATGTCCTGGAGTACTGCAGCCCCGCTGGCTCTGGAATTTGGCAAGATGTCAAACAACAATCATATGAAGCCTATTAATATCCATTTCATCCACCAAGTATGAAGGAGTTGGGTTGACATTGGGCAGGACATTGTGTACAGCATCGACATCCCCTTGCACATTTTTCTTGTAGTAATTTGTATTTGTACTTGTACATCTGTACAAGATGATCAGAATTAATCCCCCGCCCCCCCCCCCCCAGCGCCTCATGCTATCACTACTGTGAGAACATGAAAGTTTTTGTTACTTTCTGTGCACATTGTTGGACACTAAAGTTAGTTTATTTTGATTCATATTATTCTACTTTCTAAAGCCGGACGGGAGAGAAGACCAGTCAAGGAATTTGAGGAATACAAAAGAATTTCTTGTGAGCTTTGTGGGGAAGAGGTAAGTGCATAAACAGCAAAGTCTTTTACTGTTTCCAGTTAACTGTGGTGGTGTTTCACGTCTCTCCATGTTACCTTCAAGGATTCATCAAAATGGATTATGGTGGAACCCAAAGTTCATTCAGAAAATGAGATGATGTTCAGGTAAAATAAAGCAAAATCTAACACTGAATGATTAAGTTCTGACCTCTTCTCTCTCGGTTATATCTAATAATAATAATGCTTGCATTTGATAGTGTTCCTTATGGCGTTCAGACCTCGCAAAGCACTTCACAGAATATTCTGTAAAGTGAATTAATTGTGATGGATGCTGACATCATTTTTGTGCATTATCAATCAGGCTCACTCCAAAGTCTCCCACAAAGAATAGACAGGATTGAGAATGTGTCTCTTTCAGAAAACAGAATAACTTTTGTTAGTCTTTGAAGCAATGCAGGACTTGGCCAAAAAAAGGTAATTTGCGATTTGAGGCATGAGATAACAGAGCACAGTTGAACGCTGAGAAAGCAAGTGCCATACTGAAGGTCCCACAATATGCTCATCCTAGATAAAATTTGATCTGATTTAAGACTGTCCCCTCACAATGTGTTCGGCAGTGCCAAAGCTGTATAGCTTTGTACAGTTCCGTTCCAATAGCAAATGGCCATTTTCCTTGCATACCTGATTTAACCTTGCCAGCCAACGGTTCAATCTGTGTCACTGTAAAACAGTGGCCATATACATAGGGGGCCAAGACCATTGTTTTTCACAGCTGCGTACAACATCTCCGCAAGCAGCAGTTTTCGACTTGGGTAAGAGAAATACATAACCCCCTCTGAAAGGAAGCAGAGAAAAGTTATCGGTGGTCAAAATGGCAGGCAGTCTTAAGTGGAGTGTATGGGGTCTGTACAGACCCTCCTCCTTTTTGTTGTATATTTTAATGACCCGCAAGCTAAAGCTCTTCCTGCTGTCCTCTCTCAGCTTACTCCCTCTCTAATTTCTGCATGTAAAACATTTACAGTTTTCTATCTATCGTTGACAATTGGTTTCTTTTTTCCTGATCATTTGACATTTTCACATTTGCCTCTGATTTTCCTGGTTTAATTTGCTGACATTTTCTGCTATTCCTAAGGTATGTATAGTTGCTTGCTTATCCTGTTTTGGATGGACGAAGACTGATTTATGCTGCTGAAGTAGTCTGTTTGTGGTGGGTGGCTAACAAAGCTCATGAGTCTGTCTCCTTCCCCACGAAGAAGCAAATTAGTCTAGATTGAGAACTTGTGTCTTTCAGAATACAAAATAATTTGTTAGTCATTTGTAGCAATGCATAAATTGGCAGATAAATATTAATAGTGCAATATATTAGAATTGACAATTCACACCCTTTTTAATCATTTTTGTTTAGTGTTTCTCTTCCAGGTACAGGCGATTATGAATGTTCTAAGACTGGACTGAGATGGGAAACCAATACAAAAACTATCATTTCCTACAGATATGGCTCATGGAAGAAAGATGTTTCTATGATGAATAGCGATCTGCAAATCTGTGGACCATTGTTTGATTTCCACGTAAAAGGACAGGTCACAGCTATTCACCTGCCTCATTTTTTATGCTTGAAAGGTACATTATTTTCATTATTTCCTCTTAATTCAAACTTTTCATTCGCAATCAAGTGTTTTGATTTTTAGTTCAAGCTGATAATTACCCACTAAAGGGTGAATCCAATCATTGGGATAAACGCAAGTCCCAATCCATGTTCCACTTGACAGCTGCAGCTGCCCTGTGCAACTGTTGGGACAGCTTTTGGCAGGAGCTCAAAATATGGAACAACAACTGGAGTGGGACAGAGACTAATTGCAGAGGTGATAGGAGCAGTAGCTATTGTGCATGGCATACATTGCAACAGCTTCAATAGGTAACATGGCGCAACTTCACTGTGGAACTGGGTTGTCCTGACTCATACTGGCAATGTTGAATATTCATTCTCATTGTATATGCACAGCCTGTTTACAGATTCCTTACTAGAGATATAATAATAATCTTTGTATTTGATAAGTGTTGTTTGCCATTGTAATGTCTCAAGAACAAATGGAGTTTACATAGCGTGCATATATGTGTCTCGGAGAGCTTTATTGGGAGAAACTCCCTCATTTTTTAATAATACCATGGGATAAGATTAACCACTACCTAATCAGGCAAATGGGTCCTCAGTTTAATGCCTGATCTGAAGGAAGGCACCACTAACAATACAGCATTCAGAGGGTTGCCAATTCAAGCCACAAGTCAGGGACTTTGAGCTCACACCATAGGCTAATACTCCAGTGCAATGCTGGGGATGCACTGCATTGTCAGAGGTGCCACCTTTGAAGAAGGCATCAAACTGAGGTCCCACCTGTTCGTGTGGACGTTAAAGATCTCCTGACGTTATTCAAAAAGAGGTGTCCTCTCCAGCAATGTCCCAGATAAAATTGGTCATTACTAACATGGCTATAGGAAATTGCTGTACCACGTTTGCCTACTAATATACAGTCACTACATTTTAAAAGTTAAATCTTGTGAAGAACTTTGAGAGTGTGACGACATGATGTGATGCATTGTATGAAATGCAAGAATTATCATTTCTGAGAATATTCTTCACTGAAGTATGGAAAACCACATTTTGTTGTGTAGGTTGCACACCTAAGGATGAATTGAAAATTATTCATGTGAAAGATGGGAACTATTCACTCATGAACCCATCAGCAATCAATGGCAGCCATGTGGAACTGAAGGCACCAAGTTTTTCTCTGCTGAGTGTTGTTATTTCGAAGGTTTCCTCGCGGCTGTTCCCTGTTCACACTCTGGCAATGATTTATCGGACACGGATGGTTGGAGAATTAACCCTCCACGTCTACTTTGTACCGAATGAATGCTCAATAATAAAGGTAATTTCTCTCTACTGCTGAAACTCATCAAATCATTCAAGGTTAAAATGAATCTTGAGGATACTAACCACTGAGTCTCTTTGCAGGCAGTTAACGAGCAAGAATCAGGTGCTATGAAAATTGAGAAACCTCCTCAGATAAAATCACTCAGTTATGGCAAAACCTATTTCTTGACCAGCCCTGCCAACGTCAATATTCTTCCACCAGTAAGTGCTGCTACAGTGTGCGTGGATGGCTTATTTCAGAAACATCTATTGGTGTGAGGGACAGATTTGACCTGAAAAGAGAAATTGCATGAAAGGACACTGATCTCAACCATATTGATTCTGTGACGGGCAGACTATATTCTGGAAGAATGAAATCAAAATTAGAAGGGCATTCTTCATCCAAACTAATCTTGTGAGATCATCAATTTTAGTGGAATCAGCATGTTTGGCAATAGTGCCTATTTAATATTAGTATAATGTTGTTGATGAAGGTGAAACAGTAGGGGCCCCACATAGAATCCAGGGAAACCTTTCAGAGCTACCCATTTCTTAGATGCAAGTTTCAGAGAAAGGGCAGCTTGGCCAGAGCTTTTGTACAGCCTCAGCCACTGCCCCACCCTCTGACCTGGCTATACCCTGATTGACTAGCAGCTGCCTGAAGTGATTCCACCCCTTCAGGGTTCTGTAGACACATGGTCGACTGAGCAGGGATTCTGAGATAACCACCATCTTAGGCTTTCTCTTTATCAACCACTTCAGCGCTCCAAGACACTATTCCGCATGAAGGGTGCTATATAAATGCAGGACCTTGTCATTATAACCAGTTGCCGATAGTTTGGCAGAAATGGCTGGGTTGAAAACCATCTTGTACCCAGGAAAATCTCCTGTCTGGATGCACCCAGGAGAATATTGCACAATTAAAGTCTTTTTTTGTACTTTTGTTGCAGGCTATCAACTTCTGTTACTTGAGGTCTGATCAACGCCAACAGTACTGTGAAGTACATAGCCAAGATGAGAATGCCAGCATCGAGTTAAAACTACGGCCGGAAAAAAAGAGCGATCCTCTCTGGGTGACCTTGCTGAGGCCAAGTAAGCATTGAAATGATCCATCCATAGTGTAGCAGTTTAACATACCAATGTCCTATGGCAGGGGACTAGAAAATACTGTTATGGTCCATTTGGCTGACCCCAAAGTAATTTAATCCATGATTATGTTATTATTTTAAATATACTTTGATGTTGTGATGGGGAGATGACAGGGGTGGATATTCTCGAAAGTTGAAATCAAATGGGCTGAAGGGCCTTCTTAATCTGAACCAATCTTGATTTCAATCAAATTAGAATAAATTCTCAGAGAAACCTTTCTAATTGCCATGAACTACAATATATTTTTGTTTCCTTAGTGGAGCTTCAAGTTCCTCCCAAAGTACCTTTGACTGCAAACCTTGGTAAGTCTTGGAGATTTTCTGCAGGGTAATTGTTAAAGTCATCTTATTCTAGTCAAAAGCCCTGGTGTTGGGATGAGTGTTTTGACAACTGCAATGTCTGATTTGCTCAGAAATGGTTGACTTTTCAGACCTAACAATACTTGCTTTTAAATAGACATGAACAATCCCATGACACATTTGAAAAGAGATTTCTACTGGTGTCTTGGTCCATGATCTTTCAGATAAATTGGTCATTCACTTTGATGTGAAGTGCTATACAAATGTAGTTTGTTGTTGTGCCAAATTGGGATGCAGCTCAGCTTTTATTTTGGACTCACAGTTCCAAGGAATATGGTAAACATTCCTTGTTCTGTAACAGAATTGCCATAAACACCAGTGGTTTCCAATCTGATTTGTTTAGATCTTTGAAGTAGATTATAGTGCTAGTGATATAAAAGCAGTGGAAATTGCCTCCAGAGGCTTGGGTTAATTTTACACACTCACACCAATGTTACGTGGCTCACTCTATAGCATGGGAATAAGTTTAAAATGCAGGAATTTAGGATTTAACAAAAGTATAGCAGGAACAGAATGGTAACTTTATATCTCTGTTGGGAAATTTCACTGTTGTTATTAAGGAAAGTGGATTGCAATCCTAATTCCACTTGTTGCTGTTGCAGACCCCCTCTTACTAATGTTTTAATTCTCAGGGCTCATCTTGGAGGCAGTGTAAGGTATCATTGGGGTATGAAATCTTAAGTGTTTTGTAGTCACTTATCTCCGAGGTGTTCCTCTACTGCAGTGGTGGCCAACCAATAAAATACAATTTTCTTGATTGAATGTTTCTTGATTTATGGCATAAAACGAAAAATATTCAATCAAGAAAAAAAATGGAAATAAAATATAGCCTCGGCTAATGTGAATGTTGAGCGGGCCACTTCTTGACACCCCCCACGGACCATTTTGGGGTTGGCCACCACTGCTCTATTGTGTGGTGAGAACCAGAACTAGATGTACAGTACTCCTAATATTGTGCTGAGTCAAAAAGCAATCTTGTATCTCATCTACTGTGCAGATTCAGAGAATACTGTCAAAGACTTTTGTTTAAAAAGATGTTGTTTTACCTTTTAATTCTAAGCAAATTTGCACAAAAGACATTTTTTTAAATTGTCACAATATCTATACTCCTGGCTGTGTCTGATACAGAACTGTTTCTACAGCTGTGGAGTTCATTAATCGGCACAAAAAAAGTATCATTGAGAGACTTGGAGTAATTGACCCTTACCTTAGACACTTGCTCGAAGAAAAAGTGATCAACGAGGATGAAGAAGAGGAAATTCGTATCAATCCAAAACGTACGAGAAGTAATGAAACACTAGTGCGAATGGTAATGAAAAAAGGGCCACATGCCCAAGAGCAGCTTTACAGAGCCATGGAGACACATGATCCCTTCCTTGTAAAAGATTTGCAGTAAAAATTGACAAGCAACAGACAAGGTGAGTTCCTGTTGACAAAGGTGTTGCAATTTTGTAAATTCCTCTGGTTTGAGCTTTAATAACCTGCTTAAGTATAGCTGAGTGCAAAGCAAGGTGTCAGGGGCCTTGGGACATTCTCCCAATGTGAATGATGCTATATAAATGTAAATCTGTATTGTAAAGAGGGCTACCACTTTCAACCTCACCCAGCCTTCCTGCTCTTGAGCCCATACAGTATGTGCTGATTTCCTATAGATACAAACAAGCCCAGAGTAGCCTGGAACAAACAGGCTTTCATTTCACTGTTTCAGGACAAAGGATTGTATACAATAGTTTTACTCAAGACAAAATATACACAACAAAATGGTAAGAAATAAGTAAACAAAATAAAAGAGAATATAGGGCAGATACAAGCCAGTATATGTTTTTCTCTACATTACACTGACACAGAGGCAAAATCAATATCACTGACCCTAACAAAACTTTCAATGTTTTACTTCACTTTTTAATTTGGCCGCCAACAATTTAAACTCTTTGAATTGTGCATGGACAGTGCAAATAAACTCTGTGACTTTCCCTTACTTAAGGCTGAATCTGTCTGTTCCGCATTTCTCCTACTGCATTGTTTCCCTAAATTCCTCCTGTCTTCTGAGTCACTTTTGTAAAACAATTCATTTCACCCTATTTTTCTTGATTAAGTGTTGTCATTTCTTAAGAATTTATTTTAAAAAATAGATCTTAAAGTTGGTTTGATATCCACAAAAAAAAATTTAGATCACAAGAAATTCCAAATCGGAAAAGTCTTTTAAAGTGTTTCTTGTGGCAGATTTTGTGGTGGTAAGGAGTTGTATAGACCTTCTTTAATGACTGAGTCATAGAAACTGAATATTCAAAACTAGGCAATTGCAGCAATTTTTTGCTATGCAAATATCCATGGAAAAATGCTAATAGCTATTAAAAAATGTTCACTATTGACAGCTTTAAAAATGCTCCATAGTATTATTTGCTTAACATGTGCAATATTAAATGCAAATTATTTCTTATTTCAGGAACAGAAAATTGAGGATCTAATAAGATTGTTTTCTGCTGAAGAGTGATTTGTTTCTCTGGTGAATAAAACTGTTTTGATGATTCTAATATGTTGTATTTTAGTGCAGCAGAAACCAACATTTAAGAAAATCTGTAGCCAATTAGAAAACCTGAAATTATACCAAAAATTATACAAACCACATGAAGAAACCACATTCCTTCAGTTCTACGTGTTGCAGAGAAGCTCCCTGGCTGTACAGTTGTTAAACCAAATTGTCTTATACAGTTATTACATAATTTGTACGAGTAGTTAAATTCCAAGTTCTGCACAAAGTCAGAATTATTTTTTAGCAATGCTTTATACAGTTCATCTTCTGCATCTTCTCCCTTATTCATTACTAGTTGAAGCATGGCTTTATTTTGTTGAATTTCTACATTATGAGTGACAATTTCGGACTCTTCAGATTTAGTGATAACATTTGTATCTCGTAAATGCAACAGGATAGGTTGAATTGTTTTGAGACAACAAATTATTTCCTTTTTGTGTCTATGAACAAAGTCTACACATCTTTTCAACTTCTTAAACATATCTGAAAGAAAAGCACAATGGTTAGAGAACTGTAAATTATATTGTTTATAATGACTGCTGCTGTTTTAAAAGGATAAAAAGAAGCGTTTTAAACTAGTTCCAGATACCCATATGTGTCAAAGGTAACATATTATAATAATCTTTGCATTTGATATCAAGCCTTACCCATTCATCAAGATGTCTTAATGCACTTTACACAATTTTTTTTGCAAAGTGCGGTGAATCTGTATTGGAAGGAAATATGGCAGCCAATTTGTACACAGCATTGCATTCTAATGAAATAGAATGAACAGAAAATACAGATTTCTTTCCCCAAACTATTATTTTCTTTAAATGGTTATGCATGTTTATTTTATATCTGAGTTTAGGTACATTAGCACTGACCTGGTCGTAACAATATTTCCCACAACACATTGAGCTTGCTTCTTTCAGTCAAACACAGCTTAATGCTATATTTCGACTCCTGGATATAAACCTCATGGAATGGTTGCTGTTGTTTATACCTGAAGTAGCTGAATTTTATATCCTATAATAACAAGAATTTGAGAGAGTATAATGCACAGGAACATGTGTTCAATGAAGGTACAGTCGGTGTAGCAATAACATGGCAATTATCTGTAGAAAACCGATAAACTGACTTTACAATGACAATTGTTTTAATAAAATAATGAAAATAATTATTTCCTTATAGTTTTGTATTTGAATCAAGATTTTTTTTAATTGTTTCAAGGATCTATTCATTTTGAAGAATCTATCAATAGTAAATAAAAACTTATCACAATAAATTCTGATCTGTCAATACGTTATATGCCTGAGTGACCAATTTTATTTGGAGGATTGTTGACCCAAGACGCTTACCAGTGGTTTTATAGCTACATTTGAAAAGGATGTCAGCCTATACTTCTTGCCATAGTAAACTGATGTTATTTGTGGAGGCTTTTGAATTTTCAGGGACCTTATTTCTTTTTCCTGCAAGTCAACTGCCTGAAAAGAGTTAGAAAAAGATAACTTTTGTTTCCTTATATGATTATATTTTAAAGCAAAATACAAAAAAAACACCACAATAAGTAATCTGCACCTAAATAGTTCTCAGATGCTCTATTCTAATTATCACTGACACTGACAGAAAAGCAACATTCATATTAATTAATTACATATTAATTAGATTCACATTCATATTCATTATTGGTCTGGCAAGAACCACTGAAATCAGGGAGAATTAGGTTGGAGGGGATAGCAATGGTAGGGAGTGGTAAAACTTAGGGTTTGAAGATCTTGGTCTTTCTGTTGGGTTATTGGAAGCCGGTAGAGGCTGGCGAGGGTGCGTATGAAGTGTGCAAAAATTCCTGCTTATTTTTAGATGGATAACCGAAAGTGATTATTAATTATTTCTATTAGTTTGACAACTATAAACATTAAGGTTTTGTAGCAAAATCCACAAATATTTTCAAGTACAGTACAACGTCTCATTGTTACTGAAGTTTCATTTAAATGCACAAGCTATGTATTAACTTTGAAATATTTAACTTTCCATAGTTAAATCACACCTATCACTCCGCCTCGCCCCCTCCTTAGTCTCCTTCAAGTCCCGCCTCAAAACCCTCCTCTTCGACCATGCCACCAGCCACCCCACCCTTTCCCCTCCCCTCCCTTCTCCCCCCCTGACCCCAGCTCGGGTCTGAAATGCTGTACACTGTCCAGTGCCTTGGGACATTCTCCTGATGTGAAAGACGCTATATAAATGTAATCTTATTGTTGTTGTTAAAAAATAATATAAAAATTGAATATTTTCAGTTACCTGTATTAATGAGCCATCATTTGGTAACACATAGACATGAAGAATTGAACAATCAGCTCGAAATGTTTGATATATCATTATGACAGCATGAATAGCCACCTGATGGACCTGACCAAGGATGACACCCATCAAGGTCAACGGTTGATTTCTTTGCACGACATGAGATAAATGGATTTCTGATGGATTTTCCAATACTAAGGTATCATCTCTGAGGCACACAATACAATATCTCGCAGAATGTATTGCTTCCCCTGCACCTAAGAATATTCAAGTTTTATCAATTGCATCAATAAGGTATATTACACCACATTCACAGTAAAATAAGTCACTTCACTTTGGAGCCTGAGGCTGCACCAGTACATATCAGGTGTATGGATGGCAATTAAGGCTCTTAAAGATTGTAATGTATCAAGGCCAGAAATGTAGTGCAATGCTTAATAATTGACTTCCCTAATAGAACTATTACTACTTGAAATATTTACATCCCATAATCAAGGTAAGGCTATCAAACTGGATTATAATTTATACAATTAATAGTCACAGGAAAGTGCAACCTGATCAGATACTTAATATCTGAATTCAAAGCTTTGAAATTTTCTGGGCTCATGCAACAATAGCAAGTTAGTTCTTTGATCAAACATGCATTATAAGGCATTGGGTGGTTGTGGCACTCTTTTGGAAAAGCAGCAAAGCAAAAATAACAAATGGATAATCTTTGCTTTAATATAGTGCTTATAATGCTAAAACATTTCAAATTGCTTCACTGAGATTTGCTGTCAAGTGCAGTAATTGTTGGCAAACGTGGCAGCCAATGTGCATACAGCATAATAATAGGCAAAATTTGGAAAACACCATAAAAGACCAAACAAAGCCTTTAGAAAGTCGTACTTCCTCTCATCAACTGATTGTAATGCCCTTCTGGCTTAGTTAGTAACTCTTGTCTCTAGGTGATGAGGCTCTTGGTTCAAGCCCCCCGTCGAAAGCTCATGGATCTAGATTGACACTACAGCGGTGCATGTGTGGGGGGTGGGGAGCACTGTATTTTTGAAGATAGTACCCGTTGCATCAATGGTTAAACTAAGCTCTGCCTGTTCAGGTGGTTATTAAAGATCCCATAACACTATTGTAAAATAATGTCCTGCCCAACATTCTTCCATTTAAATTAGTCATTCACTTCATGACTGTGGGACTCGAGGCAAGACTACTGCGTTTTCCTACAAATAGTCATGATTTTGATAGCAATTCCCTGTGAAGCACTGGAGACATTTTTACCTTTTACTAATGTCAAACTAACGAAGTAATATACAGCATGAGAAAACAGACCACCGCATGTAATAAACAATCAGAGAAATATTAAACATATACAACTTTACAAGATACCTGATTCACAAATGAAATGAGGAAGATGAACAGCAGCAATATCACCATAACTAACACGAATGTTGAACAATGGTCCTCCGATTATCCAACATTCTCTTTGCACATCAGAAATATAGTCATCCCAGGAGTTATACTCGTAAAAGATTCTAGCATTGGATTTCGATTCCCATCTCAGTCCTGTTTCAGCACATTCATAATTGCCTTTCTCTGGTAAGGTAATACTTTCAAAGAATATTAAAAATGTTAATATGGGCACTGATTTTAAGTAAATAGAATCAAAATTCATACACAATACTTCTTATGATATTTGCAATTCCTGCCATATTTTGTCCCATTTACAACAACTTGCATTTACATAGTGCTCTTCAAAAAGGTAACATCTCAGAGTATCGGTTACAAACTACAATGAATGGAGCTAAGATTGCACAAATTTTACTTTCAGAACTTACCAGAATTTCCCATTTGCATCTTCTGGAATAGTCGGCTTAACAATGATCCACTTTAGTTTATCCTGGAAACGATGAAAATAATGTATGAAAGAATTCCAGCGTTAACAATGTATAAAGTTGAAAGTTTAAACACGGTGTAATTGTGTCACCTTTCTAATCTTGGGTATTCTACAGGGACAGTGTTCCTTTTCAAAGTAACAGACTACATCTGTAATGCCTCTGCACACTGCTGTTGGAAATAGATACAATACAGTAAGCAATCAGACTATTCCCCCAAGAAAGATGCGCCTCATTCTGCTTCAACACATTAGCTGGATACATAGTGACCTTGGCTGAAGACGAGGAGTTCAAGAATCTTGCCTTTAATGGGGATGCAAATGAGCAGTGTACTGTGGCAATAGCAGATGTAAGATATCATCCCCTCAATAAAAAGGGTCAAGGCAACAGTCAACAAGGAGCTGAAGTACCTAAAAACAATGGTGAAAGTCTCCAACGACGACAATATTGGTTGCCCGACATGCAAAGAAGCATTTAGCACAATCAGAGCCATTGAAAGAAATGGAAGAAGCAGCTAAGTATCTGGATAAGATACAACCACTAACTGTCCCTAACTGCAATATAAGAAAAACAGTGAAGGCTGCTCTTTTAAAGCAACAAATATTAAGGGTTTACATAATGAAATATCTTTCATGCACTGCTAAAGCAAAATAGTAAAATGTTACTGAATGAATTACCAGGAGCTTCAAGAAACTGCATTTGTACACAGATTTCAGGTCCCAGCGTAGTGCACTGCTGACCGGTTTTCACCGCTGAAATAAAGTAAAAGACATTTCACTAAAAAAATCAGAGTTGTGATAAGAGAAAGAAAAAACCTGGAAATACAGTTGAGTTTGTAATGGTATTATATAATAATAATAAATCTTGCATTTGATATATTCTTCTAACTGCAAAACGTTAGCAGTTCCAATCTAGTCCAAGACTAAATGAGATCTACAAACACACTATATAGATGTATATCGTTTCTTTAGGACCGAGACACCACTAACCAGAGAGGATTGATAAATCCTTTATCCTGTTACACACTGCAAGGGACATCGCATAACAGCTTCTGCAGCTACTGATGCTCCCCTCCTTACAAAATCTGTCTACATTTTTCTTCAATGTGTGGACCCTGTTCGCACGAAGTATCACGTAGGAGCCTTTATTAATTACGAAGTGACCCAGACTAACAGGCCAGGGTGATTTTGTAATAAAGGAAGTGACCTAGACTTGTTAGTGTTACCTGAATACGAGGGTGAAGATTTCAAATTTTCTGTTTGTACCGCAATATCTGAGGCCACAATTCCCTGCTTTTGAAGAAGTAATTGATCTGAAATACAAAAGTAATAATAACTATGAATAACACAGTGCCAAATCATTAAGAGCTCATTCTTGCACTTTCTGGCTTTTTATATTTTTATATTTTAATAGCTACTGCCTTAAATTAAGTGGTTGAACAAAAATAAATAAATATACAAGATATTTACCTAAATCAATAAAAGATTGTATATTGTCTGTTTCTGTAGCAGAATCAAGCAGAAATGCCCTGAATTCCTCTGGTGTATATTTACCTGAAAGATAAAAGCAACATCAATTATAAAGTACGTTGAAAAAGCATTTCTATCACCATCAAACAGAGAAAACAATAAAGTAGAGTGGATCAATTGGTAGATCTCTCACCTCTGAGTCAATTCTCACAATTATGGGATTCAAGCCCCACATCATGACATAGACAAAGTCTAAATTGAGATTCTAGTGCAGTGCTGGGGATGTATTGCATTGTTGGAAGTCCTGTCCTTTAGATGAGAAGTTGAACCAAGGCCCCAACTGTCTATTCAAGTGGATGTTAAAGATCCCAATTTCCAACAGAAAGAGGTGGGCTGGGTTGCAAAGGAGCTAAGGGAAATGAATTAATGGCTTTATCGGTAATTAAAGATGGCTTTATCGGCGATGATAACTTATGAGATGGTGAGGCCCTGGTAATCACCAGATCAAGGAGGTGACCCTGGAAACACATCCCTCCTCCACCTTGCTAGAAAGGCATAAAGTAAATGGCTGATCAAAATGAATATATACAATATTTATTTAAATCAGCAAAATATTGTGTATATGTTTCTGTAGTGGTATCAGACAGAAATGCCCTTGGGGTTTTTTTTTACCTGAAATATAAAGTCAACACCGATTATAAACCACCCTTACTGGCAACTTGTTCCAGTCACTAATTACCTGCTGATGATGTTTAGCACACCACATGAGCTATTAGTGTGATGCTTGTCTCCTTAAAGGACTATCCTGCACTCTGCTTTTACAGAGTTTTGACACAATCTATATAGGCCTCTAAGCATTTAAAATACTAATATACAGGCTTACATTAATGAAAAAGATTTTAAATGTACCTGGGTAAGGGGCTGAATAATGTAAAAATGTGACATTTAGTACTGACAATACACTGATGAGATTTTTAGACAAGTCTTTCAGGCCGACAAATTATTTTCAATAACAGCTAGAAGATAATTTGTTGCTGGTGCAGAACAATTGCTGTGTTTATCTACATAACATTATACAGGATTTCTGTGTTTTGGTGTGGGAGGGGGGCAGAGTCTGAGTGAGGGGGAGCTCTGTAAAGAACGGAGTGCAGTCAGAGGGGTGGAAAGGGAGAAAGGAGACTGGAAGGAATGCTCGGGAACTCTGCTCTGGAAACTGGTAGAGACTCAAGACCTTTCGAACTGTAGCTGTGAAAAGAGCCGAAACAACATATTGACTTGTAACAGTCATTCTCTTTCTTAATAGCACTTGCATCAGCGAAGCGTGGTTAAATCTACAATCTTTAATTGCTCCGAGATGCTACCCGCATGAAGCAGACTATATTATATATATATACAGCAAGTTGTTGCTGTATCTCTGTGGGTAACTGGACTCTGTTAATTACAATTACAACAACATCTGAATTAGACTGTCGCTGCGATTTCTTTTTTAAGAAGATTCTCAATCCTGTAGCATTAATATTATCCATGCAGGTGCCTGAGCTGAGCAAGACAGTTGGATACAACTCGTCCATTCTCAGGGGACAGAATTTGTGACACATTCATGTACAGATAGTAAATTACATCCCAATTTCCAATACCCCTAAATAGTTCTTGGACTTGAAGCAAATTAAGAGACCAGCGTAGTCACACATTTCAACATAAATGTACACAACATTTACCTAAAGCAGTGTGAAAAGATTCTATGCTGTCCATTTCTGTAGTAGAATCTAACAGGAGTGTTCTATATTCCTCCAGAGTTGCTTTATCTAAAATATAAAAAAACATCAGTTACAAAGCATACTGAAAAAGTATGAGTTTCAATCTCTCAAACCAATTCCATTGTTGCTAAATCAGTTGTAGTTTGTGTGTAGAGGAGCTGGGGGGAACGGCAAGGTGGGTATTGGAGAAATTCTTCTCATATCACTGCTGAAACAGATATAGATTTAATGAATAATTTTACTTAGTTGCGAAGTTGGAAATTTTAATCTTTCTGTTTCTTTACCCATTTTTTTTCCCAAGAGCTTGATTATCTGAAATGTAAAGGAATACCATGAAGAGAACTGACGGTTCAATGACATTGAAACAAAACAATGTTAAGATAAAACAAAAGTTAAAACAAAATAGTTTGTATCCATATATAAGTGAGAAACAAGCATGACCCTTCTCATGGCGTATTGAATGAAAAAGTTTGAAATGTTAGGTGATTGAGAATGAAAATTTTAATCTTTCTACTCTTTCACCTATGTGTTCTCCGAGAACTTCATTATCTGAAATGTAAAGATACTGGCATTTAGGGATAATAACACAACAACAACTTCCATTTATATAGCACCCTTCATGCGGGTTAGAGTCTCAGAGTGCTTAATAGAAGAGACGGAAGATGTTTTTCAGACCCTTAAACCTTTTGTTATCAATGTTGAATCATTCAGTCCATATATTTGGCCAATTATGTTGTTAAACATGAAGCATTATGTGAGCTACCGTTCAACAAATATTTAAGACTGTTAATATTCCTTAATTATAATTATGGTGAACATATTTATAGAAATAACTTATTTTGGGAAATGCACATAAGAGGTAGGAAATAAGGTAGGAGACATTGGAAAAGGACGGAGGAGGTGGAGGGGAAGGCATTGATATCCTCCATCCAGTACCAACCCTCATAACAGTCTAATACTGGATCTGGACTCCCCCTCTCATCCAGAACTTCCACAGTTCAACCATTTCTGAGGTCTGCCCACACCTCAACAAAGACCTATGATCTTAATAACCCCATTCATTGAGGTCCAGATTGTTTAAAAGACTCATCAAGGTGTTAAAAAAGTGCCCTTTGTCTTTGAAACAATATCTCTGACTATCTTAGTTCTCAACACATTTGTATCAGAATGTTTAGAAGACGATGCCTTTTTTAAAAAAATTCCATGAAGTGGCTTGACAGCTTTTGATTAAAGAACATAAAATGTTAAGTTCAAGAATAAATAAATTATCTAATTGGATATTATTCAGTGTTTTTCAGTTTTAGATATGATGCTAAAAAAAGAATAGACGTGTGTACATGTAGACACTGAACAACTTTTACCTGAATCAGTTTGAAATGGAGTTTCTTCCGTTTGTGTACCTATATAATTGAACGGAGCTCTGCCTTCCCCAAAAGCTTGTTTGTCTGAAATACAAAGTCAACCCATTTAGGAAATATGACCTAATTGAGAGATCCTCATGTGAAAGATCACTGGTGTAAGCAATCAATGCGTGGTTATAATATTGAAATAGAACAAAATAGATATTTCTAAAAGAAAAAATAAACCTTTTTCTGAATCAAGATGTTGAGATTCTGTTGTCTCTGTCTGTATACCGATATCACATAACACGGTACCTTGATCTCCAAGAGTTTTTATAACTGAAATACAAAGGCAAAAATATTTTTAAATAATTGCACTAAAATACCAAATCTTACTTAAAATGTCATACGAAAAATCTTTGCTAAAGCCTTTTTTCTCTTGGGGGGAAAAGTCAAAGGACCCAAAGTTTATTTGCATTCCCCAAGCTCAAAGACCAATGCCAGAGGGGCAGAACAAGAATAAAAGTACAGCTCTTTTACAGCGTCTCAGGTCTATGCTTACATATCTATAATTTAGCTGGACATTTGCAGCTAACAGTAACAACTTCAGTCGGAATTCAATGGCCACTAAAACATACACTATAAAATGAATACTGAATACAAAAAATGAATACAAAAGAATTAATAAAATAAATTCAGGAATGAAAGAGAAGGCAAAATACATCTTCTGAACCTTTACCTTTCTGAATAGATAGAAACTGCTCTTGAATGGAATCAGGAATGGTTACTGGTGCTTTTAAGAAAAATACAGATTTGTTAGTTCTATTATAAACATCCAACTTCTTTTTTTGTGAATTTGAAAATTACAAACTAAATAAAAATTCTGTTCCAGCTGTCTGATTGTGAAGAAAGACCAATGAAGAGGTGGTCTCATCAAGAACTTGATTTGCATTGCTGTATAGCAATGACTTGGACTTGAATAGATTTTTCCATGTTTCATGGACAAAGATTGCTTCAAATCAATGACATGGATCAATGAGCAGGAACGAAAGGAGGGGAATTTCTGGGCGCTGACCAAAGGCACGGTCAAATAAATAAGATTTCAGAGGGTTTTGAAGAAAGCAGACGCAAAGTGAAGGGATGAGTTCTGGAGAATGAGGGCACAGTGACTGAAAGCTTGGTCGCTGATAAACGATAATCATTGTGTTTGATATAGCAGCTCATCACATTGTTGTGGCTAGGGAATTGAGCAATAGTTCAGGAGTGAGATTTTTGGGGCAGGTAGAGTACAACTGTGAGGAGATTTGAAGATTCGGACAAGGATCATGCATGTACTGAAGGTGCAGAAATTATTTAACGGATATATTTCCAGGTAAAGCATTCACATATAGATATCCCAAATAAAATTAAATATGCATACCTATCTGATGACAAGATCTTTGGTCATCAATTGAATCCACTTTTGCATCTTCACAAGGATCGGAAACACCTAAAATATTCTTGGCTTCTAATGAAAACAAAACTAAAGATTTTATTTGTTGTTTGACATCAGTTTTTGCAACTTGATATGTGTGAACTCAAGCACTTGACTAGCAGCACAGTGCAGTCAGTGGGTTTATGCCAACAGACTGGCGAATCAAAAGCACATCAACAAGGGCCTAACCCTAACCCCAAGTAGACATCTAAAGACATTTCAATAAGACACTAACACAATCCTAAACAACTTTCTGTCAATGTATAGGATATAGCAGCAAGGAGATAAATAAGGCATTATTTAGGGTGGAGCATTCTTAAACATAGTACTAAAATACCTGGTTCTGATATTGCAGTTTCCAGCATTGATTTGACTTCGGCTAAAACGCTGCTATGTTTACATTCGATTTCTGCATCATGAACAGATTTACTTGTTACCACAATAATCTATAAAGATATTTCCTTTCCCACATACAAATAATATTTTTCAAGATATTAAATAACTGGATTAAATAGAGATGAAAACGGTTGTAATACTTCAAAAAGAAACTATCCAAAATTAAGGAGGAACCAACTCTAATTTCATTGTCAGATGTGATTCAAAACCAGACTGCACACCAGAGAAAATTGAACATTTCCTGAGGGCATGTTATAATAATCTTTGCATTTGATATAACATTGAAACATCTCAAAGCACTGAATGCAAGGATTATTATATTACCCTTATCTACATGCACTGCCACTTTTAATGACCTGTACACCAATTGTGATTGGAATTATTTTGAAAGGTATTATTGTTGGTAATAACCAAGCCTGCATAAAAGATGGACGAATGAAGTTGTTTTCATTATAAGATTACGACATTAAGATTTAGTAGCAACTGGCTTATATCAGAATGTTTTAGTTAAAGTAAGTACATACAAACAATTCTATAAACAAAAAGTTAGAAACGTACCTGACTGATTATCCATTTCTTCAAGTATATGTTTGCAAACATCATCTTCATCTGAAATACATTTAAGATGTAAAATGGTCATATCATGTCCCTGAATTGCATTAGGTACGTATTCCTCTCTACTCAGTTACCAAGATATTTTCCTATTTATGTTTCCAATATACTTGTATAATTCACAAATAGCAATATAGATTATAATGAATGAAAAAAATTAAAATATAAATTTACTAAAATGTTTATGTCATAGATATTTGCTCTATATGAAGTATGACATGACTATTCTCATTATAAACATATACAGATTTGGCACAATGACATCTGGCAAAAATGGTGCACATGTCTTTTCCTTCCCCCAAAAAAAGTTTAGCCAAAAGTTGAATTTAAGAAAATAAGTAAATTTATACCTGATTGATCATGAGGCAATCCCAAATTTTCCAGTAACATTCTAACTTGGCATAAAAGAACTCTATATTTGCAGATACGCTTTGAACCTGGAGGAATACAAGAGTTCAAATATTTACATGAAATTACAAAGCAGGATGATTGACATAAAACATGATTTTGGTTCATAGCTAAGAAGAGATGACCAAATAAGTGACTCACAGTTTAAAGCGGTCATCATGCACACACCACTAACTATACCTGATGGATGGGATGATACAAGGAAATTTGATTTCACAGATGGAGGTTTGCAAACATCTTCTCCATCTGAAATATAGTTACAGTGTTTCACTTTACAGTATATTCCGTGAAGAGCTTTGAGACATCTCAACGACATGATAGTGCACTATATCAAACTCAAGGATTTTTATTATTATTATTCTTTAGCTTTTCAATCTATTTCAACCAAAGCAACATACATTACAATTTGTTGCATCGATTAAATATGTTCAACATTTTTTGCAATTACTTAAATGTAGTGAAGAATATTATTTGAAGATGAGTATCCCTGAAGTAAAACACTAAAATTATACCTAGTTGATAGTGAGATGGTCGTACTTTTTCCAGTAGTGTTATGACTTCACATAATTCAGCTCTATGCTTACAAACTTCTGATTCTGAAAAAATGCAAGAATTATTATCATTAGATAAAAACAATTTTGCAATTCTGATCTTCACTAATATTTTTTCTCACATTACAAATAAAACTATGATAATTCTTCACAACAGATATCTCTTCTAAGGACCTCTTCAGATTCTTTTCCCCAGTCCCACAGACAGCTGGAACATAGAAAGTGCTAAGTTCTATCCACATCAACATGTTAGACTGACTGTATATGCCACCTGAAAAGGATGGGGTGTCAAAATTCTGTACCATAATCTCCTATCAGAGGGAAGCTTCATCCAGGAACAATGCCCTCTGCATAACTCAGAGATCAAGAAGTACAAAAAGAAAATAAACCTTACCTCCATTGGAATCTATAGTTTCATGTTGTATAGCTTGTGTAGCAGCTGCCATATCTGTTTCTTCCTCAAAAGGTATCACATCTAAAAATGTATTTAAATGTTAAACACATTTAACAAATACAGTACCGCAGTACCAATACTGTATACTATAACATATCAGGCTATGTTTCTGAAAGTTTGTTAACTGAAAGAAGAAATAAGTGATGAAGGTTATAGCAATTAATTATTTAACTATAATCACATTAGTTTACAAAAGACAAATTGACTGCCCAATTCTCCGTAGATAGCAAAGAATATGATAGTGGTACTATGTGGGAAGAAACATTGGTAATCAATTTTCCAAGCATAATGCCAAAATTGTTGAATGTTATTGAATGTTCATAAATTTAATTACAAACAATACAGGATACATGATAGTATATAAGGGTTTCAAATTCTTTTTTTATTGATTTTGTCTGAAGATTGCAATCCTGAAAATAGGAGCAATAGAATGCAGTGAATATTGATAAAAGTAGCTTACAAATATGAAATGGTTGTTAAATTAGTCTTGGATCAATACCCACCATATTCCACTGACCTTAGGGCCAAATAAAAGATTCTAAGATTACTATGCCACTCAATAAATGTAACATATAACATTATAGGATATACTCTGCTGCATCTGCCCCTTTCCTATAGTTTACCTGAATGCAATAGTAGTAAACTTCCAGATGCAACATTTTTTTTAATGTTACAGATATTAATGTTTTACATGAAGTGGGTTAGTTTCATAAGGTCATGTAGTTCTTTGTTTCTTCTTTCAGTGGATAATCTTCATGTTTTGGATCTCGATAGTTAGTCTTGTCAGACTATTAATTATAATCCTTCAATCCTTCAATAATCAAAGCACTTTATACGATTTTACTGAGAACTAGAATGACTACATTTGTAGGCGAACGCAGCAATTTGTTGTGCATAGCAACGTCCCACAAACAGCCAAGACCAATGAATAACCAATTTTAATTGGGGCTTGTTGACTAGAACATTGGGAGAAACTTCCTTCTCTATTCAACTGTGGATGGTGTGAGCAGTTCTGTAAATCCTGTGAAGCATTTTGAGACATCCTCCCAATAAAAAGCATTTTCAATATTGTTTTATTTACCTGAAAACAATAGTGGTAAACTTGTAGCTGTAAAAAAGAAAATTTAACGTTAAAGACCATCATTTGTTTCCTGAAGCAAGTTAGTTCCACAAGGACTAACAGTTCTGTTATTTCACTCAGTTTAACTGTGGATTGTGCTAAAGCTCTGTTTGACCCCATCCTCACCAAATAGACAAGTAGACTGGGTTAATTGCCATGTTTTTATTTATATCATCTAACTCAGCAAAGACTGAATCTTAGCAAAGACTGAACCAAGATTGAATCTAGGACCTTTCGTTGATTGGCTCCAAACAGTGCATTCATTCACCCAGTAACTCCACAATATAGTTTAATATGTTCTATCTTCATTCTCGCTTTCAACCGCCTTAGGGTCCCTCTGGATTTTAACCTGACAACCTTCTTTCTGCTAAAGTATCAAAAGATTCTGGGGGGCATTATGTAATCATTTACTCCCTTTCCTGTTCTCTCTATTTAATCTACATTGTTGCAGACGTTGGAGTAGTTGTTTATAGAGAAGGATACATAAAGTAGAAACATGTTCTCTTCACAAACAATGGATTCCTCACCTCGTTGCGGTTCAAATTCATCTAGCATAAAAAAAGGAAAAAAAATTAGGTATAGCTGTGCAAAAGGCGTTTTATTTGGTTTAAATTATATTTCCAGCACAACCTTACATTAGGGAGATCTCTTTCACAGTATGTCATTAACAAAGCCCACTTAAAATTTAGGGTGCAACATTGTAAAAGGTATTTCTTGCTTTATAGTATTGTGTGAGATCTTTCCGAATAAAAGTATGGTAAGTTTTATAACGTTCATAAATTTAATTACAAATAATCAGAGCAGCAAAGTTCCTCCTGCCTTACGTAAATGGAGTAAAACAATAAAAATAGATATTTTTCAGGTAAAATAAAAAACATTGGATTTCTGTTCAGTACACACATGTTGAAAAAGGGTATAAACTCTCTCTTCGGAGTAATACTTTAAGAACCACATAAACCTCAACACATTTCTGGCTTGACCTGGCGTTATAATACAATGCATATAGTAATTTTTCTACCATTTCTCTATGCATTTTTGTAAATACACAGTTCAAGTTGAACGCAAGCCAAAGGGAATGGTTACACTTCTCATTGTTTATGGATTGAGAGAACAAACTAAAAAAAATGAAACATACCTTCAGAAGAATGGTAAGGTTGATGAGGTATTGGCTGTATATTAGATGACATACTTCTAATTTCCTGTAAAGCTTCCACATCTGAAATTTTTAAAATACTGTAGTAAGCAAATGTGCAGTATAAGCTAGAACTAAAAGATTCTATTTTCTGAAAGTGTAGAAATGTAAGCAGATATAGTTCCAGAATCACCATAGGTCTCAAATGGAAAAATCGAATAAAAAAACAATATATAGCATATATTACCAGAAAAGGTTCTATGCACATTGCTATCTGCAAAAAAANTCAGAAATAATTTTTAGAAATGTTATTTTTTAAATAGCGTGAACAATTGCATATCAAAAGGATTCTGCTCTGCAATATACAGGCTGCAAAAGTGCTAACTAAGTTTTTTGCCTCAATTTTTACTAAGGAGGAGACAGGTAATTTATTTGATTATATTGGAAGGGGAACTCGAGAGTGTTGCAGAGATAAGTTGTAACATCATTCGCATCACTACCAGCATAGTTGCCCAAAAGCTGTACATAGGTAAATAAGTCTCAGGGACCAGATAAATTGCATCCCAGGATCCTTAAGGATCTAATGGAAGAAGTTGCAGGAACTCTGGCACAAATCTTCCAGAAATCACTGAATACCGGAGAGGTGCCTGGAGACTGGAGAAAGGCAGATGTTACTCCTATTCTTTTTTAAAAACAAAAGGCAGCAAGAATGACCCCAAAAACTACAATCCAGTGCGTTTGACCATTGTGATGAAGCTATGCAGACCCTTATTGATGATACGATCATGAAGCATCTGGACAGAAACAAAATCATAAAAGATAGCCAATATGGGTTCATGAGGGGGAGATCTTGCCAATCTAATTCACTGTTTTTTTTTGACAGTGAGCTTGATAAGGTTAAGACAGTGGATGTTGTATATTTAGATTTCAGTGAACTCAATATTCAGAACTTGAATGTACAATCTGATAAAGACACAAGAGTTCTGAGCGGCATGCACAATGACAACGGCACATGAAATCTGATTGGGTGTCTTATATTGTCCATTGCAATTGGATTTCATAGATGGAAATCTTATACATCATAATCTCTAAATTACCAGATTTTATTTTTGCAAATTAGTGAAATAACTGTTCAAAATAATTTCTGCTTATTTGTAGCAAGCAAAAGTAGTAATTACCTGAAACGGAAGAACGAATTCCTGCAAAATATGAATAAATTATAAATATTAGCATTCTCAATCTAATTTATGTCTCAGACATGGACAATATATTGATCAGAGTATTTGAGATGTTATTTTTCCCCTTGCTTGTGTATCTTGTAATTATCAACTGGTGTACCACATACTGTTGACAATTTTCTGCAATAATAAAATGTTGCTAAAAGGTCAGAGCTTGGGAATGTGCTTGTCAGTTTGTTTTTGACAAAAAACAAATGAAACAAAAAAGGAAATAAAATTGTCAAGCTAACACTACCTGAGGGGCTTGAGGGGATAGCACGGAGAAAGGGCAGTAGGCTGAGGAAGCATTCAAAGAATAAGGAAGACTGCTTGGTCAGGCGATCAGAACATGGGTCAGCAGACGTAGCATGCTGCTGCCTAAAAGCTTTTAAAGCAGTGTGGCCTCTTTAGCTATTTTTCATGTTGGCATTTAACCAACAGTATTAGGAGTATGTGGAATCAGGAAGAATGAGACATACATACAACAAACATCCACCCAGCCCTAACCCGTAAGATGGTTTTGTCTTCAAATTTAAGATGACACAAAAATGCGGAAGATGCTTGAATTCAGTTTTAATTTGGAGGCCGGTTCTCTTTAAAGATTGTGGAAAACCATCTTCCAGATTAAGAATGTATTTCAGTTTTTCACAATTCTGGACCATCCTAAATTTTAAGTATGACAGAATAAGATTATTTAGTACAGCATATCCGGCCAATAGTATTTGAAATATACCTGATTTTGAGTGTAAAAAATCATCCGTTACATTGTTACGCTCCATGCTCCTAGCTGCTTCCACTTCTGAAATATTTAACAAGTACAATACTGATAAATTTAAGAATATAAAGATGACAACACTGTACTAACATTCAATCCATAAAGTATGTCAAATTCAAGTAATTTAGAATCCTCTCCAAAATCTGCAATTGTACCCACATGGTAACACTTCCAATTAAATTACTAAAATGCTGTGCAAAAATATACCTGCTCCAGTTGTCCCATCACTTAAGACTCACAATCTGGAGAACAGAAAATCAAATCCTAGGTGGCAGCCATCCACCATTGCGCTCAATATGACCCTGTAAAGCAGTTAGCAATAGAAGGGATATAAACACTAAATCTGGAGGATCTCAAACATACACACCGGGCTTTGGCATTGTCTTTTCATCCTCATCATCCTCAACGATGGCATCTACAGTACAAAGGCAAAAACAAAATCTCCAAGATTAGGTGCCTTATAGGATCATCATCATTATGCCCTTGACATATTTCAGGAATAAAATCAGATTGACAAATACAAAAAACTAGCCTGATTTGACAACTTACTGAAATTAGGTAGGGTACACATTCAATGAAGCTAAGTCTGCCTGAAGAACTGCCAATGTTGTACATTGGATAAACACTGAGGCCGAATGTGCAATCTTCACACATATTTTCATTGCTAGCGAGTTCTATATTAATCAACTCTATTTTTAATCATGAAATGAATGCATCTTTTTCTCCACAGGTTACATTCAACAATCAAGGTGAAATAAAGTGCAAGCCAAAGCCCTAATGGGTACGGTGATCCTAGCTGGACAAGTATCGAGAAGCTTGCTAGACAATGTTCTCAAGGCAAGCAATGCCGTTTTTACTGCTGGTTAAATTCCAGTAGTATCCCATTGCACACTCTGGGCGCCCATTATGGTTTACATATTTAACCTATACGTACCTTTGGTACAAACTGAGTCGCTGCTTTCTGATGATGAAAGTTCCACTTCATCATTATCCACTTCATCATTATCTTTCCAATATAAATGAACATCATCAAAATAAGATTAATTAGTTCAACTTTCCAAACCCATTCACGTTGTTCTGCAACTTTTCTAACTGAAAACATAGGAAGGTTTGTTTTCTTTTAGGTTAATAAAATAAGTTTGGGATAAGAAGCACTTCAAGGCATACCTACTAAAGCAGCCGCAGCAGAAACTTTACCATCTTCTGGGAAAACAAAAAACAATATTCATTTAAGCTATTGATCAGTAATTGTCATCGCCCCCCCCAGGGTCTATGTAATAATAATCCTTGCATTTGATATAGTGCCTTATCATGTCTTCGAGACGTCTAAAACTGCTTCATAGATATTCTGTAAAGTGAAGTGACTGTATATTTTATGGACGAAATACAGCAGCCAATTGCCATGAAGATTTGTATGAGTAAGGTTGTTATTTTTTCAATACTCACTGGATCTTAACAAGATATTCCATAAAGCATCATTCTTTTTTCTCTTTGTCAGTTTTAACTCAAATAAATCATTTTCTTTTTTAATAAATACTTCATAAAATGGCTGTTTTAAATCCATATCAATGTAATGGAATTTCATTTCCTGTAATAAATATAAAATTATTATTTTTCTTAAAATGCAACAGTATAATGAACTAAAAATAAACACAATTTCCACAAATACAAACAGAAGTACTTCTCCATTTCCTACTTGATTTACTATCAAAACTTCTCTCTTTCGCTGCAATATATAAATTCTTCCAATATGGCAAGTAAGCGTGGTTTGAATAATCAATGTTCATTTGCTTTGTGTATTCAGAAAACATAGGTCCCTCCAGTAACAGTCTGTTCCTTTATAAATGTTGCTTTATAACTGTTGACTTAAATTTGTATTTTTTATATAATGTGTCTCATTCAATGGTTTAACATACAGGTGACATATTAAATAAGATTTCAGTTAGATGAAAAGTACAACAGGAGTGAATTTATCATCTAATTATGACTATAAAATAAGATGAATTTGTCCCATTTTTTGTTCCAAAGCTTTAATATTAATTAATAATAGATTCGTTCTTAATAATATGGCATTAACACTTTCTGAAGTTAACTGAATTTTAGCAGTACATACATATTTCTGCTTACTTCTGGTATGATCTGAATATCTGAAGAGCTAATTAGAGAATACTTTCTACCAAAGTAGAGGGACCTTGTGGGTGAGGGACGTTTAATCATAACCGATTCGGATTCCTGCAAATGAACTGCCTGCAAAATAGTGGAGAAGCACAACTTTGTTTTGCAATGCACTCTCATATCATAAGGTAGTCACAGAATAAAAATTGAATTAAAACAAAATTACCTGCATTATTGAAAGGTCATTTGGTATAACATAGACATGAAGAATTACAGCAGCTGGGTTTGCAGTTTGATAAATCATTGTCAGACTATAAAATGAAAACCACGAGTTTCTGTCAACAATAACTCCCATAAGCGAAAAAGTTGGCATTTGTAATTCAGCATGAGCTTGATGAATTTCTGATGGCTTCAGTACACTATAGGAGCTTTCTTTAACATGGAAGATGGCAAAGGTATAATCTATTTTTCTATCTGTGCCTGCAGAAGAAAAAAAACATGTTTATGCATAGTTGTAGTTTTCTATAAACGAAACACGTCATAGGAGAGAACCCTGAAAATTTCAACCACAGGAAAAAAAATTAATTGATGTTTCCCTGGAGGATTGTTCGTTATGTATCAACCTTCGGAACAAAAAAGGCCATACAAGCATTTTAAAGTCATTATCTGAAATATTGTCTCTGTGATTTTATCCTCTCAAAATGTCAGCAAATGTTGGCACCCAATTCTCTGTGGATGGAAATGTGAAATGTTTTCCTTTGGGTGGGAACAATGTGTGTAAACATACTTAGTTTATTATTTATTATTATTATTAATGTATCAGGCTATTTTTCAACAAGGAACAGTGACAGTTTTTCTGTAATATCAAACAATACAATTGAACTATGTATACACTATCAACTTAATGGGAACTACTTCCCTAAAAAACATTGTAATACCAATTGGAACAATAATTTAAACACAGTATAATGCATGTGTACAGTCAAGCGCAGAAATAAAGAAAATATTTAAAGATACCTTTTAAACAAATAAAATGAGGAAGATGAATAGCTGTAATAACACTGTCTTCTGCCAAAATATTAAACAATGGACCTGAAAATTCTGCTTTCTGTATCACAATAATAGGAGCATATTCACGCCACGAGCAATATCTGTAATCAATAGTTGTTGATTTTGTGATTTCCCATCTTAGTCCAGTTACAGCACATTCATAATTGCCTTCATCTGGGAGGGAAATCCTGCACAGAAATGTGAATATGAGAATGTAATATAGAACAAAAAGACATAAAATGATTGGGTTTCTAATCATACTTTACCTAAAAAATAACTCATGATCAGAGACATCAGGCTCTATCACTGTCCAGTTTGTTTTTTCCTACAGAGGAACAAAGAAAGGGAATATATCAGATTTTGGAGTAAATCAGATTGTTCCTTAGTATCCTATTTTTACTACATGAAACACATTTCTAGCCAATTACATTTAAATCAAAACTGTTACCTCTTCATTCTCATACATGTTAGAAATAGTCATCTTTTGGTGACTAAACTCACAAAGTATCCTCATCATTCCTGTGCGAAAAGATAAATAGGAACAGGTTTATTTTTTCTCTCTACTTTTTCATAAGAATTATTTATTACAATTTGTAGAATTTTGCAGCTACAGTATTTGGATTCACCAAGACTCATCAGAATCGAGTACAGTGGGAGTTACTGCAGTAAGTGCACTACAGTTACATTAATAGCATAACTGGATTATATGACACATTACGCAATTTGGTCAACTCCCAAGTAGTCCAATGTTACAACAGTTTCCCTACTATGTCAGCATGACAGATTTAGTAATCCAAGTGGTGTAATTAACAAAGCTGTGAGTTTGTTTAGAAACATGATGACATACATCCATTTGTCCACATTAACCAGATATAGACACATCATCTACTGTAATTCCAGTATCATATCTATTTGAACTCATATAATTCACTCATTGTGTATTTGTTCAATATACATTTAGAAATAGCTAATCTGGCTATAAAGGAAAAGGATGCCAGTTCCTGTAAGAGACTTTTCCAGGTGAAATTATATAACATTCTTCTTTCTGCGCTTTACAATAATACTTTCAACTATAATAATAATCCTTGCATTTGATATAGCGCCATATCACATTTTCGAGACGTCTCAAAGTGCTTCACAGAATATACTGTAAAGTGAATTGACTGCGTTTTTAATTTACGTTATATGGGAACACTCCTTCCAAGGCAAGGTTTCCCGATAAATTATCAAAAAAGATTGTTTAAATAAACAGATATTTAAAAAAACATAGAAACTTGAGAAAAAGGTTGTTACTTCTAATTTATATATTTTTAAAAAAAGTGGCATTAGCTATTTAAAACAATGAAGGCAGATAACGTACTTCTGTGCCTCTCAGTAGTTTCTGAAGTCACAGGTTGAAATTTAGCAGGCGGGCTCCAATCTAAAATATATTTAAAAAGATATATTTTAATATTATCACAATTAAATATCAGAAAATAACAATAAGAATGTAGTATTAAAATTCTACAAATAGTGTTACCTGCTGATGTACCTTTGGGGAATTCGCCTGCAACTGAAACAAAAAAGATTGTGAAAATCTGTTCACAATTAACTAGTGTTAAAATACACAAATATTTGAAATTTTGACACGTTAAAAATACCTGTGATTTTAGCTTAAGACTATCGAGTCCACTCAAAGTCTTCCAAAAGAAAAGCCAAGAAAAGCAGCAAATCTGAAGATTGGGAGAGTTTTAGAAACCAGCAAAAAAAAACTAAAAAACTCATTAAGAGCGAGAAAAAGGAGTATGGGGGTAAGCTATCGAGGAACATTAAGTCTGATTGTAAAAGTTTTTACAAATATATTAAGAGGAATAGTCGAGTGAGGGTAAATGTAGGTCCACTTCAGTCAGAGACGGGAGAAGTTGTAATGGGGGATAAGGATATGGCAGTGTCCCTAAATGGGTACTTTGCATCTGTCGTCACCCTAGAAGACAAAACAAGTCTGCCAACAATAGAGATGCACCAAGTGGATAAGGACAGGGAGCAACTTAGGGAAATTTTCACTCATGGAGAATTGGTGCTCGGGAAACTGTTAACACTAAAAAGTGACAAATCCCCTGGTCCGGATGGCTTGCATCCCAGGGTTTTAAAAGAGGAGCTTATGAGATAGTGGAGGCCTTATGTCTGATCTTCCAAAATTCCTTGGATTCTGGAACAGTCCCCATGGATTGGAAGATCGCAAATGTCACACCACTATTTAAAAAAGGTGGAAAAGGAAAGATAGGGAACTATAGGCCAGTTAGTCTCACATTAGTGATAGGAAAAATTCTAGAATCGTTGATTAAGGATGTGGTAGTGCGGTATTTAGGACACAATATAATTAGGCCAAGTCAACATGGCTTTACAAAAGGGAAGTCATTTTTGACAAATCTCATAGTTTTTTGAGGATATTTTGAGTAAACTTGATAAGGGTGAATCAGTGGATGTAGTCTATTTGGACTTCCAGAAGGCATTCAATAAGGTGCCGCATAAAAGGTTAGTCCAAAAGATAAGGGCCCATGGAATTGGGGGGAAGCATATTAACGTGTATTGGGGAATAGTTAATGGGTAGGAAACAAAGAGTAGGGATAAACGGGTCCTTTTCAGATTGGAGGGATGTGACTAGTGGAGTACCACAAGGCCTCAGCTATTTACCATCTACATCAACGATCTAGATGAGGACATCGAAGTTAAGATATCTAAATTCGCGGATGACACAAAACTAGGAGGAAGTGTCAACACAGAGGATGACATTAAAAAAATGCAGCGAGACATAGATAGGTTAGGTGATTGGGCAGGTAGGTGGCAGATGAAGTATAATGTAGGGAAGTGCGAAGTCATCCACCTGGGTAGCAAAAACAGTAGATCGGGTTATTTTTTAGAAGGGGAGAGATTGGAATGTGTTAGCGTCCAGAGGGACTTGGGTGTCCTTGTACACCAATCACAGAAAGTTAGTCTGCAGGTGCAGCAGCAATTAGGAAGGCGAACGGTATGTTAGCATTCATTATGAAAGGATTAGAGTATAAGAGTAGGGAAGTCTTGCTGCAACTGTATAGGGCCCTGGTGAGACCACACCTGGAATACTGTGTGCAGTTTTGGTCTCCTTATTTAAGGAAGGATGTACTTGCCTTGGAGGGGGTGCAGCATAGATTTACTGGGTTAGTACCAGGGATGAAGGGGATGAGTTACGAGGATAGGCTGACCAATTTGGGCCTTTCTTCTCTAGAATATAGAATTAGAGGGGATCATCAAAGAGCATAATCATCAAAGGGTATGGCTTACTCCTGCTCCTACATGTCATGTTATGTTATGAAATTTCAACTGCTGCTTAACTATGGCAATCATTGAAGTGTTTAACTGAAATGACACCATTTCCATTTCCGTTAAAGAACAAACACAAAATTCTGTGCAATCTGCAAACCTCATACCCGGAAATCGAATTACTGAGGTGATTCGCTTTCCCAGACAGCAATATCACATCCCGTGAACCTCAGAAACGTGTCGGCACGTCTAATGCGCGTCGAGTATGCATTTACTTTAAAAGCTGCCACAGAATCTAGTGCTACTTGTGCGACTGTAAGGTCCAATCCCATTAAGGGTGTAAAATATTAAAAGGCAAATTACTGGTATAGTCAATGACTCCAGATCCATCTGCACCTGCAAAGAGAGAAAAAAAAAGAGGAGCCTTTTATTTATTTATTTTTTTTAAAAAAAAAACAACATTTCGATCCACGGCGCTTGTCCGAATAATAAGAACCACCGCCGCCGCCGCCACAAGACGCCTCTTGCCTCTCGATGTGGCGCTTTCCGCGCCGTCGAGACGTCTCGAAGGCGCTCCGCGGGCGGATCGTGCAACCAAATTATTGTGGGTTTTTTTTTCGGTCTTGAGGGACTATATGTGCAATAATAATAATAATGTGTGGTGGGGGTGGTGGTGGGTTGGGGGGTGGGGGGAGGAGGAGGAGGGGGGGGAGGAGGAGGAGGAGGGGGAGGAGGGGTGGGGGGGGGGGAGGAGGAGGAGGGGTGGGGAGGAGGGGGGGTGGGGGGAGGAGGAGGAGGGGGAGGAGGGGTGGGGGGAGGAGGAGGGAGGAGGGAGGAGGGGTGGGGGAGGAGGGGAGGGGGGGGGGAGGGAGGAGGAGGGGTGGGGGAGGGGGGAGGGTGGGGGAGGAGGGGGGTGGGGGGGAGGAGGGGTGGGGAGGGGGGGGTGGGGGGAGGAGGGGTGGGGAGGGGGGGGAGGGGGGTGGGGGAGGAGGGGGGGGGGGTGGGGGGGGAGGAGGAGGAGGGGTGGGGAGGGGGGGGTGGGGGGAGGAGGAGGAGGGGTGGGGAAGGGGGGGGGGGTGGGGGGAGGAGGAGGAGGGGTGGGGGGGGGGGGTGGGGGGAGGAGGAGGAGGGGTGGGGGGGGAGGAGGAGGAGGGAGGGGTGGGGGAGGAGGAGGAGGGGGGGGGGTGGGGGGAGGAGGAGGAGGGGGAGGGGGGGCTAGTTCTAGCCATCGAGAAGAGTCAATGGCGCTGCACGTACTCCTCTCCTGGTAAGTCACGATGGATTCCAACGCGAGACCACACTCCCCCACCGTCAGGTCGTCCTCCAGCGGCTGCTGGGCCGCCAGGAGCCTGAGCCGCTCGGGGCTGACGGGCTCGGGGTTGCTCGGGTCCGCGTTCAGCAACGCCGTCAGGTTCCGCTTCACGTCCTCGATGGTGTCGCCCAACTTCACCCCCACACGGAATTGCCTCCCGTCGACCCGCAGGACGTTTAAGTCGAAGGTCGCCTCGGCCCCGGCGTCGGCCATTTGCTGTGAGGCCATCTCTCTCTCTCTCTCTCCCTCCCTCTCCCTCACTGGGGGGTGTGTGTGTGTGTACGAAGCTCCTCTCCCGCCCTCCCGCCCCCCGCGTGTCGGTTCAAATCGGCCACGTGGTTCCAACGGTCCAAACGCCCTGCGCTCGTGCGCACCACGTGCTCAAACCGTCCACGTGCTCAAACCGTCCACGTGCTCAAACCGTCCACCTGCCCCCCCCCCCCCACAAGCCAACCATGCGGGAAGCGCGGGCACCGCCGCAGGCGACGCGGGCACCACAGGTAATGTGTAACATGGGCACCACAGGTAACGTGTAACATGGGCACCACAGGTAAGCCATAGGTAACGTGGGCACCACAGGTAACGTGGGCACCACAGGTAACATGGGCACCACAGGTAACATGGGCACCACAGGTAACATGGGCACCACAGGTAACATGGGCACCACAGGTAAGCCATAGGTAAGATGGGTACCACAGGTAATGTGGGCACCGCGCAGGTAACGTGGGCACCGCGCAGGTAACGTGGGCACCACAGGTAACGTGTAACATGGGCACCACAGGTAAGCCATAGGTAACGTGGGTACCACAGGATTACATGGGCACCACAGGTAACATGGGCACCACAGGTAAGCCACAAGTAAGATGGGCACCACAGGTAACATGGGCACCACAGGTAAGCCACAAGTAAGATGGGCACCACAGGTAACATGGGCACCACAGGTAAGCCACAAGTAAGATGGGCACCACAGGTAAGCCATAGGGAGCATCGCCCTTTTAGTGACAATATAATGAGTACTTGGCCTGCTTCGTGCTCCCTGCTCGATCCACCCCACTGTTGGCGAAGGAGCTCTCAGCCATTCTGCCCCTGTTGTCTGGAACTCCATCCAGGGGGTTCCTGTGACTCACTTTCATCCTGCCCACTCTAAAGGACCATCTTCAGATGGTCATCTGTCCGGCCCCCAACCCTTCTTCAGCTCCCCTGCCCAGCTCAGGTGCTCAACCAGATGTTCCAAGTGCTTTGAGACATTTCCCTCCCCCACCTCCAACGCGTGAAAGGTGCTTTTATTGTATTGTAAATTGTATTGTATCACATAATGACTCCCTAATATGTAGCGGTACATTGAAAATAAGATACGAGCAAAAAGCTGTACAATTTTGGCAATTTTATTTTGCTGTCAACATCAATACAACTATACGCATTTTTTTTTCTGAAAACTGAATAATTTTCTGAAGGAACATTTGAGGTTTTGCCCTGCCTCATGCTATCCATTGATGTATTGCTTCTGGTTAGACCAACCCACTAAATTTCAATGTACACCTGCATCATGAACATCGGGCGGGATGTGATATGACAAACATTGATAACCAAACCAGGTTTATTTTCAATCAGAAATAAATGCAAAACATATTTTTTGATCATTCACACTGGAGAGAGAAAATGGTGTTGAGGAAATGTGCAAAAATGTTTTGTTTAAAAAAAAGTTAAAATCATCGTGAGCAATCATCCTCTAACACAGTGTAAAACAGCACTAGAACTTGAAAAAACACTGCCTGTGATGAATTGGATGCTTATAGGATGCATTTATGTAAGTTTAAATGTGAAATACGGTAAACAAAAAACTGTTTTAAAATTAATGTTCCAAATTTTTAACCAGGATTGAATTTTTGCAGAAAAATTATAACAGTTTGGTTTGGGGGCATTCTTTCCTGTGCAGAATTTTGTCTCTTCCCACCAACATCCAGCCAGCAATTTCTAAGGTACTTTTACCTTTAATTGATTATACAAAGTTAAAGACATAGAGACAAATTTAGCAGTCTTCAGTCTCAACCAGCATTACTTGAAAGTCACTCATTTTATGAGCAGATAGAGTTAGATTCACATGACATACTGGAGAGCAGAAAAGCCACTTGTAAGCTGGTCACAGGTCCTGAGCAAAAGACCAACCCTTTGACATGTAATTAGTTTTGTTTTTAGTAACAATAATCCTTGTTTTGATATAGTGCTTTATTACTTCTTCGAGACGTCTCAAAGCGCTTCACAGAATATACTGTAAGGTGAATTGGCTGAGTATTTTGTGGGCAAAATGTTAGTTATTTAATAACTATACATCTGTTCCATAAACAAATTGTTGAATGATGAATTGAAGAAAAGCTTGTCTTAATCTGCTCGTGAAGACTCACTTATAACTATATCTGCCCTCTTCAGCTAAAAAATAAACTGCATTACAGCTCCCCATTGCATATCCTAATAACATCCTTCTCAGTGCTAGAGAGGAACTGTGAACTCTGAAGCCCTTTGAATTAAACACGTGTCTGCAGAACATTCATTAAATTTGTTATTAAACACTTTTTAATGCTTCAGATACATCTGTATTACTAACAAATTGTGAACTTAATAAAACATTTATGCAGAGCTTTGGCTTGAGTACAAACAAACAGGATAACCATATTATTGGCCATCTCCTTCAAGGGAGAGGGGAGAGATGCACATTTAATTCAAACAGAACATAAAGAATGGTACTTCATTCTGCCTATTTATGCTATTCACAGGAGGTGTTTCTTTATAACCCACCCTGAAATCAAATACCATCGCAGTTGCATGGCTAACCAGTGCATTTATCAATCATGCACACTTTAAGAGCTAGCCATCCATTTTTAACATAATCCAGCCCATTTATCCTGTATAAAAGCATCTGTGTCCTGAACATCAGTGAAGAAAATTATGAATCTAAGGAACTGACAAATGTTCAGTAGTGATGTGTTAAAGAAAAGATTTTGTCAACACTTTTTTCAATACGACAAATAATGTTGTATCACAATGTTTCAGGAAAACAATTAACTTCACAGTTCATTTTTAAGTAGGTCGTCCAGTGGCTGTCTTGTGGAAATATAGAAAACTGTAGGGTTTGGCCAAAGTCAGTTCATTGAATCCTTCCGATGGAGTCAAAGTTATTTCCAGGTTGGAAGGAACCATTCGAGGCAGAGACCAACACTATCGAAGGAATGCCACTATCTCCTGATGGAAGCCAGGTACGCGTACCAGAACAGAGCTACCAGATTAGCGAACAGCACCCGGAACTGAAAAGAGGGACAGTAAAAGGATCAAACCAAACAGGAGGAAAGGAAACACAGACTTTGATCTTAGCTATAGAGAACTCCATACTAGAATCCACAATGATTTTATCTTTGAACTTGCAGCAACCCAGTAGCATTATTGGAAGCAAAATCATCTGCAAACAGAAGCACTGTAATTCTATCGGAAATGCCTGGATCAGACATACTAAATCCCTCTCTCTCAATGCCATTCAATACATTATTGATGAATACTGTGAATAAAGTGGCGGATAGACAAATTTGCAATATCCCCCTTTTTAGAGACAAATGTTCAGTCAGTGTTCCATCAACCCTTAGCACTGATCTTAGATTTGGAATACCTATCCTAGGTAAAACATAAGAGCTGACCATGCATTCCCATAGCTTTTAGCTTCTTCACGAGCTTCTTGAGGCACTAGTCTGAAATCCTTACAGAAATCAATGAACAGAACTTAATTGGGTTTCCGAAGTCTTACGAAGCTCTGAGACCTCATACAAAGCCACGAGGTGCCCCACACATTTCATTCACCTTGAAAGCTTTACATACTGGTTTTGTCTATACAGATATGTGTTGAAGAAGCATCACCTGCTTGCTAAAGGGTTACATAACACTCAGGCTGCAGATTTATTCCATCATTATGCATAAATACTGTAAAACAACTTGTTACTTTAACTAAGGATAGGTCAGTGGCAGTTAAGCACCATGAGCAATTCCAAGATGAAATTTTAATATTAATCCATGCAACCAGTGAATATACTGTACCTGAGGAGGAACGTAATTGATGTTAATGTATTGAAATATTGTCCAAACTTTCCAGTTCATTTTCAGAGCTATCCAGTAACTGGTCTGCATTTTATCCTTCAGTGCCTTCATTTTCTTCCCCTGTCATAGACAAAGTAATACAACATTCAGATCAACGGATTGCCTCAGACCTCCCAGCCCAGGTGATTGTATGGGACAGAATCCCTTCCATTAACCCTACTTTAATCACTCTGAATCAAAGATGATTATTAGAACTACTCCAACTCATAGACGAAAACACGCTCCTTAGCTGAGCCAATCACGGGTACCATTGTTACAAGCACTCTGGGATGCTATCCTGCATGAGGGGCGCTATATAAATGCAAGTTGCTGTTGGATATTAATAGCACCATAGCATTGGTTAAAATGATACGAGAGTATGTCCCAGTGCGCTGGCGAACAATCCTCCGATAAATTGGTCATTCACGCTGTGGCCATTTGCAGGAACTTGCTGTGCTCCATGAAATAAAAGCAACCTTCTGAGCCAGGGGTAAGAGTGTTGCCAACAGAGCAAATGGATATTCACTGTGACCCACCTCGAGCATACTGATAACGAAGAAGAAAAGAGCCAGGAAGGCTGGAGCAAACACCAGACGATCTACAAGCAGTCTCTTTATTTGTGAGAATGCAACATTGGATGGGATATACTTGTCCAGAAACTGATAGAAGAAGTGACTTAGAGGCCCTGTGAAAACCAGCCTGAAATCAAATAAAAATAAAGCAATGCATTGTAATATTTTGCAGCACAGAAATATGCCATTAGGTCCATCAAGTCTGTGCTAGTGTTTTTCTCCACATGAGCCAAATAATCTATTAGCACTCTCCTACTTGCTCCCAATACCATTTAACATCCCTATATTTTTAATTCCTTAAGCATCCTTCAAAAATCTAATTCAAATGCACTTACTATTATTATTATAATTCATTATTTAGAGACTAAGGAATATGAAGTAAAAATTCTGTTCAGTGTTATACATTGGCGATACACCTGTTAGTGGCCACTGAGTTGATCATCAACAGTGCTCTGGAATATTACTGACTGCCTGGCTCAGGTATCAGACTTCTGACCTCCATAGAGTACCTACTTGATTCTATTCTTCCATTACCATTTTGTATCCTTCCTTTATCAGGGTCCAGCAAACTGTACCAAATACTCAAAATATATGACCTAACTATAACTACGCCCTTGAATGTAAGTCTCCAGTCTGCTTACCCAAATACTCCAAATCTGATCGGACCTCCAATGTCGAGACTCGTTCCTGTGTTTGGTTGCTTGCCCCTTCTCTCAATAACTTGGGACAGAATGTTTCCAAATCCTGAGAGGATTCCACTGCGAGGAAAATGAAATAATGAGTACAGTATTCTTATAAAACTATATTTGGGTGGGAGGAGTGGGGGAAGAGGAGTCAAGAAATTGTACTGGCAGTTTAATTTTAAAAGCTGTGGGATGTGGGTACTGCAAGATATTCCTAGTTTAAATACAGCAATATCCGAAGAGATTCCACTTGCAGATTAGGATAATAAGCAAACATGGAGCATCTCCACATGTATTAGATTACACGTAGTTGTTTCGGCCACCAAATACATAGACAATCCACTTTTCAGTATACCCTTTGAGGCATTCTCCCAACATGAAAGCTGCTATATAAATGTAAAATTATTGTTGATTACATGCTCAATGTTAACAGCCATTTCATTCAAGGTTATTAACTCAAAAGGCAAAACTAACTTTGTGATTTGATCTAAACAACAAAGAAAATCGACTGCCCATGGAATGTTTGCATTTACAGAAATTCAAACTATTTTGAGTGAGTGAGAAGTTCCCTGATTCAATCGCAGTCTGTGCTGAGTTAACTCATTTCAATCAGGGCAATAGAATGGGTGCTATAGTTTCCTCAAAGTCCTGGGAAAGTGAACAATCACAATGGTTCCTGCTACTGATTGATTTCAATGGACTCCTGCTAAAAATGCGCATATTGGTGATGGATGAAGATAGGATTCCAAGTTGGGTTCAGATGTAATTCTGCCCACAGTCAGCTAACATTCAATGCTAAACTCACAATGAAGAATTGCCACTAGGGTGAGGCTTACAAAAATACAAAAGATACCTGAAATGTATTAATAAGTGCAGTGACTGACATATTATGTAAGTCTGTTCAGTGAAGCAGGCAGATCGCAAGGACAAAGTTGATGTTGACTACTGTTAACTTTTGTGTGTTCAAGTTACATATAATGTCAATTTCACTTCAGCAAACTTTGCCCTGTTCAGTGTTTCTTGGGTAAATGATAAACCACTAGATTAACAGTGAACCCTGTGATCTGCACCTTCAATTAAAACAAACATCTGGTTTCAGTGAGACTCAAGTGCCTTCTCCCTTAGGATCAAAATTAGCAAAATTAATAATAATCCTTGTATTTGATAAAGAGCTTTTCACGTCATTGAGTCGTCTCAAAGTGCTTCACAGGATATACTGTAAATTGGATTGACTGTGTATTTTGTGGGCGAAACTCCGCAGCAACAACAACAACAACATTACATTTGTATAGCGCCGTTTTCGTCGGGAGGACGTCCCAAAGCGCTGGACTGTCAGAGTTTCGGACATGAGTTGGGATTGGGGAGGGCAGGGGGGGGAAGCAGGTGATCAAAAGCACGGTCGAAGTGGAGGGTCTTGAGATGGGTCTTGAAGGAGGCAAGGGAGAGGGCAAGGCGGAGGGACTGTGGGATGGGAGTTCCAGAGGGGGGTGCAGAGTGCCCGCCCGCCAATGGTGGGGCGGGCGAGGTGGGGAACATGAATCAGGCTGGAGCCCGCTGAGCGGAGGGAGCGGGCAGGATGGTAGGGGGTTAGGAGGTCACAGAGGTAGAGTGGAGCAAGGCCAAGGAGGGCTTTGAAGGTGAGGACCAGGATCTTGAACTGTATCCTCGGTGTGATGGGAAGTCAGTGGAATCGGGCGAGGATGAGGGTGATAGGGTCACGGAGGCCCGGTGCCAGAGAGGACACAGGCTGCAGAGTTCTGGATGATCTGCAGCCGATGGAGGGAGAAGTTGGGGAGGCCGACACGCAGGGAGTTTGCATAGTCGAGCCTGAATGTAGTGAAGGCGTGTATGAGGGTTTCGCCGGCCAGCGGTGTGAGACAGCGGCGGAGGTGGGGGAAAGCATAGCTGAGGGTCAAACAAAACGCCAAGGCTCAGCCCGGCGGAGGGTGCTTCTGTGGACGGTGATGCCGTCTGCGCCCGAAGTGCGGAGACACTGACGGGAGCCAAACAGAAGGGGCCTCAGGTCCTGTTGGCGTTCAACTGAAGAAAGTTAGCGGTCAAACAGGACCTGGGGTCTGACAGACAGTCTGTCAAGGAGAGCAGTGATCCTGGAGTCCAGGGGGGGAGGATTACATCATCATCTCTCCCTCCCTCTCTCTCTCTCTCTCTCTCTCTCCATTTGAGGCTAAATGCAATTTGGGGCCTTGAGTCAAATACCTATACATTCATTGTGGGGGGAAGAGGAGAGAGGGGGTACGCGGGTCAAACCAAATCACCAGAGACAACCAACGCACCGAAGGGAATAAGGATTTTTTTTTTTTTTTTTGCAATGCAACTCCTGCTTCAAACTTCCCGGAGCAGCTGCAGTGCCGGATTTCCCGGCTGTGGGGGGGTGGGGTGTGGGGGGTGAGGGGCCGTTTCCACGTTGGGCCGTCGCCGGTCGGTGCTCACCTGGTGACCGACTTGGTCGGGATCGGGTACTTCTTGAGCAGCAGCAGGTACTGTTGGAGTAAGAGTCGGTCGAAAGACCGCCCGGGCGCGGTGTGCCCCGCCATCATTCAATCACTGCCGACGGTAGGGGGGTGAGGGGGGGGGACGGACAGCTCCCGCTCCCCGAGAGCGACGCGCGCTCTCAGCGCGGCCGTAATTACCCGAATAGGAGGGCAGACGCAAATTTTTTTTTTCTCCACCGGAAGCGTTTTATTTCGGCGCTGTTCGGTCCATCACCAAACTGCGGTGCGGGAGTTCCTTGTATCCCTCCCACCCCGTGAGGGCTCACAACCCTTTATAGTAGTAGTAGTAGTAATGATGATGATGATCACCACAGGAGGGGTTCCGGTCCCGGTGCTCTCCGGCAGCCCCTGTTTATGATGTGCTCGCGTACTCGGGGGATTACAGTAACACGGTGACGAGGAGGGAGGCGGGACTCCAAGCCCCGCCCCCGCCCCCCCGAGCATCCGACCAATCAGCGATCGGTCTCGCGGTGACGTCGGGCGACTCTCGCGAGAGCTGACGGCGGCGGCGGCGGCAGCGCGGGAAGGCGAAGCGGTCGGAGAGAGCAGCGGAGACATGGTGCTGCAGAACAGCGGGCGCCTGAGAGCCGAGCGCGGCGAGAGCGCGGACAGCCCGTGAGTTTATACCGTGCCGGGGCCCGGGGCAGCACAGCACAGCGCTCCGGTTGCGCCGAGCTGCCAGGGTTGTTGTTGTTGTAGTAGTGGTGGTTGTTGTTGTAGTTGTTGTGGTGGTTGTTGTTGTTGTGGTGGTTGTTGTAGTTGTTGTTGTTGTAGTTGTTGTGGTGGTGGTGGTTCTTGTAGTTGTTGTAGTTGTTGTTGTTGTTGTTGCTGCTGCTCTCGGTATAGGGTCAGAGGCCGGGGGGGGGGATGGCAATGTACCGGCAGCAACTGGCAAATACAGGGTGGGGGTGGTTTGTCTCGACATGGCAGCCGCGGCAGTTGGTTTGCGCGGAGCGACACCCCCGCTGACAGCCATGGGGGGGAGTGACCTGGTTTAAAAGGCGGGGAGGTGGGGTTGGTGGGGGGTTGACATTGTTGGCCAGGACCAATGTTATCAGATGGTCAGAGGGGGGGGGCAATGAGGGGTTCACGCCCACTTGGGCGGTTTTTGTGTGTGCTGCTCCATGCGAAAATGTTTTTTTTTTGGGGGGGGGGGGTGCGAGTGCCTAATTTTTAACCCAAATATGATTTAAACCTGCAAAAAGCATCATCGCCCGTCTGTCCGACGGTCGGTCGGTCCGTCCGTTCCCTCCCTCCCGCACCTTTCAAGACCTTTTCTTACACGGTTTCAAAAGCACTGACCTAAAGCGCTAGCCTTGGCCACTCTGCTACCCTACAGTAGGCGACGCAAAGCTGTTGAGCTACTCTCGGGCTACTAGTATTTGTCTGACTTTGAGCTACAAACACATATTAATTTCTGGCAACCCTGGGCAGGACAGGACACCGGGGGACACTCCCTTCTCTTTTCAAGTAAGTGCCATGAGATCCGTAACGTCCGCCTGAACAGGCAGACGGCACCTGGGTTTAATGTTTCATCTGAAGGTCTGCACCTCTGATGATGCAGCTTCAGCAGCACCACACTGGCGTCTCGTGAACTCAGTTCCATTGTAGGAATTGAACCCACAACCTTCTGACTCGGACATGACAGTGTTACCAACTGAGCGAGGCTGGCGCTTATAACACATAAGGGTATATGTTACAATGTCTAAATATATCCACAGAGTGAGATTATGCATTGGATTGCTGGTTGATTGCTTGGGACAAGGCTGCAATTGGGGAGCTCTTTCCCCCATAGACACCCCTTACTTTATTAAAGGAAAGGTCTGTGAGGAGTGGTCTCTACCTCAGGAAGAGTGACTCAAGGGCAGCTGTTTAATTTAATGTGCATCTACACAAGGCTTTGGAATAAACATCAAATATTAATTATCTAATTGAGTCATTTTTGCTTTTGTAGTGACGATGGTTCCGCTCTTTCTGCACTCAAGCGCTTGGAGCGCAGTCAGTGGACCGATCAGATGGATGCACAATTTGGATTTGATCGTCTGAAAGATCCAGGAGAGAAGACAGCCTGGCTCATTAACATGCACCCAGTTAGTCACACATCTGAGTTGTGTTTTGCTATTAATAAATTCAGCTGTAAAATTGAACGTAAATGTACATGATGTGGTGATTCCAAACTGTAGAATTTTTATACATGAAATAAGTTGACTATGTTTTTCAAAACAGGTTAATATTATTTTTTTGAAGTTGCTGTCTGCTTTTTTTTCCAATCGTTATTTGCTACACTGAATTTGTTTTCCTTTCATTTCTCTTGCAGACAGATATTCTGGATGAGGACAAGAGAATGATCAGTGCTGTAGATTATTATTTCATTCAGGATGACGGGAACAGATTCAAGGTCTGGAAAAGTGCATTTCGTAAAGGATGATCGATTGTCATTTGTAGGCTGTCTCAAATTGATTAATTAAACAAATGTTTGTGGGGCAATTCTATGCGCAATTTGCTGCCACGTTCGCCTACAAAGTACACAGTCAATTCACTTTACAGTATATTCTGTAAAGCTCTTTGAGACTCCTTAACAATGTGAAAAGAAGCAAGTATTATTATTCAAATGCAAGTATTATTATTGATGAAAAGTTTAACAGTTTTGGCTATAGGGTGCAGCCATTAGTTAACAAAAAAGATTGTATTAATTTCTAGACCAAGAAATGAACAATATTTGGGAGGAGGTGTAACAAAATAAGATTGTTTCCTTTTTTATTTTTGGTTAGCGGGCCATCACCATGATTGAGAATCCAAACCAAACTCTGGGTCTGCATTAAGCGCTCTGTGAGGGGCGCCATATAAATGCAAGTTGTTGTTTCCATGCATCCCACCTACAGATAAAAATTGTTGTGTAATTGGAATAGATTATGCCCTCTCTCCTGGAGGGATACATCCTACTTATCCAATTCTGGAAAGTATTAGGCGCAGGCTGGTAAGAGCAAGGATTGGAGACCCCAAAATTTGCATTGGGGTATTGCTAAAGTTTAACCAGCTAAAAGCCGCACCGGTGCCATTGAAAGCACTCTCTGGTAAGCTTTCCTGTTGCTTGCCCAGTTAGGACCACCCTACCTGGCTTGGTTTGTTAACAAGAGCTGAGTGGGAAGAACCCCTTTCCCCATTCCTGCTTCTATTTCTTTAAACCCCCCCCCCACCCACCACCACACCGATTAATTACTTTTATTTGTACGTCTAGCTTGTTATTGGTCTTTGTGCTTCAGTCATTGACTGTCTGTTTGTTTGATTTCCAGGTTGCTCTTCCTTTTCAGCCATACTTCTACGTTGCTACAAAAANGGTTTGTAGAAGTCTGAAATGGATGTATTCAAAACTGAAATGGTGCAAAATATATGTAGTTTTATACATCTGGATATATTGTATACAGGCTAAGTCTACAACTTGTATTTTCATTTTTAAGGAGGAATCTTAAGCGCTAGGGGTGATGATGTGTTCTTACATTGTAAGTGGTTTGCATATCTACTCCCCTATAACAAACAGCTTATTTTTGTCATTAACATGACCATTTTGTGAAACACAGGGCTATGAGCGAGAGGTTTCATCATTCCTATCTAAGAAGTTTCAAGGCAAATTAAGCAAAATCTCAACCGTCCCCAAAGAAGACTTGGATCTGGTGAGTTTTTTTCCACTCTACCCGTTCCCCTAAGGCGACCTGAATGAAAAGTGTGAGTGAGTGTTAATTCATTTTCGCATTTGTTTTTATCACAGCCTAATCACCTAGTTGGCTTGAAGAGGCAGTACATTAAGCTCGCCTTTAACACAGTTGATGACCTAGTGAAAGTTCGGAAGGATATTTCCCCCGCTGTAAGGAAAAACAAAGAGCGTGAAAAATCAAATGATGCCTATACTGCTATGTTATCCAGGTAATCATTATAGGTGGCACCTCCCTTGCTGAAAAACGATAGTGATTTGGGGGTTTCTTCCTTCTCACTCCCTAACATTGACACTTAACTGCTGGCTGAACCTCTAGGCATTAAGCAACCTCTGGAATCACTGGAGGTTCATCCTGTAGCCCCTTGCCCCCCTTTAAATCCAACTTAAAACCTGCAGTGCCTACAGATCTCCTCTTCTTCCTTGCTCGGGGTCCAATCGTGCCCCTGAGATGTTATCCTACGTGAAGGATGCTATATAAATGCAAGTTGTTGTGGTGTGGTCTCTTTAACAAAATAAAGAAAGTACTGTGCTAACTGAATTTGCAAATTAAACACCCACCCACATACCATGGCTGATCGTTATGTTGTGTTGGACTGCTAGCTATTTAACTTTTGAAGCCCTCTTTTGGTGCAGTGTGAAACCTTTTATTCTCTGCTGTTTAGAAGGAGCAACTTGTTTGTTTCTCTTGTTATGGCAGCGCACTGGCTGGGGGGAGCATGGCAGAAGCAGAAGGAACGTCTAAAAAGATTGCCGATCAAATGGAAAACATAATTGAAATTCGAGAATACGATGTGCCTTATCATGTCCGTGTGTCCATCGACCTGAAGATTCATGTGGTGAGCCAACTCCAGGGTTTATAGCAGTTGATGTACAATTAGAACAGCTCTAAACCATTTGGTCACTCATTCTACAACTGATTGTGGGGCATTGCTGTGTGAAATTGGCTGCCATGTTTTGCCCGCAAAATACACAGACAATCTCTAATATATTTTGTGAAGCGCTTTGAGCCGTCTCAACGACATGATAATGCAAGCATTATTATTACCAGCTGATTGTTTTTATGGTGAGGAAAAGCTAGTGGGTATTGTATCCCTAGTTCACTTGTTACCAGACCACGTCAGCTGTGTCTAAGAGGAGTTATAGTGGTCTTTCAAAGATCTTTCTGTGGATAGAATACCAGTGTTAAAACACTCAAGTTAAATCAAAGTATTTCTTTAAAATGAGAGCTGTGTGAAATCTGGATGGTCGAAATCTTATATTCAAAGCTTTGGTTTAGTTGAAAAATAATCCTCTAGTTTAGCCTGTTTGTTTGCTTTGAAGCCCTGTTGTACGCTGATTAAAATTCTTTTAACTCTTGCTTTTAACTCCTTGTCATTAGGCACATTGGTATAATATCAGAATCCGTGGAGGTGCATATCCTCCTGAGATCATACGCAGGGATGACTTAGTTGAACGACCAGTAAGTATATGAATGTTTAGTCTAATCCAAATAAATGCACATCTGGTAGTCACAGTTATACAAAAAAATGCAATTCTGATTATAAGAACTTGTCCTTTTGCCTGTCAACTAGTCTTGCATAGAAATAAGAGAGTAATAGGGAGCCATTCCCATCCCGGAGCTGACTACTCTATTAAAAGGAGATCGACAGATACATGAGTAGAAGAGGTTTAAAAGGATATGACGAAAGGGAGGAACATACAGGTTTAAGGCTCCATGTTCCTGTTTTCCTTGGTTCCTATGCCAACTCCCTGCTCTTTCCCTGTACGATTTTTGTATTCTTCCTCTTCAAGTATTTCTCCATTATATAGTGCCACTGTAGTTAAATGTTTGTGTGTTTAGACAGAATAAGTAGCTGTACTGGTATTTTGAGGAAGGAATCGCATTGCAGATCCAATATTTAAGATCTAAAGTTTTGGAGGATGTGATTAAAAAATGTTTGTATTCTGATAACCTGTGTATATGATGGTCTTGAAGACATTCAGATCTAATTTTGCTTCTGTTTTTTGCGTTGTGTTAGTCTTCGGAGGATGAATTTGTCAGTGATTTGTTTGATAATTATTTCTGGTTCCTTCCAGGATCCTGTTGTTCTGGCTTTTGATATAGAAACTACCAAATTGCCACTGAAGTTTCCAGATGCTGAAAATGACCAGATTATGATGATCTCCTACATGATTGATGGACAGGTAAAATCAGACAAACAAAACAGATATTGAGTGGGAGAAACCCTGCCCCCAGTGACTGGCCTGCCCTTCAAGTCCTACTTGGGCACTTGGAGGTGGGTCTCCTGACGTGAAAGGCACCATACAAATGTAATTTTGTATTGTACTGATGAGCCAGGCTGGTGGGTCTGTCATCACCCTGGAGTACTGCAAACCCGCCTGGCTCTGGAACCAGAATACTGAAACTGCCACAGAGGATTGAATTGATTCCAACATTCAGTTTCCACATGTCACTTTGGAATCATTTCAGCTCCAAGGAGACCCCACTTACCTCCACCAGTGAAGATAGTTACTAGTCGATCATTTTGTGTCTGACAAGCGCAAGTTTGAGTCCTCATTAGGTGGATGGCAGGTACCAGGAACTCCCTGAGAGCTTCCTGGTGAGCAGCACAGCTCAGCATGAAATAAATGTTTGAGAGCATTGCTAGCATCTTCCTGCTCACAGCAGTTATTTATGTTTTCAGGGTTATCTGATCACAAACCGGGAGATTGTGTCTGAAGATATCGAAGATTTTGAATTTACCCCCAAGCCTGAATATGAGGGTCCTTTCTGTGTGTTTAACGAACAAGATGAGGTGCGTGAGATCAATTAGGATTTAATTCTTAACTGTTTTTATTGGTTCTTTGATCATTACTCTTATCTCTCCCAAGCTTCAAATGCATCATTCTTCATGCTCTTTCTCCTTCCTGCAGTTGACCTACAATAAGACTCCTTCGCTTGCTCTTAACTTAATCCTTCCCATGTCTACCTCATTATTCTCTTGTTCCTGCAACTTGCAAGTGTTTTTAAACACTAATTGTGGTGACACCTAACCACTTATTTTCCTGCTGTTTTTAACCTTGTTGTTGCACTTCGTTGTGGGCAAGAGGAAATTTCCACTTGTACACTTTTTGTCATGCGTTTGCTTTGGTTTAGGCCAGTTTAATTCGGAGATGGTTTGAACATATCCAAGAAATTAAACCCAATATATTTGTGACATACAACGGTGATTCTTTTGATTGGTGAGTACCATATCAAATGTAAGGATTATATTATAATTATTGTCTCGTTCAGTTTTCTCTGTTTAGCCTTAGTTTCTAGCAGTGGCATCAGACTGCCATTGAAGCAGACAATCCCATTTAAACAACTCTCTAGTGGTGTCATTGCTGAAACATTCACATTGTTGTGGACAGTTTTATGCAACAATCCTGTATGCCCACAAAATATGCAGTTGATTCACTTTACAGTATATTCTGTGAAGCGCTTTGAGGCGTCTTGAAGACACGATAAGGCACGATATCAAATGCAAGGATTATTATTATGTCACGAAAGTTCACTGGTGAAAGTATTCTTGTCTCTGATTTAGAAGGATATGAGTTCCCAGAAGAGCTGAAGTATTACTCTAGTGTTGCTAAACTAGAATGAAGAATATAAATGCAAGTGTTATGAGTCTGTGCCCCACTGAGAATTGACTGAAGAAAACCTGGTTATGTTGTGGGAACTTGTTCCATTGTCCACCTGGTTAACGTCATCAGAGAATGAATGAAATAGCTCCAGAATGAATGAAACTATGTGGAGCGAAGAATGAAAAATGGTGTCAATGTTGAGCCCACTAATCTTTTCTATTAATAGAAATTCTGGTGTTTCAGATGCAAATTGAATTAACAGGTTTGAAGGAAATCTATCTTTGTGTTTGTCAAGTTTGAAGTCAACTAGCTGTAGTTCATATTTCCTGCCACTCGATGTCGTCAGAAAGCCGAGGTTGCAATTCAGGATGTCAGCATTGCACAAGATAACAATAACGTTTGATATAGTCTTTCGTGTTAGGAGGATGTCTCAAAGCACTTCACATGATACGCTATATAGTCTAGTAAGTATATTTTGTAGGTGGACGTGGTAGCCCATTTGTCCCACTAATAGCCGTGAGGTGAATGAACAATTATATCTGGGGGAATTGTTGGCCAGGACACTCCGAGAATATTTTTACTCTAGTAAGAGAGAATAGGTGCCTCTTTGTTTTCAAACACTGTATTTTCCTCCTGTTTGTGTTTTCCAGGCCCTTTGTAGAAACTCGGGCAGCGGTGCATGAATTGAACATGTATAAGGAAATTGGCTTTCAGAAGGACAGCCAGGGCGAATTTAAAGCCAGTCAGAGCATTCACATGGACTGTTACAGGTACAGCCTTCTAGCTGCAACTGCATTAGTGCAGGTATGCAATGTTGTAGCAAGCATATCTTGTGAGCGACCATAAATCTGATATTTGATAAACACTTCATCCACCAGTAGAAAGAAGAAATGTTAGCGGTGCTTGTTATTACTGGACAACCCAACTATAATGAGTGTCTGGATCCAAAGTCTCTGACCCTGCATTATATCAGAGGTCAGGAAAATAGACTTCGGAATTGTTATGGTGCTGCTGACATCTTGGGAAAAGTATAGTCAAGGCATAAAATCCCAAATAGCCTTGTTTGAATGAGAGCTTCTGCTCACGTTGATACTGATTGCATGACAATTGGCCGGACTTCAAGATCATTAGGCTGTCGCCAACATCACTTCAGACTATGCTGTGCAGGAAATTATGGCGCTGACTTGATGAGCTCCGATTCAAGGCTGGTCCACAGGAACCAACTTAAGAGGGGAACCGGTATAATGGAGTTTTTTATTGACGTTTTACTCATTAGACAGTGTTAACCCTTTTTTCATCTGTTCAGTGTCACACACAGCTGTATGTTTGTACTGCTGTTAGACTATTGGTATATAATTGGTCTCTTCTTTTGGCAGGTGGGTGAAGAGAGACAGCTACTTGCCTGTAGGCAGTCAAAACCTTAAGGCTGCAGCCAAGGCCAAACTGGGCTACGACCCTGTGGAGCTGGACCCTGAGGATATGTGTCGAATGGCCACCGAGGAGCCGCAGGTAATGGCAGCAGATTGTTGCTCAGAATTCAGTTTGCCACAGTGCAGTCGCCCAAATCTTACAGTGTTAATGCTGCTACATATAGCGTCCTAAAGTTCAAAAGGTTTGGCACATTTCTACCGAATCTCGTTTGGTGACCTGTAAGCATTCACCTTTGACTTGTACGGGATGTACACAAACATGCCATCTCTTCAGCATGCTGGATATTGTCTTAAGTGAAATAAACCTCTTTGAAACAATCATTACATTTAGAACAATTTCAAGGTGCTCAAAGTTAGTAGCAAGGAAACATCCGATTTAACTTTTGTGTTTCTTTGGCAGACTCTAGCCACGTACTCGGTGTCTGATGCTGTGGCAACTTATTATATGTACATGAAATATGTACACCCCTTTATTTTTGCCTTGTGCACCATCATTCCTATGGAACCAGATGAGGTAAGTACGAGAATGTTAGGTTATGTTCATGTAAGAATTAATGATTTATTTTTCTCAACTTTTCTTAAAGCAATGTGCCTTTAAAGATGCTCGGTGAATAATGTGTGACAATTCTAGTGTTCCTAAAACATGCCACAAGGTGGCAGGAACACATTTGTGATCAGTAAGATTATCAAAACGGCTTGAGTTGTTTATCCTATAATCCTTATTCCTAAGAATATAGACTTCCATCAGATTTCCATCTGTTGATTAATTGGAAAGAGATTATTTGATTTCAACCATCTTTCCTCTTACTGTGCTGCTACACATAGATTATAATATAACAGAAAAACTAGGCATTCAACATTTAATATATTTATAAGTGCTGCTATATCATGTTCCTTTTTTGGTGTCTGAGACATGCAAAAACCCATCTCTACGCATTACAAAGTGATCAAAAGGTCTCACAGTGCCTCATGGGTTTTACTGAAAAGAGCAGGGACAGTATTAGTAGGTAAATGTGGTAGCCAGTTTGTGTGATGTCCCACAAACAGCCATCAAGTGAATGATTTGGTTGGTTGTTGTCAGGACACCAAGGGAAACTACCTTCTGTTTTTAAACAGTGTCATGGGATCTTTAACATCCATGATTACAGTAGTGCCAATAACAGTTCTTTAACCAAACAGTTGCAAAATTAAAGCTGTAACTCTTTCAGAATAAATATACTGATTATGTCTTTGGATTCCAAGAAGTAACATTTTTTATTTGTCATTTTTGCTAGGTGTTGAGGAAGGGTTCTGGGACACTGTGCGAGGCACTCCTAATGGTTCAAGCCTTCCACGCTAACATAGTCTTTCCAAATAAGCAAGAGCAGGTCTTCAATAAGCTGACAAATGACGGTCATGTCCTTGACTCTGAGACCTATGTGGGAGGACATGTGGAGGCTTTGGAGTCCGGTGTCTTCCGGAGTGATATTCCTTGTAGATTCAAAATGGTAAGTGTTGAGAAGGGAAGATGTAAAGCATAGACTGGAACTGCCTCTATCAGCAACATAATCGCTTCAAAGATACCAAGCACTTTTTTACAGGAATTAATACTCAGTGTAATGGCTATTTTTAAAGGGAAGAACAGCAGCCAGTTTGCACACAGCGGTCCAGAAACAGCCATGAGGCAAATGGCCAAGTTATCTGTAGGAGTGCTGTTCAATTTCCCTTACGTGACATAATTTTGGGAGTTTTCCGGCGGCTCAGTCTTGCCAGCGGTTTCAGTGTGTGTCAGACTCCAGGGTGAGGGTTGACATTTCATTTCAATTCGACGTGTTCAAATCGGTCCCTGCCTTGATTTTCAAATCGTCTTTCATCGAACAGAAAACTGTGTGAAAATAGACTCAAGTGAAATATCTGCTTATTTTTCCTTTTAGAATCCAGCAGCTTTTGATTTCTTGCTTCAGAGAGTAGAGAGCACCATGCGACATGCCATCGAGGAGGAGGAGAATATCCCCCTGGATCAAATCACCAATTTCCAAGAGGTCAGTAATCTGACCAATCCTGTGTGCTGATGTGCGTTTTAATTGTGATCGCTTGGTTTATCTCGGCTGCTTTAAATGTTTTTCAGAATACTGAGTCAAAATTAAACTGTAAGATAATATTTGCTCTGTGTTAACATTAAATAAAACGGTCTGAGTAAGTTTGAATTGCTGGAAATCTATTTAACAAGAGAATGAGTTATCGTGCCTATGGACTCTCCAGCGTTGACTGACAACTGATCTATGTCATAATATCCATGTCCAGGGCATCCATTGAATTTAAACACTTGTTGTTAACTACTTTTCATTAAAAACCTTTCATCAGTGCTCTTGACAATTTTTTTGGGTCAGCTGGGCATCTGACTCACGCAAAAACTCGTCACTATGCTCAAGAGTGTCCAGACTCGACTGTGCCCTTGAGCTTTGAACTAATTGTGTTGGACTCCCAATTGTGCTGTTGAGCATTTGCATATGGGTTTTGGCTTTGTGTGTGGTGTGTGTGTGTCTGTGTGTGTGTTTAAAAAGGACAAATTCTCTGCAGGTCTATCAATATTGGGAAGAGGATAGGTCAATTCTTCGTGATCCCCATCATCAGCATTTCATTACCAGTTTCTGTAGCTTTTATCTGTTCTTGCCCCTCTAGGTGTGCGATGAGATTAAAAAGAAGCTGAATTCCTTGAAGGAAGTTCCCAACAGGATTGAGTGTCCCCTTATTTACCATTTGGACGTGGGTGCAATGTACCCCAACATCATTCTGACCAACCGCTTACAGGTAGAGTGAAGGAGCATTAATGCGCTGTGTGGGTTCTGTTTAATGGAGGGCAGAATACGGGAGGATCTTGCTTTCTCTGAACGAAACTATAATGGTCCGTACTTCAGGCCCTTCAGCTGGTCATTGCTGCTTCCTCTTGCCTAGCCAATAGACAGTGCAGTATTGATGATGTGTTGAATAACTTGCATCTTGTATGTTTAAAGTTGCACTTTTGAACATTGTCTCCTTTCTCTGTGTAGCCTTCTGCTATGGTAGACGAAGTCATCTGCGCAGCCTGTGACTTCAATAAACCAGGAGCAAACTGTCAACGCAACATGACTTGGACATGGAGGGGACAGTTTAGTGAGTACAGCTGAACCCTGTCAAGTCACAGAATGTTACAGCACAGAAACGGGCCATTCAGCCCGTCAAATCTGCTCTGCTAGTTTTCTCCACCTAAAACGCAAATTTAATCCCATTCTCTAGCTTGCATCGTGAGCCTAGGCACAGTAACTCCCCTTTTTTTTTCACATAAAAATAGACTGATGTCCTATAGGTTTTCTAAGATGAAGTTTTAAAATTCTTTTAATTTAAGAGTCCTGCTTTATGTTTTAAAAAAAATTCTGTATTCATTGTGACAAAACTCCGGCTAATCTGCAACAATCTCTGCCTATTATAGGATGGGCTAACCTGACATTTCTCTCTACAGTGCCAGCCACTCGCAGCGAGTATCACCGCATCCAACAGCAGCTTGAATCTGAAAAATTCCCTCCAATGTTCCCGAACGGCAGGCCACAAGCCTTCCATGCGCTAAACCGCGAGGAGCAGGCCAAGTATGAAAAGAAGCGATTGGCAGGTAAAGCTCCTATTCGACTTCAAGATCCTCCTCACTCTCGTGTTCAAATCCTTTTACTCCCTGCACCTCCCTACCTCTCCGACCTCCTCACTCCCAAATCCACCACCTAGCGCCTCCGCTCGACTGGTACCGGCCTCCTGCTCGTCCCTCTCGCCCTGCGCTCCACCATTGGAGGTCATGCTTTCAGCCAGTGCGCCCCAAAGCTCTGGAACACTCTCCCTCTGTCCTTCCGCCTTGCCCCCTCTCTCCCCTCTTTCAAGTCCCGCCTGAAAACTTTCCTCTTCGACCGTGTTTACGGCCACCTCCCCGCGGCTCGGAATCAGGCTTTGCTCCACCACTGTTAAGCGCTACCCAGCGTGGAGGGGGCTATGTATTGTATTGCAGTGATGTTCTGTTGTGGGTGGGTGTCCCATTTCCCTAGAGCCATTATAGTCACTGTCTCTGAGACTGAATGACAGCCTCTTCCCAGGTCTTAACCAATGTAAATTCAGGGCATCAACTGGATATGCCTGGTAGTGAGCTAGGCTTAATTAAATCAAAATTGCCACTAGTATTATTAATTTAATACTTTTCAACTAATTGCAATGGGAAAAGAGCCAATGGACTGATATCCTTCCGTTGTAAATTGGTAGACTGAAATCTATTTATGACGCTGGCAGTATATTGACCTGTTCCACAGTGTCTCTGACAGCGTCAGTTGGAGAAAACTAGTCTTCTCATCAAATCAAGTAGGAAGGAAGCTAATTTATTTTAGTTGGAGAAGGAATAATAGAGTATAATAATAATCCTGGAGAGAGAATGAGTCACATAACAAGTGGCAAAACGTTCACACAATCCTGCATCGTTGCTATCTGCGATCCAAGCATATTATAAAAAGAATTTGTTTTTCAAAGAAATGTTTCCAGCAGTGATATTGAAATGGATACATGCGCTAAGTATTTTTAAATTGCTTTGAGTTTGATTAAAAAGCACTTTACTGTGCAGTTGCTGATGGTAATTGATAGACTCGTCTGTGTCCTCTGACTGGAATCCGATGGACTCAATAATTCTGAAAAATTTGTGTGATTCCATCTGTGCCACCTGTTTCAGACTACTGTCGCAAAGCGTACAAGAAAATCCACAACACAAGAATAGAGGAACGGGTAACGACAATTTGCCAACGTGAGAACTCTTTCTATGTGGACACAGTGCGAGCATTCCGTGACAGACGTTATGAGTTTAAAGGCTTGCATAAGGTGAGTAAGATATCCTTCATCAACGACAAATTACATTTGTATAGCACCTTTCACATTGGGAGGACGTCCCATGGTGCCGGACAGTCAGGGATTTGGACCCAAACAAGGGGTTGGGATTAGGAGGATGACAGAAGGCACGGTCGAAGAATAGGCTCTTGAGAGAAGGGAAGGAGCAAGGCAAAGGGGCTGGGACGGGGGCAGAGAGGCTGAAGGCCCGATGGCTGATGGTGGGGTGGTCTGGGCCAGCGACATGGAGCAGGCTGCTGTTGTGGCTTTTGTAAATGATTCAACGACATATTGGCAGAGTTTGGAAAGTCCCAACAATAGTCACGATACAGGGCCACTCCAGAGGGTGAGGAGAAGGAGCTTAGCACTAGCTTCAGTTAGTATTGAATCTCGCTCATGCTATTTGGTAATTAAGCTGTCATTTTGCTTATTATTGTGTTGGGAATCATATTTGCAGTGTAATAAGTACGTGTATTTTAATCTTGATATTTCCCTTTAACCCTTTTTAGGTGTGGAAGAAGAAGCTCTCTGCAGCCACTGAGTGTTGTGATGCTGCAGAGATCAAGCGCTGTAAGAACATGGAGATCCTGTATGAATCCCTGCAGCTGGCACACAAGTGTATCCTCAACTCCTTCTATGGCTATGTCATGCGGAAAGGGTTGGTATCAAAGCTCAATGCAGACATGCTGCGGCTGGCAAGCAGCTTATATTAACCGTAATATCTAGGGTAGTGGATTGGAGCACTGATGTGATGTGGTTGTTATTCATCTAGCTGTAAACCGGCTATTGAAACAGTATGAGGAAGGTTCCTTAGAATCCGCCTTTTGTTGTGTATTGTCACTGCAGGTGGAAGTTTCAGGGAATGGTATATGGACTCACAGCCATAATTGTGTATATAATTGTATATAACATCAAGTCTTATTTGAGATGGGAAGGAGATTCTGGCCAGCGATCGTGTGCGATCAGAGAATAATTATATAAACTGCAACTAACGCTTTTTCGAGAAGGTCTATGTTTTGATATTTACTTTTTTCAAAGATACTAATGGGTTTACCAGATGGGTGTTTGTTCTGAGTTTATTTCCAGGCAGGTCAGGGCGAAACCTTGGGCAAGTTTCCTTACTCCACACGCCTAATAATAATCCCTCCAAAAACAATAATAAATTGGTCATTTTCAATCTACGACTGTTTTGTGGGACATTGCTGTGCGCAATTGGCTGCCGCGTTCGCCCACAAATATACAGTAACTTCACTTTACAGTATGTTCTGTGAAGCGCTTTGGGACGTCCTCCTGACGTGAAAAGCGCTATATCAAATGCAAGGATTATTATTATTATTATTATTACTGGGACAAATTTAATTGTTATCCTTTTGAGGCTGTTTTTATTTTCATTGTCCAAATATCCAGTGATAGTGATAGGACATGTGATATTTCTGAAGGCTGGAATGGCAATTTTCCCGGTTTTAATAAATTTAATTCCAACTTTTTCCTGGATGTTTTCACTGGGATTATGCTGAAAGCAAAGACTGAAAATGCTTCCTTGATTTTTTTTGCCTGACTGTTTCCATTAGCCAATCTATTCAAATGTCTTCTATGCTGCTAGATCCACCCTAACAAAATTACACATACACCTGAATAAAATTACATCCTCCCAAATGAAATTAGATATGTTTTCTGTTCCTCTAAGCCAACACTCCTGATATCATTTACATTTAACTTTGTAATTGTTTGAGTGCAAAAGTACCAATTTTTTTTTTTACTTCGATCCATCTTGGTGTTTTCCCTGCTTCTTTCCTGTAGCTGTTGATGCTTTCTTCATCCTCAAAGACTGAAAGGCACTAGAATTATTTGTAGTGCTCCAACTGACAAAGATAAGCTAATTCACCATAGTGAAAATTGAACTTGTAACCTATATGGCTCCCTGCTATACCAGGTAGTGCCTTTACCCATTTGATTCACCTGGTAAGCGAGAGGACTGGATTTCATTCCTGGGTGTGGTAAAACTTTTCCCCCTTATTTGACTAAAGTTGACTTGATTTGAATAAGTCTTCTGATCAATGACACAGTCACACTTGTTGTGGTACCCTCCACAGTGGGCCACAGACTGCATGACCTTGCCTTCTGTTATGACACTGGCTTAACTATAGAAGCGAAATTCCCTGCTCAAGTCCAAAGAACTTGGACTAAGATAAGTTAATTCACCATAGTGGAAATAGTGTAATGCTGGGTAACTGGCTAATAATATGATTAGGATTATTTCACCGCACCCTAATGCAGTTGATTTGTAGTTTGAAAGAATTATGAGTGTATTTTTTAAGAACAAATGCATGTTTCTTGATTGACTGCAGGGCCCGTTGGTATTCGATGGAAATGGCCGGGATTGTTTGTCATACAGGCGCTAACATCATCACCCAAGCCAGGGAACTGATAGAACAAATTGGGTAAGTTTAATCCAGGATGCCGACACCATGATGGTTGTGGCTTCTTCTGTTAAGATTGTGTTTCATTGATGCGGCTGAGCTTTCTTGTCACTGTATTGAAACTCCAGCTGTCCTGCTCCTGGGCAAGGCACAGCTGATAGGGATTGAATAGTTGGAAGTTGTGGTTAAGGTCCTGATGCATAAGACTGGTGAGTGAAATTAGATTGAGCGTGTCTAGATTTCACTTCGTATACAGTTGCAGATTGAGACTCCAATATGCCCCTTTGACATTCCAGAGAATTCAGCCAGAGAATGGGAATTACCATCACTTGCTGCGAACACAACATTCATTATTGGCTTCTTAATTATTCAGTCTTGAATTAGCAAAACACAAAGATTGTTTCTGTTCCAGGAGGCCCTTGGAGCTGGACACGGATGGCATTTGGTGTGTGCTTCCGAACTCTTTCCCAGAAAATTTTGTTGTTCAGTCAAATAATCCTAAAAAGCCAAAGGTTACAGTCTCCTACCCTGGAGCCATGCTCAACATCCTGGTGAAGGTAAGCATGAATGCAACCTACCAAGTATTTTGATACTGTTAAAATAATATATCATACAATAATAATCCTTGCATTGGGTATTGCACCTTTCACATCAGGGGATGTCTCAAAGCACTTTGCATGATATACTGTAAAGGGTAGGTACTATGTATTGGCAGCCCATTTGAGCAGAGCAAATTGGCAGCGGAGATCTGAATTGATTGGGATTTGTGAATGGTGGAGCTGGGCAGTCAGGCAAGGAGGGCTTTCTAGAAATCTGGGTGGGAGGTGATGAAAGCATCAATGAGGGTTTCAGCAACATTGGGTGTGAGGTATGGAGGTGAGGGGAATGGTCTTTGTCAGGGACCAGATGTAGGGTAGGAAGGACAACTGGGAATTGAAGTAGATGCCAGGTTGCTCACAGGTTTAGTGAGTCAGGGATGAGCCAGGGAGGTTAAAGACGTTTGGCTTTGGTTAAAAAACGTTGGCAGGAGATGAGGAGGATGGATTCAGTCTCATCCCATGTTCAGCTGCAGAAAATTGGTGCTCGTACAGTCAGAACTTCTGAACTGGATATTCAATCTGTATTCTACTGACACACTCACTGATCTGGATTTTTTTGGGACGGGAAGCAGCTTTGTTAAAGTGTGGAAGTGGTTCACTTCCAATATTCTCTCCAGAGATTGACTCGTTCAGTGGGTTGTTGGAGCAGAAGGGTATTGTTATGTGGCAGTGCATCTGGTGCTGAAGATGGCCTCCACTTTGTGTTATAGGAGCGCTTTACTAACGAACAGTACCAAGAGCTGGTAGATCCTGCAACTCTGACCTACATCGCACGCTCAGAAAACAGTATCTTCTTTGAGGTGGATGGTCCATACTTGGCCATGATCCTACCAGCCTCCAAAGAGGAAGGGAAGAAGTTAAAGAAAAGGTAAGCGAAGAGGAACGCTTGCTGAGCTTTCTGGTGTGTTAGATTTAATACTGTGAGATTGCTATCCTCTCCCTGGTAGCTAACATTACAGATCTGTAGCAACCTGCTGGGAAGGTTATGAGGGCAATGTCATTTTCTAATTATAATTGGTTTAAAAATGAACTTGCGTATCCCAAGATCCAAACAAAGTTTTAACCTTGAACATGTTATCTTAAATCGTAAGATCATAGATTTTGGACAATTCTTAAATTCGGGTTTAATCTGGAATTAATTGTTTATCCACAATTATTTATTTCAAATTAAGATTGATTTGAAGGATTTTCCAAAACTGGTTATTTGATTGAAGGGCATTGTTCTGGTTGTGACAGGTATGCTGTGTTCAACGAGGATGGCTCATTGGCTGAGCTGAAAGGCTTTGAGGTGAAACGCCGTGGTGAATTGCAGCTCATCAAAATTTTCCAATCCTCTGTGTTTGAGGCCTTTCTGAAGGGCACTACACTGGAAGAAGTATATGCATCTGTGGCCAAAGTAGCAGATTATTGGCTGGATGTTCTCTACAGCAAGGTAAGGACTGTGTGAAATAGAAGGGGTTTGGCCTCAATGGTTCGAGCAATTACAATGCCTATTCAACCACCATCTCAGTGTATTGAATAATTCATGCTTGAGTTTTCCCAAAGAGAATTCCCTTGAGTAGATCCCTGAAACCCTGGTCAAACAGTTGTGGTTTTGTAAGTTCCGCAATAACCCACTAGCAATTAAGTAATTGACCGTAATAGGTATGTTAACAACTCTGCAGGGTTTGAAGTGCTCATCTGTTTGAGAGACTATGATGCATCCTTGACTCATGATGTAGAGTTTTGCATTAGTTATTTTGCCAAATGTCTATAAGACCACTGTTAAGGTAAGATCATGACGTTAGATCACTAAAAGGTGCAATGATTTTAACTTTGGTATGTTGCTCTTTTTTCAACTGAGTCGCATTTTAAATCTGCCCTCCACTAAATTGATTACAGTAAATGTAAACACTATCAGATGCAATAAATTACAATTGCAAGAGTATTGTTTCCCAGAAACGTATCCTCTTCACCTGAGAAATAACTAAATGAAATTTGTTTTGATGTACTTTTTGTGCTTCAATCTGCAGGCTGCCAACATGCCAGACTCTGAGCTCTTTGAGCTGATCTCTGAGAATCGATCAATGTCGCGCAAACTGGAGGATTATGGTGAGCAGAAATCCACCTCAATCAGCACAGCTAAACGACTGGCCGAGTTTCTGGGGGATCAGATGGTGAAGGATGCAGGGCTGAGCTGCCGTTTTGTCATCTCCAAGAAACCGGAAGGGTCACCGGTGACTGAGCGGTGAGGATGTGAGAAATCCAGACAAATGCAAAACTTATAGAAGAAGAACTTTATAGAAGTGATGATCAGTGTACTAACACTGCTCCGCTCAGTGTCTACTCAAACATGCAAAGTTAATGCTTAGCTCTACCTCATCCTAATGCTAATTTATGGACTGCAAACCCATTTACCTTGTACACAATTATTTTTTATCAGGACAATAGATTATCCACTGTAAGGAATAACAAGAATTTTGGGAGCTCTTATAGTGGTGATATCATCTATTTCAAACAATGCCTGGGTATACTGGATCAAGAGTGAACAAGGGAATACTGTTTGAGGAATATTTAATTATTCACTGTTTAAGTATATGTTTTGTTTGTGTAGAGCAATTCCACTGGCCATCTTCCAAGCAGAGTCGAGTGTGAAAAAGCACTACCTGAGAAAATGGCTGAAGTGTGCCTCCTTACAGGACCTGGACATTAGATTAGTAAGTTTCAATTAGATGAGCTTTCGTTCTTTATTTTACTTTCAAATCCCCGACTCTCCAGCGCCTTTGGACGTCCTTCTGACGTGAAAGGCACTATACAAATGTAATTTGTTCCAGTTGACCTCTGGATAAAGAGAAGCTTGCTAGTGCCTGTCCTGAATTTGCCCTTTGTAACTCAAAACCTATGTCCTTTTATTCTGTCTAAGTGCATCCTTAAGTATTGTTATGGGTTTACCTCTTCAATCCCAATTAAAATTTGATAACCCTCTGTAAGGTCACCTCTTAGACGTCTTCTCTCAATACTGAATACAAAACTTCCCTTATCTAACCGTTGCTCGTAGCTCATTCCTCTTAACACCGAGGATCATTTTTCTTGCTCTCCTTTGCACTGCCTCGAGAGTCTGGGAAACTCACTTAGTCACAGCGACCAGAACAGTATCCAGTACTCCTTAGTATAACACAACAACTTGTGTTTATATAGCGCCCTTCACGCGGGGCAGTATCTCGGAGCACTTGTCTAATCAGTACAGCCTAATCAGAGCACTCTATAATACTAGTATGTCATCTGGGATCTGAGCTCACCTGATTTAGAAATATAACCTGGCTTCCTGTTTACCTTGTTTATTGCTGACTCGCACTGTTTTGATAAAGTTAAAATCATTCCAGGTGAGCAAATAAATCTATGAAAGCAGTCTGTCTAACACAGTGCATCCCTTTGTTCCTTCTAGATCCTAGATTGGGATTATTACATCGAGCGACTTGGCAGTGCCATCCAGAAGATTATCACCATCCCCGCAGCCCTTCAGCAGGTTAGTGTCTCACTTCTCTCAGCTCATTCTTATTTGAAGCTCTATGCCTGCATAGGAGAGATGGAAGCCTTGGGGGTGGGAAAATGACTGAAGGCACGGTCAAAAATGAAGGTCTTGAGACAGACCTTGAAGGAAGCGAAGGAAAGGGCGAGATGAAGGGACTCTAGGCTGGAGTTCCAGAGAGCAGGAGCAGAAAGGCTGAAAGCCCGACCTTCGATGGAGGGGCGGGCAAGGCGGGGGACATGAAGCCGGCTAGTGCCAAGCGGCACATGTGGATGGGCTGGGTAGGGTAAAGCTAATACTGCTAGGAATTCAGAGGGGCAGCAAAAGCCCAATAGACTTACAATAGGCCTTAGCATGTACTACAGTAACCACATGTGCCTCATACAGCTGAAGTGTTCAGACTGTTGAAGCATTTGTGGATTTATAATAATCCTTGCATTTGATATAGCGCTTTTCACATCTTCTCGACATCTCAAAGGGCTTTAAGGAATATGGGGTAAAGTGAATTGGCAGTATATTTATGGGCGAAACGCGGCAGCCAATTGCGCACAGCAGTGTCCCACAAACAGTCGTGGATTGAAAATGACCAATTTATTATTGTTTTTTTGGAGGGATTGTTATTATTGAAAAGACTTTATTGAAAAGAAGTGTTCCCTTCCAGGTGAAGAATCCAGTTCCTCGGGTGCGCCATCCTGACTGGCTGCATAAGAAACTGCTGGAGAAGAATGACATTTACAAGCAAAAGAAAATCAACGAACTGTTTACGAACACTGGGGTCCGGCAGGTATGTGCTCTCAGTGACCCAAAAGTTCATCACATCCTTCTTGTTGAGAATGTGTGACATAATCTGAGCTCTGTACTATAACAACAAAACTGCATTTGTATAGCGCCTTTCACATCGACAAGATGTCCCAAGGTGCTGTAATTAGATAGGTAGATTGAGTGAAGCTATTCCAGTCAATAGAACTAATTGTTCCTGTAAAGTCTAATGTATAAATCTCCTTTTAAAGAACTTCAAACTGATGATAACCCATCAGTGTGATTTAATGGGATTTTAAAGAGGGCGGACGTAAAATTGTGCTGAAATATTAATCGGTGCAATATATCCATGACCAAAGGTGACTGGAGCTGAAGGATTCTGTCTTCGGGGGAAATATCTGGCTTCTTCTCTGACCCACTGAGTAGTGTCATGAATGATATGGGGAGGGGAAGGGGGTTGGTGGCTCCACAAGGTGAGCCATCAAATGCCCTCTGACCTCTCATGCTTGAGTATTCATTATTTTGGAATTTTCTTGATTATAAATTGTTGACTACAGAAAATGTTTTGACTCTTATCTGTTGACAAAATTGGTGCTACCTGCATTACTATAGAACTATAGTGTCCAATGTAAATTAATTGATTGTTAAATCTTCTCCGATGCAAGCTGTCACAGGAATATTTTTTGTAACTGCCGCATTCCAAGAGGACTTGTCGCTCTCGTGGGGGGGGGGCATTGGAGGTAGTTCAGAGCTCTGTTTCCAATCTAAGTGAGGTGAATATGTTTCAGATAACCACTAATCAGCAAGTGGAGAACACCCAGCAATCAGAGATTGGTGACATGGAAGACTTCGGTGTTCCCAAGCGCCGGGTGCAGCCAGCTATCCCCATCAGCACCAAGCGGCGACGTGGTCCAACTGACGAGAGTCAGGAAGAATCTCAGGACCTGGAACTAACTCAATCCTGGAGGGAGATATTGGGACCTCCACCTCCCCTGGGAACCACAAAGGTAATTGACCTGTTACAACTGGACGGTTGCAATTTGATGGATTTATGATAAACATAGCCATTCTGTTTATTCTTTCCTGGGTAAATTTAATCGTTGGGTTTATAAGTGCTTGCGATTGTTTGGCAAAGTGTTCTTATAGAGCACATTCCAGTCTAGGGTGAGCTCTAGAATTAATTTGGATTACTAACTCTGCAGGATCCGGGGCAAAGTGAGTTTGGTGTCCAGTGAGAGTCGTCGTGCCCTTTGGGGTAAAAGTAACACTTGCCTGTACTTTTAGCACTAATAGACACCATAAAACAATTAGTTGAAAACTGACTGTACTTCTATTTTTGCTTTGGAACAGGACGAGCGACTAGTGTGGCTGAGGTACCACAAAAAGAAATGGGAGCTACAAGCCAGGCAAAGGAAGGAGCGCAGGAAGAGGAGAAAGCTGGACGGTGGCGAGGCTGCTATAGGAAGACCGATTCGAGACGGTCCTGCAACCAGCCTCAGCAGCTTCCTGCGTCGGACCGCCCGCACCATTCTGGACATGCCGTGGCAGATTGTGCAGGTAACTCCTCTTAAACTGACGAAAATATCCAGAGTCAGAAAAATTTAATATGGATTGTGCAACAACAACAACAACAACAAGATTCCACTTATAGAGCGCCTTTCACGTCAGGAGGACGTCCCAAGGCGCTGCACAGTTGGGTCATGACCCGAGCAGGGGGGAAATGGTCAGGGTGAGGGGAGGGAAGGGAGGGAGAGAGGAGGGGGGAAATGGTCAGGGTGAGGGGAGGGAAGGGAGGGAGCGAGGAGGAGGAAGAGAGTCGAGAGGGGAGCTGAAGGCACGGTCAAAGAGAAAGGTTTTGAGACCGGCCTTGAAGGAGGAAAGGGAGGAAGCAAGGCGAAGGCACTGGGGGATGGAGTTCCAGAGCCTGGGGGCTGAGAAACACTTAAGTCGAATGATTCTCTTGATTTGTTTCTCCTCAGATTGCAGAAACAAGCCACCCCGGTCTCTTCAAGCTGTGGGCTGTGGTTGGAAGTGATTTACATTGCATCAAACTCAACATCCCGCGATTATTTTACGTCAACCAACGAATCCCTAAAGCAGAGGATGGTGCTGTTTTCAAGAAGGTATTTTTTTTGTTCTAGTTCTGGTAAACACTCAGCGATTCCTACCTAAGAAGTTCCTTCACATGCTGAACCATGTAATATGTTATTTTTTGTTTTTGTTTATAGGTCAGCCGTATCCTGCCCCGGTCCAATATAGTTTACAACCTGTATGAGTATGCCGTGCCAGAGGACATGTACCAGGAGCACATTAATGAGATCAATGCTGACCTTTCTGCTCCAGATATTGAAGGAGTCTATGAAACTCAGGTTGGTGGAGCAAGTTGAATACTCTGCTGTGTCTGTATGACATTGACTCACCGGCTCCGCCACTGTCTCACACCGCTGGCCACCAAAACCCTCATACATGCATTCACAACATCGAGGCTTGTCTATGCAAACTCTTTGCTTGTCGACCACCCCAGCTCCTCCCTCCATAGGCTGCAGATCATCCAGAACTCTGCAGCCCGTGTCCTCTCCCGCAGCAGGCTCCCCCATCCTCGTCCGACTCCACTGGCTTCCCATCACACAGAGGACACAGTTCAAGATCCTGTTCCTCGCCTTCAAAGGATTCCATGGCCTTGCTCTCCCCTACCTCTGTGACTCCTAACCCCCTACCATTCTGCCTGCTCCCTCCGCTCAGCAGGCTCCGGCCTCCTCCCTTGACTCCTTGCAGACCCATCTCAAGACTCTCTACACCCTGCTTCCTGACCCCCAACTTGGGTGTTATTATCACCAAGGTGCAGAATGGTCTCTGAAGCACAGAATTGTATAATACAAGAGATCCGCTGACTAGATGGCTGTAAAACGGCCTATTTCCATTTCCTCATCTCACGGGAATACATAAGAGTCAATGTCTCTAAAATATTCTCTGCTGATGAAGGTTTTTAATATTGGCGCAGTCCTGGAAGACGGCTACGTGCTAAAGAGGATACTCACTTTAACCTGGTCAAACAGTGATGTGGGAAGGAATTGAGTTTTCAACTTTCTGTTTAGAATTTTTCCAAATGGAAAAAACATGTACAGAAACACTAATGATCCAGTGCCTTGGGAAGTCCTCCCGACGTGAAAGGCGCTATGCAACTGTAATTTTGTGTTGTAGGAATAAAGATGGTTAATCAATACAGACCAACATAAATGTCTGAGAAATCCTGTATTCTAATATGCACTGTCTAGAACTAGCACTATGGAGACTGGTTCTATCAATAATAAATACAGCGGAAACTTGCTGTTAAAGTGCTGCAGGCAATAGTTTTCCTCTGATTGAGTTTGAGAATTTGGTTCCTGTCAAATGGGGGGGGAGGAGAAACTGACCAAGTAACGGCCCTCACTAAGATGTCCGTAAGAAGTAGATAAGATGTAGATAATTTGGTGTGTGCGTTTTTCGGCCAGTAAAAGAAAAGTTCCAACAAAACCCAGCTTTTGTTTGCATTTTTTGAACATGTATTTAGAAGCAATAGATGGTATTTCACAAATACACTTCACAAGTTGATCGATTGGATTTGTAGGAATTCTCCCCAAAAGACATAGGGTTATAGGGGTTTTTGTGGTACTTGTTACAGTATTTGAATGCTACAATGGCAATTGCAAGTGTTGAACTGGATTTTTTCCCACTGCTCTTCCCAGGTTCCCTTGTTGTATCGTGCTCTGGTACAACTTGGCTGTGTCTGTATGGTCAGTAGACAGTTGTCACGTCACCTTATCGGTCGAGAAAAGGACACCTTTGATTTGGAGCAACTGGAAATGCGATCCTTAGCACAATTCAGTTACTTGGAGCCAGGTAAGGATCACCTAATAACTGACGTTCAAATGGTTAACTTCAATCCAGCTGGCTTATTTTACTTTGTAAAATTACTGAAACTTTTAGTGTGGGTTAACAAACTTTAGAATTTGCTGTATTGAAGGCATTATGTGCTTCAATAACATCAGTATCAAAAAAGTAACACTTATGACCATTGAAGACCTGATTGAAGAGAATTTGAAATTGAATTTCTTTGTTCTAAGAGGTGCTTAAATACTTAGCCATAGGTTCTCATTTTTCACATTTAATTGCATTATTTCAACTTTTCAGCTGAAGGAAGTTGTTCAAAGGAGTATAGTCGATTTGTAATATTTCAGTCTTTTGTGAGCTATTAGATGCAATAAGACACAAGTCAATTACAGCATTTGGTGTCTAGTTAGTTCCCAGAGGGATTTCCTTTGGCACAGTGAACTAAATGGGGATATTAGACATTTTATAAGCAGAAAGGGGATACATTTGATTAATATAGATGGTTCTATAGAAACTAATGCTTGTCTTTCTGTCTCACAGGCAGTGTCCGACATATCTACTTGTACCACAACGCTCAAGGGAACAAAGCGCTCTTTGGGTTGTTCATCCCCTCTCAGAGGAAGGCTTCGGTGTTTGTTCTTGACACTGTAAGTAAAGTTAGCAAGGCCAATCGTAGAGAAGATGACTGATGAGTATTCTGAGAGGAGATACTTGCTGCATTAAGTGTCTCAGGTACATATTGGTAAACAACAACAACTTGTATTTAGATAGCGCCCTTCATCTGGGTAGTGTATTTGAGCGCTTAAAAATGCTACCATTTAAAATAATACATAAGATACTGATTTCAAGGATATTGATTATTGAAGGGTTGCTTCACAGGACTCAAAAGGCTGTCCTCACCTGTGAAATCTGGCTCTTTGATGTTAGTAAAGGGGATTTCCATAATATCAACGTAAGCCACAAAATAGATCACAAGATGGAAATGGTCCTTTGGATAATTGGTGTTCATTTTTCTAGAATATCAACCCTGCCAACCTCCCAGTACAGCATCAAAATGGTTCTTAAATGAGTCAAGCAACTTGGCCTTTAACCATTCCTGGTCACCATTCCAACTACCTTCTGTGTAAAGAAGACTCTCTGGTGCCTATCCTGACATTGCTCTTTGCTATCGGGATCTGTCCTCTTGTTCTGCTGCCTTGGAGTATTTGAAGGCTGCCACATTTTTGACATTGTAAGCAATGGATCTCCTTCAGCTTTCTGCTTGGCAAGTTCTGCCCATCCATAGAGTATATACATCCTAGTTTAATTTTACAGACTTTCAAGACATGCAAGTAACTCCTCCTTCATACCTATTACCAATCAATGCCTATTTTGACTTAGCTCCCCCTATAATAATAATCGTGATTGTCTTAGGGTATTGCTTCATAGCATCTAGATGTCCATTGCACAGCATTTATCTGAATACAATATTCTGTTTAATCTGAGTTAGGTTCGTAGTAACCAGATGCCGAACTTGACAAACCTATACACAGCCGAGCGGACAGCCATGCTGGAGAAACTGGATGAGGAGCTTCTGCCTCCTGACAAGCACACCTTTGAGGTTCAAGCAGAAAAGGACCCAAAACAAATCTACAGAGCAATTCAGCGACTACTCCTGAACTACAAGGTAACAAAACTGCAGCAGGGAATGCACGTTAAGGTTGGGAAAGATTGCCTTTTATTCCATTGTGGAGCCTACGAGTTTACACAGATCAGATAAACTAAAAAGGTTGATTGTTCCATTTCACTCTTAAATATACCACAAATCTCCAGCATCTTACGTATTTTAGTAACTTAACATTTGTGTAGAATTTCACACTTATCCTTCACTTTCAACTGAAACAATCTCGCCCCAAAATGTGTGCATGCATGGAAATTTGTAGAAGTCTGCTGCTAACAAGTTATCTTTCAAGTCTCTCCATAACTGGAATTAGATTTCTACCTGACCACTCAACTAGTCATTATACTATAGCCATTTGAAATGATTTTTATTTTTTACATATTATTGTTTAACATTTTGTGGCATTGCGTGCTTTGTCTGATCATTGAGTGTTCCATGAGGTTAGAATTGGTCAGATTTCCATTTTCCCTCAGGGGTTGCTAGGCTCAGTTTTAACGATACTCATTTAGACACATCCCAGCTATGAATAAGTTTATTCCCCATGGCAATGATGCTAGTTTGCAGCTATTCCAGTAGAATGCAAAAACTGGTAGATTCCAGAGGCAATGTCATGTCATTTGCCTTCAATTTAGCGTCTTGTGCAGCCCTGGTTGAGATCAGCAAACTTTGGGTTTGCATCACTACGCTCCTGATCCATAAACTGAAACTATCAACTACTCTGTCAGAGTTCCCCAATTTTGCCCTTTCTACAACATCAAGGGGTGCACATTATTAAGTGTTTGCCATGTGGCTTGTGTTGTACTGGTTGGGCTGATTTTCTATGGTTTCTCCCAAAGATTAATATCACAGCGTAGACAATAATAAAATAATCCTTGTATTTGATACAATGCCTTTCACTTTGGGAGGATTCTCATATTGATTCTCACACTTTACAGTACTTCATACTATAACGTGACTGCATTCTGTAGGCAACTGCAGAAGCCAATTTGATAAGAGAAAGGAAGATGGTTGATTCATTTGTTGGTTTTAATATTAACTTTCTATTAAAAAGGATGAGAGAAGAGGTCCGACCCTCATAGCGATTCAGTCCAAATGGGACCTGAAGAGGCTGGTCAATGGAATGCTTGTTCTGGATGATTTTCCACTAGTGCCTGTTCATGTGGTTGATGACATCAACTATAGTGTGCTGGATTGGCAACGCCAAGGGGTGCGCAGAATGATCAGACACTACCTCAGTCTGGACAGTGTTCTTTCTAAGGCATTTGAAATGGCCAGGTGAGACTACCTCAAACCTTACACACTTCATTTGAATGCACACTGAGCTAAAGCCTGTTGTGGAATTGGTTGCTTTCCGTTTGTCTGCGTCTTGCACACAGTGAATTGCCTCTCTTAACTCTGCCAGTGGGGAAGATTAAATAACCCCTGGGCCGGATGCAGCCTACGGGCCACCAGTTGGACAACCCAGCTGTAGACGACGGAGTTTCAAGAGCCTTCAACATTGGCTTGGGAGCAGGTTGCACAAAACCCTGGACAAATATCTTTCAAAAAGAATATCATCCTGAAAATCAATTGGAACTATTTTAAGATGGAGAAATAATATAAAACATAGGAGTGTTGCTCTGTCAACTCACTAATGACGATGGTAGAAAATTCTGGGAACTGGACACACTCAGCCCATTTTACCTGAAGGCATGTGATTACCAGCAGGTGACATTACTCAGACATGGAAACAACCGAAATAAATGAGCCAAAGTAAAATGAGGTTGAAAGATTCTGATTAAGATATAAAATATTTTAGAAAATTCTTAGGTTCTTGAGAAAAGTTTTAATTCTGACTCCCATTACCTCCTTCCCCAGGTATTACCACATTCCCATTGGAAATCTCCCAGATGACATCTCCATCTTTGGCTCAGACCTCTTTTTCTCCAGACACCTTCGCCGACACAACCACCTACTGTGGCTTTCCCCAACCTCCCGCCCTGACCTGGGGGGCAAGGAGGCGGATGATAGCCGCCTGGTGATGGAGTATGATGAGAGATCAGCGGTAGAGATCAATAATCCAGACTGTTACTCCACAGGTATGTCTTGTACTGTTGCAAGGTTGTGGGTTCAACCCCGCCCCCCCCACCTCCAGTCGGGACTTAGAACATGGTTTTATTTGTGGCATTCTGATAAAATTTAGTAAATGTGACAAAATTAGGGCAAGAAATATATGTTGATGCAATTGGTTGTGAAATTCTTGATCCCTGCAGTTTGTGTGGAGCTGGACATTCAGAGCCTGGCAGTGAACTCCATCCTTCAGTCTCATCATGTTAACGACATGGAAGGAGCGTCCAGCATTGGTGTCAGCTTCGATGTTATTCAGCAAGCTTCACTCGAAGACATGATGTCAGGGAATCAGGCCGCCAACGCACTGGCTAGTTACGATGAGACAGCCCTCTGCTCCAACACCTTCAGGTACTCGATTATGTGGGGGGGTAGTGGATCCACATTGCTGCTATCTAGAGATAATTCTCAGGAATTTATTAACCAGGAACAACTGGCTTTTCCTATAATATTCTACCCCTCTGAAGGCTTATTTCGTCGACCAAGCTTTCGGTCATCTTTCCCAGGAACATTACTGATGTCTAGAGCTTGCTGGTTAAAAGGTCCTGCTAATGAATGTATCACTGTTGTTCCTCCAGGATCCTTAAGAGCATGGTTGTTGGCTGGGTGAAGGAAATCACTCACTATCAGAACGTGTATGCAGATAACCAAGTCATGCACTTTTACCGCTGGCTTCGGTCTCCTTCCTCACTGCTGTTTGATCCTGCTCTACACCGCACACTCCACAACATGATGAAGAAACTCTTCCTTCAGTAAGTAGTGCCCCCACCCCCCCAGTACAGTAACAGCAGCTCATAAGAAAATGGAACTAAACAACTGGGACCTCCTGAACAGAGAGTTAAATCATTCATTAATTCCATGGCAGATTCTGAGACCTTGCTGGGTGCAATTGTTTGCTGGATTTGCTACAAAAATAATCACTTGACCATTGCTACTTGTGAAGTGCTTTGACGTGATAAGGCGCTATAAAAAAAGTGATTGGTACAGAGGTGACGCTCATTCTTCCTTTTGACACAGGCTGGTAGCAGAGTTTAAGAGGTTGGGCTCATCTGTGGTCTACGCTAACTTCAACAGAATAATCCTGTGCACAAAAAAGCGTCGGATTGAAGATGCAATTGGCTATGTGGAATACATCACAAAGAGGTAACCTGCTTTTCTACAGATTGCACCTTTTCTTGCTGTAATAACCCACTCTCCAGAAACAGAGGGACTCAAGCTCAAATCTTAGTAGATATCTCTTACGGTAATTCACTTTTTTCTTTACAGCATTCATTCCCGTGAGATTTTCCATTCCCTCTCCATCTCTTTTTCTCGCTGTTGGGAATTCCTGCTATGGATGGACCCGGCTAACTTCGGTGGGATTAAGGGCAAGCTTCCCTCCAGCGTACTCTGGGGAGAGGTAAGAGGATCCTACTTTCTTTTCTGTGGTATTAGAATGGTGATTTCCCTCAGTTCTTGTTTATAACTCAAATTCAGTTCTCACCCTGTTGCAGAGCGCACCTCATTGGCTGTGCAAGTGTGCAGATGGCTTGCTCACTTGATACGTACTAGTCAGATTTCACACTAATATAGCTGGATTCTGGAGGTCATTAGGTTTACGGGGAGTGAAATCCAGGCACTGCTTTCTGTGCACAGGAAGTGATGTCAACGGAAATCGGATGATCCGGATGTTTACCATTTTAGCTTCCTTTGTTCAAATTGTCACCGGCATCATTTACCATCACAGTCAATCTATGAACCATATCTGAATATGTTATGTCAGGTGGGCAAGGAAAATGAACCAAAGGAGCAGGTTACCGAAGAGGACAGTGAGGATGAAGATGAGGAAGAAGTTCATTCTGAGGTGGAGGAAGGTGTGACTGATGTGGAAGATCTGCTAGACAATAACTGGAATATCCTCCAGTTTCTGCCACAAGCAGCCTCCTGCCAGAGTTATTTCCTCATGATCATCTCAGGTATGGTAACTACCCATTAAAAGGATGGATTCATGGAGGTATCTCGTATACAAGTCGCTGAACTTTTCCATATCAATCATTCCTTGCAGCTTATATTGTGGCTGTCTACCACAGCATGAAGGAGGAAATGAGGCGCAATGCCCCAGGGTGTACTCCTATTAAACGACGAGAGGCCAGCCAGACTACACAGGAGCCTGCAGGAGAGGCTGGTGCATTAGCAGGTAACAAACCATGTTGAAGGTCCTGACATCCTAGAAATAGTCTCCACAGCGCTGAGCTTGGGAAGGTGAAGATCAGGGTTTCTGCTCCCAATTGTTTTCCAGTTCAGTAGCCTGCTAGCATTCATTTCTGGATATAGAATGGGGCCTGGATGTGGTACTGGAGGGTCTTCAAGGAACTACCCAGCAAAGGAGAATAATTTGAGGGATAGAAATTGTAGGTCGTTTGACTTTAAAACCCAGAAGAGAAAGCTGCTATTTTCAATCACATGAGAAGTTCAGGTGAACATTGCCCTTTGAGTCATAAGTGCTCTGAGTCACTACTCTTATGTGAAGAGCACTATATAAATGCAAATTGTTGTTGTTGATCGCGTCTCTGGAGAATAATCACCCCAATGTCTTCCCATTACAGCAATAAGTAATTTCGTAAATTAGCCCAATGTCTTGCCATCTTCCAAATTTCTGTTGATCTGTTCCAGCTAATTTACCCTTTTATATGAAGAATTATTTCCTCATGTCAGTCCTGCTGTCTTGGTGTATCTGAAATGTTATTGATAATCTGTGTTTATCAGAATTTAGAATGACATTCATTTCAGAGATAAATTTTCTGTGGACTTTCTTTTGCCTCATCCGTTCTGTAGGGATGATTACCTTCTCTCAAGAGTATGTATCTAATGAGCTCACACAGAACTTCTTCACGATCACCCAGAAGATCCAGAAGAAGATGAGTGGCACACGAAATGCGACTCAACCCTCTGAAACGTTCCCCCTCCTGCCTGGCTCCTACCTCCCCTTGAACAACCCAGCACTTGAGTTCATCAAATCAGTCTGTAAGGTGAGACTGAGCTGTTCAGCCAGACACAGTAAAATAGTACAGTGTTGAGAATTTAGTCTGTTAGAACCCATGCTATGTTCTTGCTACAAAAGGCCTGACTTCAGTCTTAAATCCAAGCAAATAAAAAAATGAGCAAGGAGTCACTGCTACCCGTTGAGGGGAGCAGCCGTGTCGGGGCCCCTCCAAATGACAGCCTCACACATGAGAGGAAGTGGTCTTTGATGGGTATTTTTCAACAAACGGCGGATTCTCGGAATGTGCTTGTTTAACCAGGTTAGAAACGACTCAGTGTCGGATCAGACCGGCTGATCTGACAATACGTGAAGGCATCACTTCCTCTTCGGACACGTCTCCGGGATGGAAGAACGGTTGCCTGCGCACTAGGCTCTCAGACTTGCTGTTCAGATGTACAGTGGTTCGTGCCTGGACTGTACCTGGAGGCGGCCTAGAGGGTGTCCAAGACATATCTGGGTGTGACAGTTTAGGGCTGATTAGCATCAGGACGCCTGGGACACTGCGTGTGATCGGTCGGGTAAGTCACGACAGCCCAACCCCGGTCACGTTAGTTATAGTAAATCCTTCTTGAACCGTGTCCAGAATTAGACACCCACCTCCAAATGCGCTCTTTTAATCAAGGTTTAATGTCCGTAATGCTTCCAATTCACTAGCACTCCACAATGATTGAGTGAATGGTTGATGTTCCATGGATAATTGAGTATTATTTTTTTCTCTCTCTATAATCATTAAATCCCGCTGCTATTATTATTTTCACATAGGTCCTGTCTCTAGATTCTAAAATAACTAATCAAGTTAACAAGCTGAAGCGGGACCTTCTGCGACTAATTGACATCGGGGAATTCTCTGAGGAAGCCCAGTTTAAAGACCCCTGCCAATCCTACATATTGCCCGAAGTGATCTGCAAAAACTGCAACTTTTGCCGAGACTTGGATCTCTGCAAAGATCCCTCGATCTTGCAGGTAAGTACAAGTAGCAGGGAAAGGAAACAAACACCTCATCTCTCTGAAGCACCCTCAAACCTCAATAAACCTTCTGTTTAGGTTTTTTTAAGCAAATACATTTTCATTAACTTCTCTCTCAGTTAAATATGGGGCTTGAACCCACCACCTTCTGACATGAAAGGCTATCAGCTGAGCCAGGCTGACACATGTCTTAATTGAAGCAGAGCCCATCTGTTCTTCAAGGGTGTTAGGTGGATGCTTGAAAAAGAGAAATATGAGAAGGTTATGGAAGTGAGTAGGATTAGATTAGATCAGGGACTCATGGAGAAAAGCACATTTAATGTCCCTTTTTTCTATTTCAGGGGTTGCATTATTGGGAATAAATGGTCAATGTAGGCCTTACATTATTCCAAATCTAATTTTTGTGATGTATTCTACACCCATTACTTGTAACACTATCCGCTGGCTAATGATGCAGCTCAAGATTTTTTTTGTATTAAAGTAACCAACACAGTCGCACAGCCAACTAGAGTGCATCCAGTTTCCCAATGATCTCCTTACACAGAATGTGGACACTCGCTTTAAGTATTCGTTAAGATGATTTCATGAATCACGTTCCTTGTTGCATCTGATCAGACATTTGGAGAATGCTGAAATAACAACAGTTACTATGAACAAAACGCAAAATCCTGTAGATGCTGGAAATCTGAAGCAAAAACAGAAGTCGCTGGGGACACTCAGCAGATCAGGCAGCATTTATGGAGAAAGGAAAGTGAATCAATGTTCCGGGTCCACGGATTCTGACGAAGGGTCGTGGACTCAAAACATTGACTCACTTTCCTTTCTCCGTAGATGCTGCCTGACCTGCTGAGTGTTCTGAGCGACTTCTGTTTTTGTAATAGTTACTATGCTTCCACTTGAATATAGCTTTCTGAGGCTGCTCCTCATTCCTGTGGTGAGTGTGTAAAAATTCTCACAGGCCTCTGTCTACAATTTACAAAGGGAAGATGTGAGAAAAGTGGATTTCTTACTTTGCTCTCCCTCTTGTGGAGACACAAGGTCTCAATTACAGAGCAGTGAATTGGAGGCTCGACAACACTACAGTGCGCTTTAATCAAAGATTTTTAAATTACTCCTGCAGAACTTTGACCATGATGCAGTGTATTGGCTTGGTACTTTACCCTTTCCTCCTGTCTTTGGAACTCTCTTCCTCAATCCTTCCCTCTGTCTTGCCGCCTCTTTCAGATCACAACTTCCTTTTCGCCCGCACAAGGCTCGGAGTCGGGCTCTACCACTGTTAAGCGCTTTGAGACCTGCCCCGTGTGAAGGGCGCTATATAAACGAAGATCTAACTCCCACTAAGCAATCAGTTTTGTTATCACAACGCCTCATGCTGTGGAGGTTCCCTCTTTCCAGCGTTGTGCAGTTTCTGTTACATTTTGGACGGTGCGCTTGGTTCCATGAGGTAGTGGTCAGTTTCTGTTTTCAATTGTTTGTTTGCCTTTTATATTGCTCGTTCCAGGTTTACAAGCAACTCTAAATCACCTGTTCTCTTTGACAGGATGGCACAGTTTTACCAAAGTGGTGCTGTACAAACTGCCAAGCCGAATACGACTCTGATGCCATAGAAATGGGACTGGTCGAAGCATTACAAAAGAAAATGATGGCTTACACTCTCCAGGACTTGGTACATTAACATATTCTAAATTCCTGAACAGCACTCAGGCCTCCCTTTCCAGATACACTGTGAAAAACATCCGAACCTGGTTAATTCACATAATAGAAAGAAACACTTAATAAAGAATTGCTGAGCTGATAAACAAAATGTACCTAAACAAAATCCCAGGTAACTTCTGCATGGGGCAGAAGGTTCTGGGTGGTACTGTGTTGATGGCTTTGTGATAGAGATAATTAGGGTCCCTGGAGCTGGAGTGGCATTGAGGAGATAAGCCTGGCAATGGAATGGTACTGTGGTTGATTGACTAGCCTGTCTAGCTTATTAATGGGGTACAGTGAAGATGAGATGTGCCCTCACTCTGGTGAGCTACAGCCCTAATAGATAGAATGGTCCGAGGTGGACAAGTACTATGTTGCCAGATTTCTCTTCTGGTGCCATCATAATCAGTGAATTGACATGCAGAAGAAATCCAGGAGTAGAGTAATACTCCTGACCTTTCTCTGACTGCTCTGTTAGTTGCAGAGCTCAGTTGGAATCCTTAGGTTTCTCCTGAATCTTATACTTTGAGACCTGCGGTTGGGCTAGAGTTAATATCCTTTTTGTTTTTCTAGATTTGTTCAAAATGTAAAGGCATTAAGGAAGCCAACATGCCCATTTACTGTACCTGCGCACGGGATTTTGACCTGACATTTTCAGTGAAGGTATGTATGTTTTATTCCATTCTAAGTCATAAACAAGAACAGCAACAAATTAGATCAGAAACTTTCACGTCGGGAGGACGTCCCAAGGTGCTGGACTGTCGGGGATTTGGACCCGAGCTGGGGGCTGGGGTCAGGAGGAGTGGATAGGAGAGCATAAGAAAATTGCTCAGATCTGCTCCTTAGTTTACACTGATCCAGTGCAGGAAAAGAGATGAGTGACTCAGAGATAAATTAATTTGATTAGGGTGGCCGTCTGAAAATGAGGATTTTGCTCACGTGACTGATTCTACATTATTAAGAAGGTCTGTGATCTGTGGAAGAGATGTCTAAATTGATGCTAATCAATATTTTTGATGAGGTTATAAATGCCTTTACGTTCGTCAATTGTGTTGTGGGTCTCCAAAAGTGAATTTCAAAAATGAATTAAATGTGACCAGTAGATTTTGACAACCAGACGATTTAATGTAGTTAATTCCTTGCGTGCGGATGGCATGAAAGTTTCACTTGCTGTGTAGACAATAGCAATTTACATTTATTCATGCGCCTTCATGTCGCAACCGAATACAAAATCTTTTTTGTGGTGTTGTGGTGGATAAAATCTTGAGGACTATCTGAATTTTCTGCTCTGGTTTACAGGGATTCGCAGAGCAGATCCAGGTGTTCAGAAACATCGCCCGGCACTACAGCATGCCAGTCCTACAGGACACGGTAGACTGGATGTTTCAGATGAACCCACATATGAGGACGTGAGGACACAGTACAAGACCACTGAAATTACACACCTAGTCTGGGGTGAATAGCAAATATTGCTCTGTGTACATATGCACAAGGGTAACCCTTTCTACAGCAAAGCCTCTTCAAACCCATTTCACTGTTCACAATTGCTGGACTGTGCCACATTCCACCATTAGTGCAGAAATACAGCCAGTTGCTGGAAGTGGAATTCAAGAACACCAAGTTCCGTCAGTGTTTTAAATCCCCACTGTGTGTGTATGTGGCAATGGGCGGGCATGAGGATAGTGACTTCTCACGGCCCAGACTAGCAAGAAGACTTCACCCGAAAGGTCTGAATGCAATGGTAAATGCTTTTATTTCATCATGTGCAGTCAGATAGATGAACTAATGGGTCCTCGTAAGCAATTTGAATGAGTTGAGGAATTAAATTGATGTGTACTCCACATCCTGGTGAGTGTAATGGATGGCCTTTTCAGTGCATAAAATCAGAAAATAGGGCGATGGTTCAATCCTTTTATTTAATGGGCCATTTTCTTGACTCCAATCAAAGCTACTGTAAAGCTACAGCCTAGTATTTATAAGGCATCAAGATCTTTGCCTTGTTTGACATGACAGGGAAAGGAAAGAAAAAAAAGTTCACTTAATTTTGGGCAGTTTTCATGTCTAACTGTAACCTCACACATGGTCGCTGTGTGGAACTATGTGCTGAATGGTTTCTGAGCAGCTAAATAGATTTTGATCAGAGGGAATGTATCTTCACTCACTGTTAAATCAACAACATTTATATTCTTATGTTTACATCCTGCTTTGACTCAAAATGCAGGCTTTTCCAGGCACTTTTACAGCCTGGAGGAGGAGAAGCACATGTGTATCAAGGAACCAAAGGCAAAAAGTTAATATCCTGAGATAATAACTCTGGATTATTATTAATATTCTAAGTTGAAAGCTTCATCTTACATAATGTGCCTATTTCCTATTACTCTTGTGTTAATATTTAATGCAATGCAGAATTCTCTACAGGTTACTTATTGTAAGTACAACTAGTAATGTTGAAAATTACTGGCATTTCTTTAGGACTGTTTGCTGCAGTCCTAACGTTTGCATAAAATAAAGGCTTTTTCAATCCTAACTGAATTTGATGTAGAAATGTGTAATGTCAATGGCAAGCAATGTGGTTTTAACTGGTTAAACTCCAGCAGTATCCCAACGCATTCCAGGGATCCCAACCCTTGGCTCCAGCCACCATGTGCTTAATACCCTGATGCAATCTTAAAGTTAATAAAGTATTCAAAAAGGATTTGGTCACTTAGTCCACAATTGTGTGTGGTACGCAATTGGCTGCCGCATTTTGCCCACAAAATGTATAGTCAATTCACTTTACAGTATATTCTATGAAGTGTATTTAGACGTCTCACTGATATAATAAGGTGCTATATCAAATGCAAGGATTATTTTTAAAAATTGTTAAATTATGATCAATAATATAATTGAATCATCAAGCGCACTTTTACCCTTTTTATCAACCACTGCAGCAATTGTCTTGCTGAGAGAAATGCCCGCAACCCCCCACCTCCCCCCATGTAGTTTAATCTCATCAAAGATTACTTTGTGCGGCCTTTCTTGGTAATGTGCAACTATTGCAATTACACAAAATTTGTGCTCTTTCTTATTAATTTGTATGTCAGTTGTCAACAGAAGATCTGGTAACCGAATGACTCACAGATTAAAATGCGAATAGAAATATCAGAACCAGTTTAACTGGATTTTAATTTCTTTAAACCAGCCTCGCCTTTTGGAACTCTGGTGAAGCCTCAGCATCTGGCTAATGGAAGCCAGGAAGTTCAGTCAGGATTATCAGCACTGTGTATATGGAGCGTCTGATGCAGGATATCATGTCCTTTGCTTTGTCTCCTTGGTCTATACTGCCTTGCTCTTCCCCTCCTCTGCTCCAGTGTATACTGTGCTCAAACCAGCACCGCTGCATGTTTGGGTAGCTCACCCGCCTAAGAGCTATTTTACAGTTAGTGTGTGGGGAAGAATTGAGCTGAAAAACCTTTGTCGATCCTGTTGTAATATGAATTATAACATCAAACGTGTCGTCGTACAAAACATATTTTCATTCGTTTTTTTTAGGATTCAAACGTTAACTTTATTCACCGGTTGTCTCAAAATACAAATAAAGACAGTTGAAGAGATGAAGTGAGAGCATTTTTTTTTAGTGAAGTTCATATAACAATCTCTGTCCTCAGATCATCTTCACCGGACACACAAGCAAACCAGGCTAGGCTGAGCCACACAGGCCACCCTCAGTGTTCACTTGAGCAGGCTAATTCATACAGCAAGCAGTTTAGCACCTAGTTAGACCACATCTTCTGTGGGTGTTGGAACTACATCAGTCAGTGTCAGATAAGGTTAGTATGTTACTGTGTTAGTTGTTACTGTGTTATATTGAGCAATAAGGTGAATTTGATAACTGGAGAGGAAAGGACTCCAGGTCCTACAGAGGAGAGAGCATGCAGCACAAGACAATGAATGTAGACTTGCCATAGGAAGTAAGGAATGGAAAGTAATTGAGCTCATTGAATGTGCTCTGCTACATACCAATGCCCTATGTACTACTTCTCCCCCTGATCACAGTCTTAACTCTCGCCACATCCTTTAAATATTTGGACATGTACCTGAAGCTTTGCAGCTGAGGTCAATCTCTTATCAATCTAAATTAATTCTATATTACACACAGCCTAAAGGAATAGAGTTTACACCTTGTTCCTAAATAAACAGAAGGAACTCGCCAGGTAAAATAAACTGGAACTGTTCCCACTTTTGAAGTCAAAATTGAAGAATGTGAATTTATTTGCTTCCCCAAAATGGATCTAACCTTGTATTTTTTCCAGTTGTTTAACTAAGGTTGATTGCACAGTGGAAGAATTTAGATTGCAATTTAAGCTTTTAATTATTTGTCTGTCAAATGCCGACAGAAAGGGTGGGTGTTGGGTGGAGTTGACACTTTTGTGCTGGAGGTTTTGTGGCAGATACTTATTGGAATAACTTGCTCTTCACATTTCTATCCTGGCCACTGAACAAATATGTAAAGCCATTTGCTCCTTCTGGCTGATATGCCTGGGAAAGTAGCTCATGAGTGCTGCACCGTATGACAGTTCTCTGTTGAGACAAATTTGGTTTTCAAATTCATTCCTTGGTTTTAATGTCACTACTGTGTAGACTGCAACCTGCTTTTCCCTAGTTTGTATTCAATTAAGCAGTTGGTGAAGTAACCAGTAAAGGTGCCCAGGATAACCTGCAAATGAGGCTACAAATGGTACTGACTTCAAGCGGTAGGGGAATAGGGCAGTGGGACTGAATAAACACCTTGCTCTGCGAGCCAGTGGAGACTTGATGCGCTGAATGCTGTATATTTCTATTATTCTAAATAGACTAGCTTAATAAATAGTTTTGTCTGTCCAGAGGTTGGAGAGTCTGGTACTAAGAAACCTAGATATGAGCTGTGTGACATTTGGATAATTTCGCAAATTGGAACTTTGACTTTGTTCCCGTACACCTACTGCTCTGACTCTTACTGCATCTCGCTAGGACAGACAGGAGAATTTGGCATTTAACAAAGTCCAGCTGGTGATGATGGAGTTCCTTCTGGTGAAATCCCATTCTGATTGACCATAATCTCCTTAGCAACCTGTACAATAAAAACATTTCAATTTTACAAATAGATATTGCAGATGTTAAATAACTATCAATTAAGTTTTCCCAGTAGCCTCGTGGTTAAATCTTTCTCTTCAACTGTGCCTTCAGCTCCCCTCTCGACTATCTACCCCCTCCTCGCTCCCTCCCTTCCCTCCCCTCACCCTGACCATTTCCCCCCCCCCAATGCTCGGGTCCCGACCCAACTGTCCAGCGCCTTGGGACGTCCTCCCGACGTGAAAGGCGCTCTATAAATGCAATCTTCTTGTTGTAAAGGCAGATGTCAGGTTAGTGCTAAATCAGATTGATACTGGTTATGCTACGTTGACTGATCTCAACAACTGACCTTGGGCTAAGGAATGAAAAACATTACCCTTATATTAGCCTTTTGACCTCGTTTAAAATTTAAGATTGTGCAGAATCAGGCGAGGACCATGAGAAATTTTGGCCTCCGATCACTGGTTGAGAAATATATGCATTGACTGATGGGGTGACAAAAAGATCAGTCTCAGTTGTGATACCCCCACAGCCAAATAAGCTGCCCACACACGCCGTCTAAGCTCATACATGCCCTTTGGTTAAGGTAACAGAAAGCGCCACCACCAGAACTTTGAGCAGTACAGGAGGAGGGGAGAAAATTAGTAAATTAAAAGTTTTATAACTTTCTTCACAGTCAGAAAATGCAACAAGGAGCAGTGGATAGAACTCCAGGTAAGCACTGGAAATCATAAAGGAATGCTGCACGTTAAGATACAGTGATCGCTTGTGTTCCTACGTGAAGAATGTCTCATCCACTTTGTTTTAACCTGAAAGTATAAAGGGACGGACGACTGCCATTAGCCATGAGGATTTCTGTGTATAATCCTAATAATTGTGTAAGGAAATTTAAACTTGAGAAGACTGATATTGTATTGAATCTCTCCAGATCACTAAATATTCTAAAGGCAGATGCTCTACCGTACTTACCATGTCACCTCTTTTTTGCCCTGGTAGGTTTGAGCCATGTCAATCAGAAGCATCCTGTGCAAAACTTTCTCTCAATTGACATTTTTAAACATACATTTATAGAAAGTATAGAATGGACCTGTCTACCACCTTGGGACATCCTCCTGACGTGAAAGGCGTTAAACAAATTTAATTTGTTGGTGGTGTTGCTGTTTCTCGGCGCCTTGCACTTGACCAGCTAAAAAGGCAAGTTTTTAGGCTGCTAGATAATAATAATAATCCTTACATTTGATAGAGTGCTTTTCACGTCTTCTAGACGTCTCAAAGCGCTTCACAGAATAGACTGTAAAGTGACCATATTTGTGGGCGAAACTCGGCAGCCAATTGCGCACAACAGCGTCCCACAAACGGTCGTGGATTGAAAATGACCAATTTATTATTGTTTTGTTTTTTGGAGGGATTATTATTTATGCAATTTAACTGCGAGACCATTCTCCCACAGATGCAGCCAGGCCATTCCCACCTAGAGGTACACGTTCTATCCTGATCCTACCAATGTGCAGATGTCTACAGCCTAGACCCTGGCTAGAGGTGGGAGGAGTGCTGTAAACACAGGAAAGTAATGGAAGAGAAAGAGGCAGAGTGTCTGTGAAATGCATCAATAAGTCGTTGAACATTTGGATCGTTCATCCTTCACCTCTTCAAACTTCTTATCACTGTAGACCTCATTCTTGTTCATAAACGTCAGCAAGATCCAATCACACAGGAACGATCCCTGGGTTCAATAACAAGAGAAGAACTCGTCAGAGTCAATCAAACATCATTCCTGACAAGTTCCTAACAAAGACTGGGATTTGTATTAGATGTCATTGAATGGCAACCTGGGCACTAAGAGCTGTCAAGGTCTCCTGGTCAGTCAGCATGTACTGGTGCCTCTAACTCTTCAATGTTCTGAGCAGATCCTTGATGCCAATCCCGGTATACGAGCAACTCAAACATTAAGAGCCAGGCACACACAGGGTCAAATCCTCCTATTCTCACTTTACTTTTCCTTCATCAATGCAACATGTATCACTACCAGTTGCAGTGCTGTAAAACACACACATACACACAACATACATTACAGAACACTTAAATACAAAGAATGAGAAAGTACTTACGAGACCAACAGACGTCAAAGCTGCAGCAATGTTAATAATTGTTGGGACAACACTAAATTTCCCAGCCTGGAAACAAAATTGAATCATTCCATTTTATTCCAATTACTGAAATTCACCTAAAGAACAAATGCATCACGCATGTTGACAATATTTATTTTTAGTTTTGATACCTTCAGGAAATATCTTAACAACCACCTGCTCGGGTCCAAATCCCTGACTGTCCAGCGCCTTGGGACATCCTCTGGATGTGAAAGGCGCTGCCTCTAAATGCAATTTTTGTTGTTTAAATATAAAAATACCTCGAAAAATTAACAGAGCAGTTTTACCTGACCATGAATGATGATATCGATTCTGATCCCGTACACCTTGATTAAAGTTCGATATTCGGTGTTGTTCATGATGTAGTACTTTGCATGTCTGCCGCCCAGACACAGAAGTGAAAAGAGAAAGATTATTAACATATATGAATCACTAGCAGGTTTTTGCTCATTTCCACACTCAGGGGTCTTTAGCTGTGCCTGAGAACACTCTGGGGGTGGTGGGGAGGTTGGGGGGGCACCACATACTGGATTGAATTTTGTTATCATCATAGAAGGGGTCTATTCCTGAGCCGCCATCTGCCTTCTATACTTTGAGGTTCTAGCTGGGTTTGGTTGTCTTCTTCAAGAGATTGTGTGGGTTAGGTAGAGTCTATGATAGGACTGTGAAATGGTCTTTTTTCGTTCCGTACATGTTCCATTCCTGCTCTGCAACTAACACACAAATCCATTACTACTTCGTCTCTAGAAAAAAAATGCGACGCACTGACCTGAAATTGTAACCTGAGGAGACGTTGTTGTGTCTGGACACAAAGTCAAGCCTCCTGAAAGAATACTTTGGGTTACATTCTGAAGCTGACTTATCCAGATCACAATTCCAGCTTATTACCACTGCCAGAACTCCTCCCTGTACCGTGCACAAAATGACAGATAAGGCACAGGGTCAGAATCTCATCATTGGAGGAGGAGATAGGACACATAAGAGGGCATATATCTGAGATGTAAATGACAAAGGTCCTTGTTTTCTGGGTAGTTGGTCCCTTTTGCCCACAAAGTATACAGTCAATTCACTTAACGGTATATTCTGTGAAGCAGTTTGAGACGGCTCGAAGATGTGATGAGGCGCTATATCAAACGGAAGGATTATTATTTGCCACCCCTGACAAGTGAACCACATTATTTTCATGGTCCCCCTAAAGTTCAGAGCAATTTTGATAACAGAATGATGTTACTCGTGCAGCATGTCACTGTGAACATGAGACTTCAAAGCATGGAGGTTACAGTGCGAATAACTGTGTTGATAAAATGAAATGGATTAATTTTTATAATAAAAATGCCATGGGTTCTTTAATGCCCACCGAAAAACCAGACAGGGCTTTGGTTTAATGTATCACGTAAAGGATGGCACCTTCAACATTGCAACCCCCCACCCCTCCTCCCCCAGCAATGCCCTGGAATATCAGCCTAAACTATGTGAATTGAACGTACCAATGTGGGGGCTTGAACCCACAACCTTCTGACTCGGAAGCAAACTATAGGTGAGTGTGAGGATCTTGAAATTTTCTGTTCTACAAAATATTAGACTAATACCTTCCTGACCAGGTCATCAAATGTCTCTCCCGCTTTCTCAATGATGAAGTTCAGAGGAAAGATGGGGCAGTAGAGGTTGGTCTCCTCGCTGAAAGTGCAATTCCTCAAATAATCTGGTGCCACATTCTCCTGAAGGTTTCCCCTGGGGAAAAATGGTCAGAAATAATAAAATAAAATCACTCAGCCTAACGTACAGTCAAGAAACGGAGGCAGCATTTTTTAAAAAAAGTTATGCTGAATAATTAAAATAAATCCTTTATCAAAGTTAGTTCACGTATATGTTATTTACATAAAATACAACTCATGGTTAATAATGCAGATGATAGTCACAATGGGATTCACTAATAGCGACTCAGGGTTGTTAAAATGAATACACCTATAAGTCATTGATGCCGAGCACTGATTTGACCCACAGATTATGTTGCATTGAAACACACAGCTACAGCTCACTGCTTAAACAACAGTAGTAGTCTTTGCATTTGATCAAACACCTATCGTGTCGGGAGGACATCTTAAAGTGCTTCACAGGATTTACGGCAAAGAGTAGCGACCAAGTATTTTCTAGGCAAACTCGGCAGCCAATTTGCACACTGCTTACTTTGTAAATCTGAATTTGGGGAAGTAGATGGTGTTTTTGATTAATATGGTGAAATTCTGTGCCTCTCTCAGGACAAAGTCACTGTGGAAGGAAGGAGAGAGAGATACATTCAGAACCTGGATTTCAACACCCTGAATAAAGCCATTGTCAACAAGTAATAATAATAAAGTAATAATATTAATAATAATATTCTATGACTCTATAAGGTAATAAGAAGCCATTCCTAGTAAAAAGGTCAGGTTTATTTCATCAAGTCCCTTATTTAAGTATTATTCTCCTTCCTCTTTATGTCTCTCACTGTTTACCAAACCCCTCCAGGGAATCAATGCACTCAGCTCCTGATAACCCTGCAAGCCAAAGACCTAACAGATAGGATGGTCCTGGATGGACAAGTAGTGGGAAAGCTTGCCAGCCAGCTTCACCAAACCATTTTAGGGCACAGCAATAAAGAACATCAGCCAGCTCAAAGTTGATTTTATCGCAGTTCTTGCACCCAATTCATTCTGTCTCCTGCATCTGAATAAGTTCTGGGTGTGCCTGGCACCTTCAAATGTTGCACTGTCTGAATCCGTGACCATTGACGAACTGAAACTAGGAAGCATTTCAGGCACCTTTCATCCGGTTCTTTTTCCACTGGGCACCAAGCATAGATTTCACACGTCTTGGTGGAGTCCTTGTATGTTACACATTTCCCAGTTTTCACACCTGCGCAGAAAGAACCATCATTGAAACATCACTGATCGCAACCCAAACATCTAATTCTGCAAGGTTTGATCAAACTTTCTTCTTAAAAGGATCCCTATACAATGATCCAAGGGACCTCGGCTAGACCTACTGTTAAGACTTGGTGCTAGTTATCGTTTCTCTCCTGTGACAGGAGGTTACCTCACTTTGTGGTAGGCAAAGAGACAAATCTAAAATCAACCTGGCAGCAACAGATGGTAATAGCGCAAAGGTGCAGGAATGACTCAGAACTGAGTAACACAGGCACCGGTCATGCCGGTACTCCCCTCCCTTACTTCTTTCAAGGCCCGTCTCAAGACTTTGCTCTTCAACCTCCCTACCCCACCCTCCTTGCCTCCACGCCTCCAGACCCCAACCCCTTCATCCTTGAAGGTCCAGCGCTTAAGGACGTCTTCCCGACGTGAAAGGCGCTATACAAATGTAATTTGTTTGTTGTTATTGTTAACTCCAAAATACATTGTCAGAGTAGGCCTACCTTTCCTTCCCTCTGATTGTAGCTAAACACTGGATTGATGTTTCTCAACTACGTCAATGATGCTTTTTCATATGGTTAATGGGATATTTATTTGGTAGGTTAGATTTTCACCCCACTATCCCACCCCTGCCCCCTCTAGGTGTGCTCATACTGTACCATTTCCCAGCATTTCCATCTCCCCAGCCACACAGTCCGAATCAGTTGTGCAATTCGCTTCTGGAACTTCAATATCCTAAGGAAGGATGGTAAAGAAGGGTGCACAGGAGCTGTTAATTTCAACACCCAAGAGAAAGTCCTGAAATCTCAATAAGAATTGCATTCAAACTCGTGGAATCCATTCAGTCTCGCCCATTACAACTGAGACACTCAGTGATCACCCATATTCAGTGGCCCCCTCCCCAGACTTCAGATGGTAAAGCTACCAAGCCATTGTACTCACTGACCATATGGACCAGGATTGCTCCAGGTTTAGCCATGATCAGTTGCGTTAGAAGGTAATAGGGTAACAGAGGAAACAAATCAGCCAGGATTTCTTATCACTTAGTATTTGAGATAATGTAGACCATGATAAGCTGTTTCATCTTGTATCCAATGGTAGAACCAGAGGACACAGCTTGCGATTCAAGTGGGGGTCAATTCAGAACAAATCTGCGGAAAGACTACATCAGTGAGCATATAGAGCAGTGGTTAGAACACTTGCTTCATGAGCGAGAGACCTAGGTTCTATTCCCAGCAGGACGAAACCTTGGGCAGTTTCCTTACTCCAACACCTGATAATAATCCCTCAAGAAATGATGTGGGCTTGAACCTACAACCTTCTGACACTGAGGCGAGAGCGCTATCAGCTGAGCCAGGCTGACACACACTCGCATCAAAGCTCGAGTTTTTAAAATCTTCAGTTTGTTCATAACTGAGTCTAAAAAACTCCAAGTCTCACCTCAGCACAAGTCCTGAGTGTCTGGAATGGGGTTGTTACTGTTTGTAGAGTGATGCTGAAAATATCTCGACCCTGCAATACAAAACACCACAAAAATCAGATCTTCTTCCATGAGGTTTGTTGAGGAGTGAAGGAGAGTTCTAACTCCCAGTCCAGGATCGCAAGATGATATTTTCCTTCACTTTTATGCTCAGAGGGATTTATATTACATTTTATCAAGTCATAGCTAAGAAATATTGTCTGCGCAGAAAACAACAAGAATTATGCATTATAATTTTCCATAAAGCTTTCAGCCTGTTTTTAAGAAGTTCTTCACCCATGTTTGTGTAAGGAAATTTTACTTTTATTATCTAATTAATGATAAAATAGTGGGGGTACAATTCGGATGTTGAACAATTATTTCGTTTATAATAGTTCTACAGTCAGTGATTATACAAAGAGCAAAGACCCACTACTACAAGATGTAATAATGGGAGCAACCAGCTTGTCAAGAAATAAGTATTGATCAGTTACCTATCCCTGGGGAGAAGCAGGCAGGCCACAGTGCATTTCTACAGTTAACATTACATTATCTCAACTTCAAAACGATCAAGTGGGATTTTTTGTTCACAATTTTGATCAAACAAATGATCAAGACTGGACCCACGAAGGTTTGAACCCAGAAGTTTCCAGTCCCATGTCCAGCCTGTAATTAAGAGTCTTCAGAAGAGATGGATTCAATGACCAGGTGCAAGCAAGCCCCTCCGAACGCTTTTATAGAGAGCGCTCTCACCTCTGGAGGATTGACAAACTCCACCACGTCCCATATTCTTTTCTCAAACGAGGTGTTTGAGAATGAGATTCCTTTCATTTTGGTCATGACGTAACTCTCTGGAGCGTTCTCGGTTTCTTGATACGCCTTTTGAAACAAGAATACATACCTGCGCCAAACAAGCAACACAACATAGGCTGAATTCACTCAGTGCATCACTGGCTATCCCAGGACTCCTATGTAGAGCCAGTAATATATATAATAATAATATACTGTAAAGTGAATTGACTGTATATTTTGTGAGTGAAACATACAGACACAATGGGTCGAATGGCCTTCTTCTGTACTATAAGTTTCTATGGCTTCTATGGAATTAGATGAAATGTATGAAAAAACAATGATTAAAGGATTTGGGGAGTGGACAAGGTTTAGCAAGTGGTTTGATTTAGATGAATCATGTGGAGAAACACAGAGTCGAATGACCCGCTGCTGTGTTGCACAAATCTGTGACTTTATGAACTGTGGCGCGCCCATCACAGCTGATTAAGAGGATTGATACAGAGAAGCGCTGTGGGATGTAGCCCTGCGTGAGTGGCACTATATAAATGCAAGTTGTTGTCGTTCATCCCCTCCCCACACAAGGGCTGCTTGCTTGCTTGGGAAGCTACTATTTAAATAACATTTCGCCCACGCATCGTCACTTCAATCAGAACGTCTGGAGAGAAGCGATGTTACCAACTGACCCAAAGATATAGTTAATTAAATGAATCAATTGAATGGCAACACACAGTGACAATATTCTGTTCACAAGGACATGGCAACCAGAGGCAGACAAGAAAACATAACAGGAAAAGTGGCATAAATCTGGCACTATTCAGAGCTCAGGTATTCTCCCTACCAGTCTATCAAACATGAAGCAACTTTATGGTGTAGTTATGGATTATGCTGCTCTCACTAGGCAAGCAAACTAGTCTTTCACATCTGAGATATGGGTCCAAATCTATAATAATAATCTTTGCATTTGGTGTAGTGCCTTAACTAAAAAAGGAAATTGCAAAATAAAAGGCTTGCATTTGAACTCCCCTTGTGACCAACCCAAACAGCACGCAAATCCATGCATTATTCCCATGATTCTTAAAATAGGTCCAGTAAAATGTCTCCAAATAATCTTGTATTTTACATCACATCTGAAATCACACACCTTCACCCTTTCCGGCCTCACCCGGCTCAAATTCCCATTCAGGCACTTGAAACGTTTTCAGATGTCCTCCCAAATTGAAAGGTGCCATATAAATGTGAATTGTTGTTATTGTTTCCATTGTGAACCCTCTGGTGAAGGGTCCCCATGTCTCGAACAAGGTTAACAATAACAGGGAAAGAGGATTTCAGCAGAGAGGAAATTAGTTGAAAGATTTGGTTTTGTTTGATAGAAATCTGGAAAATTATATGAATACAGTAATAATCCTTGCACTTGACATAGCATCTTATCATATCGTCGAGACATCTCAAAACGCTTCACAGGATATACTGTAAAGTGAATATTTGTATATCATGTAATTTTTGTGGATGAAACAAAGCAGAAAATTGTGATTAATTAGTGCAGTGACTGTTTTTATAGGCAAGTGTGGTATACATTTGTGCACAGCAAGAAGCCTACAAATAGCCGTGTAGAGAATGACTAAGTTATGTGATGGATTTGTTGGCCAGGACAGCGGGAGAAACTCACTTCTCTTTTCCAAAAGCATTAGGGAACTTTTAATATCCACCTGAAGATCAGCAAAGGACCTCAGTTTAACTTCTGATCTGAAAGTAAGCACTCTGCCTAGTACAACCCTGGAGTGTCAATCTAGACGATGCGCTCAAACGAGGCTGATCAAACACCCACAACCTACTGACCCTTTGAAAATTCTTGTTAAAGAAGGTTTCGTATTGTGTATGAGATGAAACTCCCAAATGAGTAAAACTGATATGAATCAGAATGAATACAAGCACCAACACAAAGTTGAGATGAGATGTGTTTTGGAAAGAAAAATTGAAAAATGGGATTGAATGAGGAAGGGTAGAGAAGCCGGGATGGAGGGATGGAGAAGATACCATGGATTTTTCACAGGTTCAGGGCATGAGAGGGTGCGTATAAGGAAACTGGATAAGGTGCATTTAAGTTTGGACATCTCGGAGGCCACAATACATTGAGAGTTTTTGCACAATGTCAGTCTGGTGAAAGGGCAAACAAAGAGCCACCACCGGTGGGTGTAATGTGAGAGGCAGTTGACTCAACCTATTCCGAGTCTGATGGAAATCTTAACGATATCATGGGATTTCCGGAAAAAAATTTGCATTCAAGCACAAGAAATAAACAAAGCTGAAATATACCCTGCCCCAACATAAACAGTGTTATATCAAATACCCGAGGAAATGATACGCTACGGCTGTGACTCTGATGGTTCAGTGGTGAACCCATTGTCCGGTGTGACACTGAGCCGTGCAGACAGGAAGGATCCAGGTTCATCGCATGGTCTGTTGCTGAGTTAGCTGATCTTAGACAGGGTGGTAGTGAGAGCTATAATTGGCTTCAGTGCCTGCTGGGTTAATGAGGAGGCAAATCAGGCAGTGTTCCTGCCCCAGATCTCTGCTCACAGACCTCCTGCTACAAACTGCGCTGTGGTCATTGGGTGAGGGCAGGATTCACTATGATTCTCTGCAGTTGAACGCACTACAGTAGTCACCTTTGAGGCTCAGACTTGAATAACGACCAGTTGGTTGAGATAGCAACAACAATAACTTGCATCTATATAGCGCCCTTCACGCAGGGTAGTGTCCCAGAGCGCTTTGGAGACACATAGATTAGACTGTTCAACACGGAAACAGACCATTTAGCCCAACCAGCCCATGCTGGTGTTTATACTCCACGTGAGCCTTCACCCATTCCTTACTCCCTCTCACACCTTTCTATAATCCCTCTCTCTCACGCATGTATTTAGCTTCCTCTTAAAGGCATCTACACACTCTGCTTCAACCACCACTTTCTGCAGCGAATTCTACATTCTGACCATCCTGTGTGTGAAGTAGTTCCTCCTAAATTCTCTTTTAGATAATAATAATAATATTAATAATCCTTACATTTGATCATTTGATGTAGCACCTTAACACATCGTCGAGACCTCTCAAAGCACTTCACAGAATATATTGTAATAATATAATAATCCTTGCATTTGATATAATATATATAATATATTAACAGAATATGCTGTAAAGTGAATTTACTGTATATTTGTGGGCGAAACGCAGCAGACAATTGCACACAGCAGTGTCCCACAAACTGTCATGGATTGAAAATGACCAATTTATTATTGTTTTTGTTTTTTGGAGGGATTATCATTAGGCGTATGGAGTAAGGAAACCTGCCTGGAATTGAACCCAGATGTCTCGCTTGCGAGGTGAGTGATTGCATATTTTGTGGGCGAAACGCGGCAGCCAATTGTGTGATAAGGCGCTATATCAAATGCAAGGATTATTAAATTATTTGCATCTCCATACTGTACACCAATATTCACACAGGGTCGGGGGTATTAAACTGCAGCAATACACAAGGATGAAAAAAAAACGTGTTTAAAAACTTTATAAGGGAATCTTTCACTGTTAATCTGTCCAGCAGAAGGGGCAAAATCGGGGTGACAGCAGAGAGAGAGAGAGAGAGAGAGAGGATTCGGAAACAAGTGGAACCACTTTAAACCAGTTCAGAGGCTTAAGTGACATTAGCAAAAAAGGTTAAGTGACATTAGCAAAGAATGATATATCACGACTCCCAACAAAATGATCACTTAAAATCCAACGGCAGTAAAACCCTGAGCAGAGTCTGTGCACTGTGCAGAGAATATTATACTCACACTACGAAGTAGATGATGATCAGGACTTGGATGATCCTGTAGATAATTCCCAGATTCCGATTTTTGACCACCACAACTTTGGGAGTTTCGTAATCCCAAAATTCAGCCCAGCACAGCGCACAGGTCTCCCTGAAGCCCATGGTGCCTTGTTCCAGCTGATCTGGTCTGGTCTGAGCTGCTGTGTTGGGTGGCAAAGTTGCTTCTGCTGGAGACAGCTGGAGAATATGTGTGTGTGGTGTGTGTGTATGTGTGTGTGTCTCACTGCTCTGGGCTGTTGCTTTGCTCTGATGGGCGGCAAAGATTGGAGCTCAGATCTTAAGTCACTATCGCACTGTGTAAACACAGTGACACCTCGTCTACAAAAATGCAAAAAGCCTTTTTTTTTGAGGGGTGGGGGGGGGAAGGGGTGAGGCTTAAAACGCTCCCATGTCAATGCATGTGTTTCCCCAGTGGAGAGATATGGCATGGCAAGTGCCACAACTCAACGCGCGTTGATTTCCTGAGCACTTTCTGGCATCCAGGATTTAGGGAGGGATGGCTCATAGCATAAAGCTGCTCAGCTAGCCTGAGGCTACAGCCCTGCTTTAATAACAACAACTCGTGGAGCCTCGTAGCGAAGTGGTCAGAGCACGCGCCTTGCAAGCGAGAGGACCAGGGTTCGATTCCCGGGCACCGCAAAACCTTAGGCAAGTTTCCTTACTCCACACACTTCTGTTTACCTCGCGATAAGTAGGAACCCGGTTACTAGTTGATTGGTGGATCGCTTTTCCGGGGGTAATAATTCCTTCAAAATTAATCCACGATTGTTTGTGGGACGCTGCTGTTAGCAATCGACTGCCGAGTTTCGCCCATAAAATATACAGCTAATTCACTTTACGGTATATTCTGTGAAGCGCTTTGAGGCGTCTCGAAGGCCTGATAAGGCGCTGTATCAAATGCAAGGATTATTATTATTGGTTGGCAGTGTTAACAAGAGGCTGTGGAAAGAATCGCACCACTCTCACCTGCAGACGGTCACTGGTATTGGCACTCTCCATTCGCAGCAGAAGGAAACTTCGGGGGATAATTCTGCAGTGTCAGACCTGGGATATCTCAAGCGCCTGATTGCTGGCACTTCCAATTTTGTGTGAAATCAGAAGACCCAGATTAGGGGAGGAGTGTTCCTGTCATCGCGACTCTTATCTGCACAGGAAAGGTTTGATTTGTAATAACAACAAGAAACGAGTGAGTGAATGAACACAGGAAAGCCAGCACAGAGAGAGAACATGAAAAGAGAGGTTGAGGAGGAAGGGAACAAGGCAGTGAGAAAATAGGAAAGAAAAAGAGAACATTTGATGTGGAAAGTAAGACATCAGTCAGGTACAGGCAGAGACCAGTGTGTCAATTGTGATGTTCGAAAAGAAGAGCTTTCATTTTTACAGCTCCTCACACATCAAAGTGTCTTAAAGCACTTGACAGTAATTAATATTAAGTTTAGTGACTGTTTCTGTAGGTTCACAGCAGGGTTCCACAAACAGCCATGAAAGTGTTACCAGTGAGCCAGGCTGACAACTGGGCTGAGAACCAATATGATTCTCATTTGATGAAAATTGCTAAAGGTTGGCACTATGATTGCGATGTTTCTATTGACCAATGTTATGTAGCATCTCCAAATTGGTGCTTACAGTTTCTGGCCTGTTCCCCTGCTCTTGATACATGGTGTAAAATCTGAATGGCCATGTTAGACATTTTCCTATTGCAATGCTCAAACACTTGCCCACATTTCTTAATCCAGGAAATTTCGCAGATATGATCACAGTTTCCCGGCACTCAGTGGAAACGGCACTTCCTTTGACTGACGAGCACTTAACATCTCAACTCACTGATCATCAATCACTCAGGACATCCGCACGCAACATTGTGACTTTAACCACTTGACCCCTGACACATTCCCTGCTTTCACGACTGTGATTCCCTGTAAAGGTCTACTCCTGGCCACCCAGCTTCTCCTCCCCTACTAGCTGACATTATCAACATCTTCCTCCCCACTGGCACAGAGCCTCCACCTTCAATACCATCATCAACCCCCCCAACCCTCTACCGCCCCCATCTCAACAAACCCTCAAAGGGCTTCTCCATGTTCTGCAAGGTTCTGAACCATCTCCATCCTCTCTATCCTCTCCCACATTCCCTCTATGAGCCCCTCCAATCTGGTTTTCTCCCCACTCATCAGCCTGAGACTGATCATAGTCATGGTCATCAATGACATTGTCTCTGCCCCCTCGTTCTCCTCGATCTCTCTGTCACCTTCAATATTGTCAACCACTCCATCCTTCTTCACGATCTCGCCTTCCTGCTCTACCTCAAAGGCTCAGTCCTTTCTTGGTTTCACTCTTACCTATCCCGGCATTTTCATTTCGGCTCTTCCAATGGCTTCTCCTCCTGTCCGTGCACAGACATTTACTGCATTCCTTGAGCTCTATCCTCGGTGCTCTCACAGATATATTGTATAGTATAGTGCCTTTTTTTTTGTGGCTGAACTGAGCTTGGGTTGAAGTTTGGATGTTCTGAAATGCTAACTACAAATGTGGTAAATCTAGACACAGGTGGAATTCTTCCCACTTGGATGTGTGTCATCTGTGGTTGAAAAGCTCCCTCTGCTGATGAGCGGAACTACTGTAAATGAAGTCAAGAACTCCAGACATGAGATACTGTATAGCTTTTAGCTAAGTATCAATTGCCCTCTGGTGGCTCTTAAAGAAGGTACATTTTTATGGAGCCTTCTCATTTCATCTCAAAGGCCTACTCAGCTATAGAGGCTGTTATTGTAGGCAAACACGGTCTGACTCACAGCCATGAGGTAAATGATCAATTAATCTAGACGACTGCTGGCCCGGAGACTGGAATGATCTCCTTTCTCTGATTCCAATTGTATCATGAGATTTTTAACATCCTCGGTTTGAAGGCTTATCCAAAGGACAGCGACCCCCAGCAATGCAACACTCCCTCCACCACTCACCCATGAGCCAGTTAGACTCCAGCAATTACCCCAACGCACATTCTGGGGTCCTCAAGCTTTGTCTCTTGCCAGCCTACGCCGAGTGTTTTCTGGAATTCGGTAAGCAGCACGCATCCCTCCTGGGAGAGAGAGAGCGCATTCCATTCCAACAATTTATCTCTGGAATTTACATGTGCGGGTGGGGGATGCATGGAAATCTCAGTTTGGTTTGGGGACTCTTAAGTACGGTGATGAGCTTCCGCTTGTGTCAGACACAAAAGGGCTGACCAAGAAAAAGGGGAAATCAGTGGCATATATATTATCAAAGAAGGAAGGAGGATTATCAGCATGAGGAAAGCTAACAGTGGGGGAGACGAGGGGTGAGATGGCATTCAGACAGCAATAGCAGCAAAGGGGCGAAGCTGTATAATTTTAATGTTAATGTCACAATTTCTACGAGAACCACTATATAGAACAATGCATAAACAGCAACAAGTTACACTGGAAAGTAATGGAACATTTCAGATGGCTTACACGTAGAATTCCAGATACCTGGGTTGGTGGTGGGTGGGGGAGAAATTGCAGGAATATTATCAAAGGGTAGGTCGTTTTTAAACACAGAATGATGGGTAACCAGGGTTTAAAACTAATGAAGGAATCAGATGATTGTAGGCTGGAATGTAACATGGTTTTCTCTCTCTCTCTCTCTCTCTCGTTCTCTCTCTCTCTGATGCCGACTCGCTAGAGCTCAGTGTTTCTTGGGCACCTCTTCCACCATGACCCAGTCCTTGTTCAGATTCACCGCATTCTTGACCTTCTTTTCGAAGATGTCGTACAGAATTGGTTTTGTCTCGGTGCTCACATCAAACCATCCAGCGCTGCCATTAGCAGACTGAAGACTGGCCAGGTCCCTGATAATCTCGGCCTCGGTGATTTCCACCAGCGTTTTGAGATGGCCAAAGTGCCTCTTTTTGGTTTGGAGCTTCAGGACTCTCTTGTAGATGAGCTTTCGCGGATTTCCTGCCTGGATTTTAATTTGCCTCATCTGAGGGCAAAGTGAATGCCCCACTTTGTAGAAGGAGGTTCTGGCCTCACCAACAATGTACATGTACATGAACTTCCCGTTCAACGCCAGGAACTCTTTCTCCTCAATATCACCAATGCTCGAATCTTCTGAAAAATTCTTAATTATCTTTTCCTCATCGGGGCCAAAGTCAAACTCATCAAAATCACTCGGGTTGTTGCTTTGGTTGTTGCCCATCTTGTGGTTCTCTTCCTCCTGAGGATGTCTTTGTGTCTACGTTCTACTGGTGTGAAGATGCGTTGCTTCTCCTGGCAGTGTCTACTGGGTTGCTGTTCTGCTGTTGTCTTTTGGATCTGCTGGTAAAAAGCAGGAGGGCTGCTGGTAATGTTCGCTGGTCAAATGAGAGCAATTAATCTTTCTAAATGGGATTATGTTATTCTGCTGTTCAATGCTAAAGGGAGATGAAACAAGAGAGAAAGTAAGACACAAGATAAAGAAGTTCTTGACAAAGATTCGTTAACATTGGCTGCCACGTTTCGCCCACAAAATGTACAGTCAATTCACTTTACAGTATATTCTGTGAATGGCTTTGAGACGTCTCTCAAATGCAAGGATAATTATTATAATAATGTAAGAAGAAGATACCATTCAACCATGAAACTCGCTCCCTCTAAAATCATACAAAATCTACTCTGAGGTGGGAAAGCTCTGCAAAGAGACTCCATGAGATCAAAGCCAATCAAGTAAAAACTCTATATTACTTTACTGTCTCTGCTATTCAAACCTAACAACATTTCCCTACCCTCTTTTCGACCAGGCTTTCTGTCACCTTCCCCTTAGCCACCTCGGCCTCGCAGTCACAGTGTGAAGCTCTTTGAGGTGACCTACAGGTTATGGCCATGTCAACGGCTCGACTGCTCTAGTCAATGTACCATTGGAAAATTGAGCACAGACCTGTGTATGTCAGTGTGTGAAATTTCCTGGCTCCAGTCCCTCTTTTTTGTTTGTTTTCAGAGAGCCAGAGGGTGGATATATTTCCCCAGGGACATACCCAGGAACCAGAATCCAGGAACCGAGTACAGCAGGTGAGGTGTGTGCTGACACAGTGAACCTATCTGTAACAACTGTGGTTGCTTTGATTTTCCACCGAGACGTTAAAAATACTTGATTGCAAAGATTGTTTGGAATAAAACAAGTAGTGAGTGCGGTGTGTGAGTGCGGTGTGTGAGTGTGAGGGGAACATCCCATGTTAATTCACAAAGCGGATTGCAAGGACTGGCATCAATACTACCCCGTAGCTCACAGTCACAGAAACAGTGGGTAAACTCGTAATGAACAATAGTCACCTTCCTATTTGTTTCCAGGAAGGGATGGGAACTCCATTCCAATTTTCCAGCCTAATCACGATGAGATCACTCCCATCCATTCCCAGGTCACTCCGACTTGCTTCCTCCCTCCCCTCTTTTTGGGTATGTCTTTCAGTCATCTTTCCCCTCCTCACCCCCACCCCACACCCCACCCAGCTCCCACCCTCAGCTCCACTACCCAGCCAGAATTGTCAAGCACTTTGGGACATCCTCCTGACGTACTGAACTGCATCAGACCTTGTGGATGTCAGCTTCAGTGATAAAGTGGGAATTGCTACCAAAACGTTTCTACAATCTGCCAGAAGACGCAGAATGCAGCAAAACACAGAGTAAACACACACAGACCTGCTGGGGTCCAGGTGAACCCAGGTAAACCTCGATTTGCACAATCCTTTGGCAATTCCCTCTCCTGGTCTGTCTGTCCGTCTGTTTGTCTCCTATCCGTTCCTTCACACCGACTCTCTCGGAATGAGTGGAATGATGTCTCTCCACCTGTGTCTCTGGCTCTCACCTGTTATTTGCAAACCTGATGCCTATGTTACCGCCCGAGGCTTCCTGATTGACAGTCCCTCTCTGCTCTGTTCTGTGATAAACAGGAGCTGAATGTTCCAAACTGCAAATGACCCTCTTGGTGTTTGACCAACGGAAGCTGGAACAAGCCAGAGCCCCGGCACTTGCAGGTTTCCTGGTCATAACTCTTTCCTTTTGTTATTTCTCTTTGCCGTTGTGTTTGTGCGGAGGGAAGTAACACCAACATGCCATTGCCTGCTCATTGCACTGCAGCAATAGCATGCAATCCACTTCCATCTGCTTGATAAGGCTATGCAATGTTACAGCACAGACACCGGCCCCTTGGTTAACTTGAGGTGAACCCTACATGTCGAGGCAACTAGTATCCGTGTTTATTATATTTAGCCAGTAAAAGGGGGTTCTTTACCAGAATAATTATTTGGGGGGTGGGGGGGAGTCATGAGGATATTATTCAATGATGTGTCCCTGTTAATTCCCCTGTGGCATTCCTTGACGGATAAAATAATCCACGACAACATCAGGGAGGGCATCACCTAGGCAACTGCCCAAGAGATTCTTACTGCTCCCTGTTGAAAGTTCTGTATCTTCACTGGGCTTCAGAACAGTTATGCGTTTTGAGACATCTCAACGACGTGATAAGGTGCCTTTGGAATCCTGTAGTTTAGTGGTTAGAGCACTCCCCTCACAAGCGAGAGGAACTAAATTCCCAGGCAGGGCAAAATGTTAGAATAGTTTCCTCACTCCTCATATGGGGAGAAAAATACTATCGCTGGATATGTACTGAGTTTTCACACGAGTTCAATTAACACACGGGCACCAGTTATTCTACTCATGTGCACCTTGGTGTAAGTAAGGCAGAGATAGAAACATTTTTTATATATTTTTAAATACAAATTTTTATTGGAGTACTTACGAGCAAGATAAAAGTGCGTTTGCTGTGGCAACAAGAGAGCAACAAAAGTATGAGCTTGAAATACTGCAGTAACAGGATGATCAGGGTTAGGGTTAGGGTGTGTTCATTACCTCAGGTGCAATGTGACTGACCAGAGAAAGGGCCAGACCAGATGGTGGAAGCCTTTAGCTCTCGGCCTGGGGCAGTCTTGGTCCCTCCGCGCTAACTACAGGCAACGACAACAATAAATTACACTTGTATAGCACCCTTCACGTCGGAAAGACGTCCCAGGGCACTGGAAAATCAGGGTTTTGGATCAGAATTGGGGTCAGGAGAGGTGGACAGCAGGGGAGGTGGGGGTGGGAGGATGGTCGAAAGCACGGTCCAAGTGGAAGTTCTTTAGATGGGACTTGAAGGAGGCAGGAGAGGGGGTGAGGCGGAAGGACTGTGGGAAAGAGTTCCAGCGTGTGGACTGAGATCAAAGCCATAGCATGGTCCCTCCCTGGTGCAACCTGTGCCCCATTAGACCAAGACAGATACTAGGAACATAGGAGCAGGAGTAGACCATTCAGCCTCTCAAGCCTGTTCCAGCATTCTACGACATCATGGCTGATTTGTACCCCAACTCCAAACAGGTCTTTACTAAAATCAAAGAGGTCACACTCAGGCCAGCAACATGGCTGGGAGCACTGATCAAATACTGGGCAATAGTGGGGGGAAACTGGGACCAAAATAGGAGGGTTTTGCTGAGTGATCATCAAGAATAGCATTAAATAAAAAGTTCTAAGAGCCGATCGGATGCTGAACCATAGTCGATTGGATGTGATGGTGGCAGGGAGAAGGTCCCAGGGACAGGGAAAGGATTCATTTTTCTATTGATGGAGCGAGCGGCTGAGGCTGAGGTTAGCCCCCACGCAGACGGAGCAGGAGGCAGATGGTGCTCTCAGCTTGAATGTTGTAGTCGGACAGTTTGTATCCGTCTTCCAGCTGCTTCTCTTTGTGCAACAGGCGCTGTTGATTGGGAGGAACTCCTTCCTGACGGCTAACCCGTTCTTTAAAACTTGTGACTGAGTCTGAGGGCTGAACCATGTGTGTGCTTATCTTCCCCTTCTCATTCTTCAGGAACACTTGGATGGGGCTGTTGTCCTTGACGATCAGGAGGATGGTACTGCTGGAGGTCACGTTGAACTGGCACAAACGCTGCTCATCACTCAGCTCCACTCTGTTGCCGTTCTGTAGCACCAGCCGTTGCTGGTGGTCGGGCACCTGGGTTTTCAGAAAGATCATGTTCTTGAGCTGTGAGACCTGGATGGATGGATCCACCTCAAGATCCACTACTGAACCAGTGATGAACTTCACCTGGATCCTCATCTGTGGAGAGACAGCGAACAGGACGTAAGTGACTGTCACATGGGTTAAATCACCCAGTGTAGACACAATATTAGTAATTACCAGGCCTGCCTCTCAACGATGTGTTAAAGCACAATATCAAGGGCAAGGATTATTATTATTCCCATCTAGACCAATATATCCCACGACTCCCAACTCTGAGAATCTCTTTTGTATTATTCTGCAACCTACACTCCTCCATCACTGTCCCACCTGCCCGTCCTCTACTCTGGATTCTAACTTGGTGATTGTGCAGGACAGGCGTAGGGGGAAAGAGACGGCAGATCTTTAAGCGGAAGGAAGCGGAAGCAGAACCATTGTTAGACGCTCTTGAAATGAATGTTCTTGGTATCACTTGGCAGTGAGCTGCAGTGTTTAGCATTGTCACAAGAGACCCTCAGTGAGCTGTGCAACAAGTGGAGAGATGGCAACTGAGAAATGAATTCATTATGGGACCTGAGATAACAGTGGGAAATTGAGACATCGTTAGGGTTAGAGACCTGGGTTCGATTCCCGGCAGGGTGAAACCTTGGGCGAGTTTCCTTACTCCACACGCCTGATAATAATCCCTCAAGAAAAAAAAATAATAATTTGGTCACTCAATCCAAGACTGTTTGTGGGACGCTGCTGTGCATTTCGCCCACAATTATACAGTCAATTCGCTTTACAGTGTATTCTGTGAAGCACTTTGAGACATCTCGAAGACGTGAAAAGCGCTATATCAAATGCAATAATATTATATGTTATATTATATTATTATTATAACTGAGTCTCACTGAAACACAGAAGATTGAGAGGAAACGTGGACTGTATTACAGTACATTGCAAAATATAAATAGATAGCTCTTTCTCTCACACAGCAGGTACAGGCATGGTGATGGTCTTAATATTGTAAGCAAAATATCAGAATTCTGGATTGTTTGAGTTGACCAAAGGAAAATCGCGGAGTTTCATGGACTTGTTTCTTCAGGAAAGCTGCATCTGCCTGAAAACCAAGGATGGTGGAAATATATTTTCTTCAAAATCCGCGCAGGACAAAGACAGACTTGTTTTGAAACGAGCTGTTGGAATTTTGATAAAGTTTGACCTTGGTTTGCAGCTGTTTTTTCTAACAACACATTGAAGAGACCGGGGTATGTGACCAAAAAGGTATAAAGAATCCGAGATCTTTTGGATTACATCGGAGAAGAGAGAATGGAGCAGCTGATCGCATCCAATCTCGAGGAAAGAGGAATGGTACAACAATCACCGTGGATTGATGCACGTTAACAAGCCGATTCCGACATCAAAGCCACTATATTGATCTGATCAACCCATTTTGGTGAACTTCACGAACCTGTCGTAAGCATTACTTTAATTTGGTCAAACGTATAACTTTGATATGCATTTCTTTACCAATTTATATTAATAGATATCAATTGAAGAACTTATATCGGTCCTTCCTCCACTGCAGGATCACAAATGTAATTAATCTTTACAATAATAATAATACTCCTTGCATTTGAGATAGCGCCTTATCAACTTGTCGAGACATCTCAAAGTACTTCACAGAATATACTGTAAAATGAATTGACTTTACATTTTGTGGCCTTCTTCTGAGATGAAACATTCTACAGTTCAATGTAATAAAATCAGACAAACCGATGTGCACTCAGAAACAGCACTCAGAAACTCACAACAAAACCAGGCTCACATCCTCTAACAACATCTAAATTTTTAAAAATTATTTATTTTACCCAGTTTCTCTAATCCGCAACGTTAATTAATATGAAAGAATGAATTAGAATACCGAGAATCAAAGTAAAACCCACAGACCTTGCAGGAATAAAGGCAAATCTGGATAAACCTCAATCTGCACAATCTTCTGCTGATTTCCTTTTGCAGTCAGTCAGTCAATCAGTCTCTTCACACCGACTCTGCTGGACCAGAAATAAACAGAGGAAACTACTTTAGCACTTTGAGAGCTTATTCTCGGTCTGAATATGCTGTGTTGTACCTCTGGCTCTCTCCTATTAAACTCTGCAAAAGTCACAGCCCTGGCACTCTGATTGGCTTCCCCAGCCTCTGGCACATTGACAAACCAATGATTCTTTAAGGTGAAGTTTAATTTGTGCAGAAATCCTCTATGTCTAAGAAATGATATCAGCCGGGGGGGAAATCACCTCTGACAACATCACTTTCAGATTCCTTTCTGGCTACAGGTTTACAATACCACATCACTTGAGTCACGTATGAGGTGTGTGAGGCTGAGATACCTTAGTCTTGGGCAAAGTGACAGGACCCTGGCAGAGAAGGTGGTGGTAAATAAATAAATAAATAAATAATAATAATCCTTGCATTTGCGATAGAGCCTGATCACGTCTTCGAGACGTCTCAAAGCGCATCACAGCATATACTGTAAAGTAAATTGCCTTGCGCACAGCAGTGTCCCACAAACAGTCATGGATTGAGTGATCAAATTATTTTATTATCATTATTTTTTTTTGAAGGGACGATTACTCCTGGAAAAGCAAGCCACCAATCGGCTAACAACCGTGTTCCTACTCACTGCTGGGTAAACAGAGGTGTGCGGATTAAGGAAATTTGCCCAACGTTTCGCCCTGCCCGGGAATCAAACCCAAGTCCTCTCGCTTGCGAGGCGAGTGCGCTAACCACTGAGCTACAGGGCTCCGTGGTAGTGGAATAATGTGGTAGTTGGGCAACCAACAGGAAAGCTTCTTGTCAGATGGTAAGCCCCACTTTGTAAGTTGGACTCACACTCCAGGCTGATGCCCCAGTGCAGTATTGTCAGAGATGCTGTTTCTGGTGGAGGTTAGAGATCCCCTGACACTATTGGAAATGCAAGTGGAGTTTCTCCAAGTTGACAATCCCCCGGATGATTTGGTTATTAACCTCAGGACTTTTTGCCTCAAAGCTCTACACGGCCTTGCTCTCCCCCCTACCTGTGTGACCTGCTAACCTCGTATAGGCTTGTCCTCTTCCTCCACTCGGCCGGTTCCGGCCTGCTCTATGTCCCCTGACCGGTCGGCCCCACCATCGGCATACGGGCCTTCAGTCTTGCCGCCCCCATCCCACAGTCCCTTTGTCTCGCTCCCTCCCTTGCCTCCTTCAAGGTCTATCTCAAGATCCTCCTCTTCAACCGTTACTTCAGTCCCAGTCCTATCCCTACCCTCACTGCCCTCCATCACTCCTAATACCAGCACCCAGCTCAGATGCAAACCCTTGACTGTCTCAGGCTTCGGGATGTCCTCCCAAAAGGAAAGGCGCTATACAAATGCAATTGTTGTTTGTGTTTTATTTCTGGTGTATATTAGTTGCCATGTTTGCCACCAAAAACAGTTATCACGTTTGACAACAACTTAAAAGTTTTCAGAAACAATAAACGTGAGCGATGTAAAAATTTGTCACAGGCTTAACCCAAGAGACGGAAAGAATGAGTCACTAAGGGCTGTGTTGGGGTCAGCTGTTCCCACAAGTTAAAGTTAGGTCAATGCTATTCTGGGTGAAAGGCGCTATACAAGTGCAAGCCGTTGTTAGTTGTTGTTGTAGAATAATATGGTGCCCCCCTCACTGTACACGCTGAGTACCAGTTTCCTTTTGGATATTTCCAGCTCATTTTTTTCCATCTGCAGAAAAATTCCCAACAGGGTAATTCCGTTCAGAACAAACCAACAGGATTTGGAGATCAAGTGACTCAGCTCTTTGCACAGAGAGAAGTGAAACATGCCCAAAGCGTAGAGGAAGCAAAGTCCATTGATTCGTTGAAAAGAGAATTTAGTTGCTTGCGAAAGAGGAATATTATGGGCGGTGGGTGGAGGTGGGTGGAGTGCGGTGGGTCAGGGAGCAATAAAGTAAAATTAGACTTAGATGGCTTATGTGGAGAACGATACAGAGTTTCGCCCACAAAATACACAGTCAATTCACTTTCCGCTATGTTCTCTGAAGCGCTTTGAGACGTCTCGAAGACGTGATGAGGCATTGCGGATATCAAATTCAGTGATTATTATTATTAGAGTGTAGCCGTTTGGGAAGTGTGTCAAACTTGGGGCTTTGCATTGCAGGGTTAACAGGTGCCGAGTGGCTTCATCCCCAGTCTGCCCCTCTGAATCCCACCAATGAGCCAGGTTGGCTGGGCTATCATCAGTAGGGTCTTGGACCACTGCTGACCTGGTTAGGAAGCAAACTAGGGAGATTCCCACAGACACTTGGCTCGATTGCAATATTCGGTTGGCAATCCAGTAACAGAACAGAAACTGATCCTATGAGCTCATTCACTTTCAGTTTCCATTTCCGACATTGCATTTCACACAGCAGTGTGTGACAACAGATTCAAAATATTATCTAAAAGATAAAAGGCAGTGCCTCAAGCACTGCCTCTCTGAGAGAGAGAGAGAGAGAGATGCTTCTGCTACACAGCTGATGTTTCTGTTCAGCTTTTAGCAATGAGTCTGAACAACGGAAAATGTAGAACGTTCTTGTGGTTAGAATGGGGCTTTGACTCATGCTATAATAATAATAATAATAATCCTTGCATTTGATATAGCGCTTTTCACGTCGGGAGGACGTCCCAAAGCGCTTCACAGAACACACTGTAAAGTGAATTGACTGTATATTTGTGGGCGAACGCGGCGGCCAATTGCGCACAGCAATGTCCCACAAACAGTCGTAGATTGAAAATGACCAATTTATTTTTGTTTTGGAGGGATTATTATTAGACGTGTGGAGTAAGGAAACTTGCCCAAGGTTTCGCCCTCTGCCTGGAATTGAACTCAGGTCTCTCGCTTGTATACATTACTGTGCGCAAATTGGCTGCCATGTTCGCTAACAAATGCAGAGTCACTCCACTTTACGTGAATCTTGGGAAGAGCTTTGGGACGTACGTCTTCATGACATGGAAGGTGCTCAACTGGACGCAAGGATTATTATTACAACATCCAAATGTTTCAAAGCGTTTCATAAATAGCTGTTAAATGTAGTACCTGTAATGTTTATTTGTAAGCAAACGCAGTAGGCATTTTGCATATACCAAGGTCTCACAAACAGCCATGATGTGAGTGATCAATTTTTACCTGGGAGATTGTTGGCCAGGAAACTCCCTTTGCTTTATGACTAATGTCTCAGGTGAGGGCAAGATCATGTGGATGTGAAGAAAAGCACTTTATGAAATATATCTAGAAACGCTAGGAGCAGGACTGGGCAGATAGGAAGGATATTACATATCAAGCAAGACCATATATGTAGGTCAGGGTAACAGCCAATGAAACATTCGTCAAGAAGAGGGAGGCGGGAAATAATTTAGGCGCCAGTTTTAAGGCAAACGCATTCTCCAGACTCAGCCGTGCATGTGAAAGCTTTAGTAAGATAGCAGGATGCAATTCAATCAGATTAATATGTTTAAGCTTTTACCGCAGATCAGTGCGAACAATTCAATGTATCAAACAGGAATAAACAGTTTAATGGACCAAACAACTGAGAAGCCTTTGTTGTACCAGACAGACGCGAATCAACTACATAATTTCATCAAAAAACTGAAGCCCAGTGATTTCAACATCCAAGTGAGAAATATTGTTCACAAAATGTGTGATTTCTTAAAGAACCAGTGCCTTATAAAGCTGAAGGTAATCCGGGTCGTAAAGGTAAGTGAGCCAGAGTCTTTCAGAATAAACATTTTTTTTTATTTTTATGTCATATTCATATTTTATTCATATTTATTTTTCAAAATTTATCACTGCCTTGTTAATTCTTAATATTTCAAGCGTTCATTTTGTGAACCCTGTGATTAGTAGAGCTAAATGTATTTGGTTTTATACATGTCTGTGGATCTGGGTCCCTCCACAGGCAGTGAATGACTGACTGACTGTTTAACAGAAGATTTCTTCTGCTGGCAATGAACGTTAAATGACTATAACATTAATAATAATCCTTGTATTTGGTAAAACGCCTTTCACATCAGGAGGATGCTTTGCAGGATATATTGTAGGCAAATGAGGCAACCATTAGTGTCCCACAGTAGTGTCCCACAAATAATTGTCCCACAAACTTCCCTCTCTTTTCAAATAGCGTCATGAGCTCTTCAACATCCACATGAAGAAGCAGATGGAGCCTTGGTTTAACATCTCATCTAAAGGATGGTAGTTTTAGGTGGTTAGATTCCAGCAGTACCCCCAAATCACACTCTAGGGTGCCCGAGCCTTAACTCTTCCCAACCTGCGCCTAACAACAACAAGATTACATTTGTATAGCGCCTTTCACGTCAGGAGGACGTCCTAAGGCGCTGGACAGTGTACAGCATTTCAGACTCGAGCTTGGGTTAGGGGGGAGAAGGGAGGGGAGGAGAAGGGGGTGGCCGATGGAATGTTTGAAGAGGAGGGTTTTGAGGCGGGTCTTGAAGGAGGCTAAGGAGGGGGCGAGGGGAGTGATTGGGGGATGGAATTCCAGAGGTTGGGGGCAGAGTGGCTGAAGGCTCTCCCGCCAATGGTGGGGCGGGTGGGTCGGGGGACGTGGAGCAGCCAGAGCCGGCTGAGCGGAGGGAGCGGGTTGGTAGGGGGTTAGGAGGTCGCAGAGGTAGGGTGGGGTGAGACCATTGAGGGCTTTGTAGGTGAGGACCAGGATCTTGAACTGGATCCTCTGAAGGATGGGGAGTCAGTGGAGTCGGGCGAGAGTGGGGGAGATGGGGTCACGGAGTTTGGCGCGGGAGAGGACACGGGCTGCAAAGTTCTGGATTATCCGCAGCCTGTGGAGGGAGGAGTTGGGAAGGCCGACAAGCAGGGCGTTTGCATAGTCGAGCCTGGAGGTAATGAAGGATGAACAAATTTCAGCACCTGAGGGGTGAGGTAGTGGCGGAATTGGGCGATGTTACGGAGGTAAGGGAAGGCAGAGCGGGTCAGGGCTTGGATACTCCCAGAGCTGCTTATAAATGGCTGGATATTCCTGCCATCTCTATCCCGAAGCTGCTTGAGACACAGAAGGCAACCAGCGCTAGATTTTGACCGCATTAACCGGATATTTATCCAAATTAACCAGATTTAAAAGAGGTAAGAATAAAAATGAATCTGGGTACTATCCTTTACATCCTGTCCGATCTACCCAGCGGCCGGCTAAAGTGGCTTCCACTGTAATTCTCTGTCACCCTCCGACACCACAGGGCGGCTCGTTTGGGAAAGGAACAGCTCTGAAGAACAGCTCGGATGCTGATCTCGTCGCCTTCCTCGATTGCTTTGACAATTACCGGGATCAAAGAGAAACCAGGCACGAGATCCTGGAGGAAATTCGCCAAATATTAATTAACTTTGGCTCATCCAACACATATGAGACAGAGGACATCACAGTGCCACGTGGTAACCCCAGCAATCCACCCCGGTCAATAAGCTTCACCATCACGTCCAAGAAGACTTTGGAGAAGGTGGAGTTTGATTTGTTGCCGGCCTTCGACGCTGTAGGTAGGAGAATGTCTGCCCACCCTGACAGCCCCACCACAACAACCCCGCCCACCCTGACAACCCCACCCACCCTAACAACCCCACCCACCCCAGTTTCCGGGAAGGGCCTCACCACCCATGGTTTGCCAGTACACCTGCCTGAACCGGCTGCACTGGACACCTTCTCATTCTGCACTTATTCCGAGTGTCTGGGAGCCACAGAACACTCTCACTCGGTGACTATTTTCCTTCCTGCAGGTCAGTTTGGTGACAATGCCTATGCGAAGCTGATTGAAATCGGAGATTCGGATGGGGAGTTTTCCACCTGTTTCACTGAGCGTCAGAGATTGTTTGTGAAGAACCGTCCTGAGCAGCTCAAGGACCTGATCCGCCTGGTGAAATATTGGTACAAAATGGTGAGTGTGAAGCAAGGAGCAATCGATCGTCACTGGAAGAGTAAACTCAATAGGGGAGGCTATTTCCTGTGTTTTAAGCGCCCTGAGACACTACCCTGTGTGAAGGGCGTTATATAAAGGCAAGTTATTGCTCTTGTTGTTACGGGGGATGTCCAGGAATGGCTTCCTGGTGATGTTCAGAAACCAGTATTTACTGATCTCAAAGCCACACAAATGTTACTCCTAGGAATCCAACACATGTAAAACCCCCACAAGCGTCTCCAGTTGGTAGCGGTTGAGAAGCCAGATCTGAAGTGCTCAACCTCCTCCACCTACCCCCCACACCCCACCCCACCACCCCACCCCAGGGCAGAACCACTCACCCCATTTGAAAGATGTTGAAGCCTTGTGGCCTGAACTTGAACTTGAACCCACAACCTTTGGACTCAGAGGGGAGAGTGCTACAACAACAACTTGCTTTTATATAGCGCCCTTCACTTGGGGCAGCATCCCGGAGAGCTTGACAGTGGTAGAGTCTGACCCTGAGCCAGGGGGAGAGGCAGGAGGGAGGGGACTGTATGCAAGATCAAAAAGGTCTTCAGGTGGGATTTGAAAGTGTGGAGGCAGGGGGCAAGGCGGAGGGATTGAGGGAAAGAATTCCAGAGCTTCGGAGCATAGTGGCTGAAAGCACAGCCGCCAATGATGGAGAGGGTGAGGGATGAACAAGATGCCAGAGCAGGCTGAGCGGGGGTGGAGTGGGAGGTAAGCAAATTGGATAGATAGGGAGATGCGAGGGATTCGAAAACGAGTGAGAGCCTGGCAACCAAGGATAGTATGGGAAGGGTGGAAGAATTTCCAATATCCCTCACTGAATCTTCTCTAAATATAGTACGTCAAACCACGGAAACACGACCTCCCACCTGGAATTCGCCTTCCGAAAAAATATGCAGTGGAGCTACTCACCATCCATGCCTGGGAGCAGAATGGCAGCCCAGACAAGTTCAGCATGGCCCAAGGGTTTCGCACGGTTCTCGAGTTGATTTGTAGATACAGGGATCTGTGCATCTACTGGAGCCATTACTACAAACTCAGCAACAACAAAACCCTGACAGACTTTGTGAAACAGAAACTCCTTGCCACAAGGTAAATTGGGTGCCAGGTGCATTTTAGACAATGCTCATGAAGTAATCAGCCCTCTGCTTAATGATCGTTGCTGATGACTCTCCATTTCCATTTTCAGGCCAGTAATCCTCGACCCGGCCGATCCCACTGGGAATGTGGGGGAATCCGGTGGATGGGACGTGATGGTTAGTGAAGCCTCCAAATGCCTGCAGATGCCTTGTGTGTCCAAAGACCAACAATGGCAAGTCAAGGTAAATGAGTATAACAAAGAAAAGCGCCATGTGTTGGGCAGTTAGTAGAGATCACAGAATATTGTAGTAACTACTTCAGATAGAAATAGACCAGTGTTCCAGTTCACTATAACTTCCAAAAGATTACTTCAAGACATCTCTGCTAGATTGATGTCCAGGATCTTATTCTTTCTGAAAAAGATTTGTATACAGGACAGAGTTTTGGTGTGAGCATTTTGGCTGCTGCCCCAACCCCTGCCCCGATGCCTCAGCTTCTGTTCCCCCCATCCCTCATTATTCCTATTCACTTCTTCTAGTTCAAGGCCCATCTCAAGACGTAACTCTTTGACCATGCTTTCAGTATTTTTTCCACTCCATACTCGCTTGCCTGCCCAGCCAGCACTGTTAAGTGCCTTGAGACATCTTCCTGACGTGAACAGTGCTAAATAATTGTAAATTTGAATTGTAGAGTTAAGAGGACATAGATCTTACCCAATAGCTCAATCCTCCAGTTCTGTCTTGGTTAGAAATGATACCTCACGTGTCGGCTAATGATCACATTCCTCAATCACCTCTTCCTCCCCAACCAACAAAACAAGCCCAACACACTGTGAAAAAAGACCGAAAGGATTTGTATTGCTTTTGCATCAATAATGCTAGAAAAATACGAGTGGAAATATAACAATAACGTCAAGTATAGTTTCCAATCTTGTAGGCCAATGCGAGAACCATTGTGTACACAGCAGAGACACACATGCCATGGTTGTGGTATAAGAATAATTTTAATCTGAAGGCCTGTTGCCCAGAATACCAGGAAATGTGGCTTTTACGTTACTTTTATGTCATTTTTTTATGTTTAAAAAAGGTGGTTCATTTCCCCAATAGTACAAGTCCCAATGTGGGGCTTCATCCTCTGACTTCAAAGTCAACTTGCCAACGACTGAGCTCGGTTGAAATATTAATGTCTTGTTTTCTCATAGCCCATGACGGAGATTGAAATTACTGTCCAATTGATGGGAGGTTCCTTGTTACCAATCAACGCCAATCCCTTCACGAAGGTGGCAACTATCAAGCAAAACATTCAGCAATTTTGGTACCACTTTTCTCCCTCCCCCCAATCCCCACCAGTCCCAGCCCACCAGCAACGCTTGATGTTCAACAATACTATTCTGAATGACAGCGAAACACTGCTGGAGTTTGGAATATTAGATAATGTTCCCATCGCCCTGCTTGTGACTTCAAACGACAAAATGGACATTTTTCAACTGTTTTGAGTCTGAAAAAGAAAATTGAAGCTGTGGAGCGTAATCACTCAGACCAGTATTACCTGGTCTTTGGTGGAAAAACCCTGGAAGACAAGTGCACACTGCAGCACTACAACATAAAGGAACATTCCCACATTAACATGAACCTTCAACTGAGAGGAGGCTGATCTAAGGAGGCCAATTTCTCACTCTCTGAGTAGCGGAGATTCTCGCTCAGAGAGGATAGAGAGATTTCTCACTGGGAGGGGAGAGAAAGAAAGAGATCTCTCCATCCAGATTTGCAATCTTCTCTACACAATACATTTTGCTTTGATATGTGAAGTGCTGTTACCATTTACTTTCTTTTCGATGTTGCATGTTCGACAACTCTTTTATGGGTTTGTGGTTATGCTGTTAAGATATCCAAAAATATTAATTCAGCCAAAATATATGCAGGAATATATTTACCTCCTAATGCTGTGTAGGGTGATGGGACCAATTGTGCCGAGACTTCGGTATAGGTATTTGATAAACCCCTTCATCCCTTGTGCTTTTCTATATACTCATTGCTAGTTTTCTATTGCTTTCTCGATATGACTATTGCATGCCTACATTTTTTATATGCCTCAATGCACCATTTGTGAGGTTGGTCACGAACTAGAGAGATTCCAACATCCAAACACTTGACACAAGGACTTTATTACCCTTGATACTTGTTGTAATAAAAGATCGATGCATTGCACTAAAACTTGTCCTCTTTCTTATTTATTGGGGTGGAATTGAAGACTAACCCAAGAACGAGACTACTGCTGGGTGTTGCAAATGGTTGACTGACTTGCAGTGTAGTATGAAGTGGTTTTGAGAATACACACCCATCCCCTGGCCGTGTGTGCCCAAGGCCTCATAATGCAGGAGCAAGACTTGGAAGGACAACAACAACAACAAATTACATTTGTATAGCGGCCTTTATGTTGGAAACGCGTCTCTAGGCCCTCGACAGTCAGGCTCGACCTGGGAGTTGGGATCAGGTGGGGTGGAGGGCTGGGTGGGGGGGAGGAATGGGGCTGGGAGGGTGGCCGAAGGCACAGTCGAAGAGAAAGGTCTTTAGACAGGACATGAATAAGGCAAGAGAGGGGATGAGATGGAGGGATTGCGGGATAGAGTTCCAGAGTGTGGGGGCAGAGATGCTGAATGCCAGACCACCAATGGTGGGACGGGAAGTGCGGGGGAACCGAAGCGAGCCGGTATCCGTCGATGGGAGCGGTCAGGTTGATAAGAAAGTGTGTGTGACCGTGTGTGGGAGGGGGGCTTAGCACTGCTCCTGTTAACCCTGCAAGACAAAGCTCTGACGAGTAGGGTGGTCAATGGTGAGAGAAACAAGTGGCAGAATACTGCTCACAACGGGAAGCTATGTCGTTTTAGTTACACTCCAGCCTACACCGTAGACCTTCCATGGTGTTCCAAGAGCACCAGTTACTCACCTGTCGAACAACTTACTCACCTGGATCACACGTTACTCACCTGGATTACAAGACTCTTTGACGTATGGTTCAACACCGGCTCCTTCCCATTTGCAGGTGTGGTTGATCGAAAGAACCGAGTTTGGAAACTGAAACTATTGAGTTATTTATTAAAGAGTAAGTGGGTAATTAGCTGCCTGTGACGTATACAGAACCCACATGCCTCTGTTGTGAGGTAAAATTCCACCTGTGTCTAGATTTGTGGAGTCCTATAGCATAGTGGTTAGAGCATTCGCCTCGCAAGCGAGTCGACCTAGGTTCTATTCCCGGGCAGGACGAGAGGTTAGGCAAGTTTCCTTACTCCACCCTCCTCTGTTCACCTAGCAGTAAGTAGTAACTAGTAACCCGGTTGTTAGACGATTGGTGGATCGCTTTTCTGGCGATAATAATCCGTTCAAAAAATATACATAAAAATGAACATTTGGTCACTTAATCCTCAAGTGTTTGTGGGCGCTGCTGTCCTCAAATTGGCTGCCATGTTTCGCTCACAAAATACAGTCAATTCACTTTAAAGTGTATTCTGTGAAGCGCTTTGAGACGTCTCAACTACATGATAAAACCCTATATCAAATGCAAGGATTATTATTGTTATTTACCCTATTTTAAGAGTTTGTTGGGCACTGCTGGAGTCTAACCAGCTGAAACCACGTAACGATTGAGAGCACAACCCATTAGAGTTTCGTCTTGTAGAGCAACAGAAGCTGAGTGGGGATAATAATCAATATTACAATAATAATCCTTGATTTGATAGAGCGCCGTTCACATTGTCCTGACGTCTGAAAGCGTTTCACAGGATACATTGCAAAGTGGTGTGACTGTGTGTATTTTGCAGTCAAACATTTGAAATAACGCCTTTCACTTCAGGAGGCTGTCTCATGGCACTTCACACGATTTACTATAAAAATATAATGACTGTGTGTTTTGTGGGTGAAAGTAGCCCACACATATATCCCACAAGCAGCTGTGAAGTGAGTGATTTTATCCGGGGGATTGTTTTTTTTGAATAGTGCCACAAGATCTTTAACATCCACCCGAACAGGCAAACCTTGGTTTATTCTCTCATCTGAAGGACCGCCCTTCTGACAATGCAGTAAATCCCATCACTGCATTAACAAGAAGAACAACAAATGGCATTTATGGGGCGCCTTTCACGTTGGGAGAACTAATCAAAGCGCTTCACAGAATATACTGCAAAGTGAATTGACTGAACACTTTGTCGGCAAAACGCAGTAGCAAATTGCGCACAGCAATTTGTGTCCCCACAAACAGACGTGGATTGAAGTGAACAACTTATTATTATTGTTATTAGCTCCTACTTACTGCTAGGTAAACAGAGGCGTGTGGAGTAAGGAAACTTGCTCAACATTTCGCCCTGCCGGGAATCAAACCCAGGTCTCTCCCTTGCGAGGCAAGTGCTCTAATCACTGAGCTACAGGACTCCACAGCAGTATAGGAGTAAACCTCGCCCCAGGATGAATTTCCACCCACAGATGGAGGCTGCTATAACACTGTGTTGTCACTGGTTATCAGTACGAGTCTGCCGTGCCTGTGAAGAACTGTCCTCACGGGACCACATACCACGGCAATAACAAGTGGCTCTGAATCGGAAACGAAACTAAACTGAATCAATGAATCTAAGGAAACAGAAACTGACCGGGGCTTAGATGATGTGACGTTCAGAAACGTAATTACTAAACACTGCCCCTGTGCTGCTTTGACAGCAAGGAGGAGTTGATGTTAGGGTTTATAAGGAGACAGTTTGGAAGCCAGCTGTACACAGAGGCAGCAAGATGCAGCAGTCACTGTACCAAACAGGCCCCAGGCAATTGGATACGTTCATCGGAAATTTGCGACCAAATGATTTCAATAAACAACTCAAAGAAGCCGTGCACAGGATCTGCAGCTTCTTAAGGGACGATTGCTTCCAGAATAAACCGATCAAAGTAAAGCGGGTGGTAAAAGTAAGCAGTGCAATTTTTTTGACCATATATATATACACACAGTACATATAACATATATAGTTAGCTATTTAGTTCTGTTTCCAATGTAAACAGTGTATAATTATGTTTGAACCAAGTTGTTGGCAAACTTATTTCTGGATAATTATTTTTTAAAACAAAAAGTCAGACACATTTGTAAAGAGAAATGCTTTTTTTTTAATAACTTCATGTTTTTCCACTTAAGGAAGGATTATTATTGTGATTATTATTTGGTATTCAAAAGCGTGAAGGAGAACGTCACAGCCCCTCATTAACTCTCTCTCTCTCTCGCTCTCTCTCCCTCCACAGGGTGGCTCATCGGGGAAGGGAACGGCTATGAGGAGCGGGTCAGATGCTGATCTTGTCGTCTTCCTCGACTGCTTCAGCAGTTACCAGGATCAGAGAGGCACCAGGACCGATATCTTGGAGGAAATTTCAAAGGTGCTGACAAAGTATCAGAGGAGCATCGCGTATGAAATTCAAGACATCAAAATCACATTTCCACCCACCAGCAGCAGCATCCCACCCAAATCACTGAGCTTCACCATCCAGTCCAAGAAGTCTGTTGAGCAAGTGGATTTTGACCTGTTGCCCACATTTGATGCTCTAGGTAAGGGGGGGGGGGGGGTGAGCCCTGTTAAAGCAACCATGTCTACTCAGGAAACACCTGCTGTCAGCAACTACCCTGGAGCAATCCAGGCTGATTTTCCACATTAAACCATCTTTGTTCAGCAAACACCTGTCTAACGCAACCAGTGGCCATTCTTTTCTCACCCTGTCCGTGTTCAGTGGCCAGTTCTAAGCGAACTTAAGTGTACTGACCGGTAAAGCATCACAATTTCCCCGGGTTCGCCTGCAGACTCCACTAGACTCTGAGCACATTTTCCAAACTGGCGTTGGAGTCTAGCGGCTGTGTACATACAGGCCCACAGATATTTCTTTTTATCAAACCAACGAACCCTTCCTCCGAGGCCACCCTTACATTTGGTCCAGTCTCATGAGTACTTGCTGAAAACAGGTTTGAACTCAAGAGTCTAGGCTGACACACCAATGCAATGTTTGGGGAGCGCTGCATTGTAGGAGGTGTCCTACTCAACTGTCCTCTCTCACTCGCCCCAGCTCAGGCACCCAGCCCTGAAACCAGTGTGTGACATCCTTCTAACATGAAAGGCGCTGTATCAATGTCAATTGTTGTTGTTGGATTCTGAGTGCCTCAGAGCCACAGAATACAACACAGAACCCTGTCGCTCATTGACCATTTCCATTCCCGCAGGTCTGTTTGGTGACAACGCCTACGTGAAGCTGATAGAAATTGGAGATTCAGCCGGGGAGTTTTCCCCCTGTTTCACTGAGCATCAGAGAGATTTTGTGAAGCTCCGTCCCGCAAAGCTCAAGGACCTGATCCGCCTGGTGAAACATTGGTACATTCAGGTGAGTCTGAAGCAAAGAGCAATCGCTTATCACTGGAAGAGTAAACTCACAATGCGTGAGGTATTTCTTGTGTTTAAAATTCAGGGTTAAAACCAGGTCCGTGATATTGTCAAACAAGCTACAGTTGTAGGAATTGATCAGGAATTGATGTTAGATCACGAGAGGAGAGAGTCACAGATCTCTGAGCAGGTGATTACAGATCACGATTGACGATGGCTTGGGAGTCAATCTCCTGCCTGGAGTGACGGGAAATGTCAAGGGGGAGGGGAAATATGGGTCGGGTGGAAAAACGTTTAACAGCACTCACTGAATCTTTTCTAAATATAGTACGTCAAACCACGGAAAAATGAGCTCACAAATGGAAATCGCATTCCTCAAAAATACGCAGTGGAGCTACTCACCATCCATGCCTGGGAGCAGAACGGCAAGCTGGAGGGCTTCAAAACGGCCGAAGGGTTTCGCACGGTTCTCGAGTTGATTTGTAGATACAGGGAACTGTGCATCTACTGGAATCATTACTACAAACTCAGCAGCAACGGCAACAAAGCCCTGACAGAGTTTGTGAAACGGAAACTCCGAGGCACAAGGTAAATTGGATGCCAGGTGCATTTCAGATAAACCAGTCTTTCAGTTACATTGACTGTCACTGTGTAAGTGATGTGTGGACCTCCAGAGTATCTCATTAAGAAATAGTCGCATTAAGTGCTCAGGGATGCGACCTTGCATGAGGGCGCTACATAAATACACGTTGTTGTTGAGATTCCTTAATAAGTTTGCATTCTTGTTGATTCATGGAATCTCCGCTCTGGAATTGGATGGTGTCAGGGAGGAGATCCCACAGGTTGGCATGACGTGCTCGGTGCCTGTAAGAGTCGCCAATTACTCATTTCTCATTAAGAAATATCGCAAAATTTGAAATTGGCCACAGCTCTCAGCAGATATGTCTTCAGTCAGTGGCTAAAGTGAATCATTGCAACTGTACTGCCAATTTCAAACTACCCCACACCCCAATCAGAGAACAGCATTCCATGGTCGCATGTTATAGGAAATATTATTGGAAAATCTTAACTGAAGCTTCACTGAGTATAGTTGAGGAACCTAGACTTTGGTGCCCACAGAATCTGTTAGTGATTGCCAATCCCGACATTGTTTCACCAGAATCAGGTGTACCTGTGCAGACAATGCTCATGAAGTAATCAGCCCTCTGCTTAATGATCGTTGCTGATGACTCTCCATTTCCATTTTCAGGCCAGTAATTCTCGACCCGGCCGATCCCACTGGGAATGTGGGACAATCCGGTGGATGGCAAGTGATGGTTAGTGAAGCCTCCAAATGCCTGCAGATGCCTTGTATGGCCGAAGTCCAATCCTGGGATCTCAAGGTAACGGCTATAACAAACAGCGGCAGAATTAATAATAAATAATAATTTGGGTGTCTCGCGCCTTATCATGCTGGAAGTGCGTCAATGGCATTTCACGGGATTTGTTGAAATATTGCACTTCTTGTCTCCCCACAGCCCGTGACGGAGCTTCAAGTTAATGTCCAATTGATGGGAGGTTCCTCGTTACCAATCAACGCCAATCCCTTCACGAAGGTGGCAACTATCAAGCAAGACATTCAGCAACATTGGTGCAACTTTTCTCCCTCCCGCCAATCCCCACCAGTCCCAGTCCACCAGCAACGCTTGATGTTCAACAATACTATTCTGAATGACAGCGAAACACTGCTGGAGTCTGGAATATTAGATAATGTTACCATCACCCTGCTTGTGACTTCAAACGACAAAATGGACATTTTTGTCAGGAATTCAGATGGACGCAGCCGAACATATCAAGTGCAACCAACAGACACTGTTTTGAGTCTGAAAAAGAAAATTGAAGCTGTGGAGCGTAATCACTCAGACCAGTATTACCTGGTCTTTGGTGGAAGAACCCTGGAAGACAAGTACACACTGCAGCACTACAACATAAAGGAACATTCCCACATTGACATGAACCTTCGCCTGAGAGGAGGGGGAATCTGTCAATCTAAGGAGGCCAATGTCTCACTCTGTGAGATGACGAGGTTTTATCAAAATTAGATCATGGGAAAAATCACCAGATATCCTTATTATTTTAAATTCTTGGACTTTAAATGATGTTCGTATAGACACCAATTGGCTTTGACTGATTTCTGACGGCAACACACATTATTCTAATACTCTGGTGAAGCTCTATTGGTGAATGGAACTACTGCCTAATGTATATATTCAGCAAGTAAGACTAGACGGTGTGGAACTTTCACTCTGTATATGTAATGTTAGATTAATCCTGCTCTGGAGATTTTATTCATTTTATTTTAATATAATTTATTTTAATGCAGCATTCTGCCATGGCATCTTGTATTGACCATAAACGTCACAATGTGAATGATTGATTATGAGTCCCTATCTTTAAGTTCTGATTTTAAATAATGACTTAGATGTTTTTGATGGTTGGAAGCTCAAACAGTTTTTGATATCTGCTGTTATTCTCAATAATTGTTCATCTGATTTACTTGTTAAAACCTTAATAAAAGCTCTGACTGTAGAAATTCTGTGTTTTTGTGAGCCTCACTTATCTGATTCAAGTGGATTATACACAGAGTAAAGAGTTTGAGGGGTTCCCCAAAAGACATAATAGAAAATCACACGTGCTTGGCGTGGGGGATGGTGACAATGACGAGGGCGGGAAATGGGCTTCGCTCGCTGGTGAGTGACTGCTCTGTTCAAAAAATACAAATTAAAAAAAACATTTGGTCACTTAATCCTTGACTGTTTGCAGGCACTGCTGTACGCAATTGGCTGCCGCATTTTGCCCACAAAATACAGTCAATTCACTTTAAAGTGTATTCTGTGAAGCGCTTTGAGACGTCTCAACTACGTGATAAAATGCTATATCAAGTGCAAGGATTATTATTGTTATTTACCCTATTTTAAGAGTTTGATGGGTACTAGGAACATAAGAACATAAGAATTAGGAGCAGGAGTAGGCCATTCGGCCCCTCGAGCCTGTGCCCTGTCATTTGATAAGATCATGGCTGAATCTTCAGACCTAACTCTAATTACCTGCCCTATCCCCATATCCCCTAATCCCTCTATTTTTAAAAAATCTATCAGTCTCAGCCTTGAAGATGTTCAAGGACTGAGCATCTACAGCCTTCTGGGCTAGTGAATTCTTTTGTACTCTAGAGAATATAGCTCTAGTTTATTCAGCCTATCCTCATAGGTCAGTCCCCTCGTCCCAGGAACTAACCGAGTGAATCTATGCTGCACCCTCTCGAGGGCAAGTATGTCCTTTTTTAAATAAGGAGACCAAAACTGCACACAATACTCTCGGTGCAATCTCACCAAGGCCCTATACAGTTGCAGCAAGACTTCCCTACTCTTGTACTCTAAACCTTTTGCAATGAACGCTAACATGCCGTTCGCCTTCTTAGTCGCTGCTGCACCTGCAAACTAACTTTTTGAGACTGGTGTACAAGGACACCCAAATCCCTCTGAACACTAACACTATTAATCTCTCCCCTTCTAAAAAAAAATCTGTTTTTCTATTTTTTCTACCGTGGTGAATAACTTCACACTTCCCCACATTAAATTCCATCTGCCACCTACTCGCCCACTCCCTCAGCTATATATATATCCCGTTGCAATCTTTTTGCATCATCCTCAGAGCTTACTCTCCCACCGAGTTTAGTGTCATCCGCGAATTTAGATACGTTACATTCAATGTCCTCGTCTAGATCATTGATGTAAATTGTAAATAGCTGAGGCCCAAGTACTGATCCTTGTGGCACTCCACTAGTCACATCCTGCCAATTCGAGAATGACCCGTTTATCCCTACTCTCTGTTTTCTACCCGTTAGCCACTCTTCAATCCATGCTGGAATTCAACCAGCTAAAACCACGTAACTATTGAAAGCACAGCCCATTAGAGTTTCATCTTGCAAATCAACAGAAGATCAACAAAGCAATTCACAGGATTTACCATAAAAATGTAATGACCGTGCCTTCAGCTCCCCTCTCGACTCTCTACCCCCTCCTCGCTCCCTCCCTTCCCTCCCCTCACCCTAACCATTTCCCCCTTGCTCGGGTCCTGACCCAACTGTCCAGCGCCTTGGGACGTCCTCCTGACGTGAAAGGCGCTCTATAAATGAAATCTTGTTGTTGTTGTTGTTTTGTGGGTGAAAGTAGCACACACATATATCCCACAAGCAGCTGTGAAGTGAGTGATTTTATCCGGGAGATAGTTCTTTTCGAATAGTGCCACAGGATCTTATCATCCACCCGAACAGGCAAACCTTGGTTTATTCTCTCATCTGAAGGACCGCCCTTCTGACAATGCAGTAAATCCCATCACTGCGTTAAGAAGAAGAACAACAAATTGCATTTATGGGGCGCCTTTCAAGTTGGGAGAACTTGCCAAGGCGCTGGGCAGTTTGGTCCGAATTACAGGCGTATTTAAAGCAGGTAAGAATGCAAATAACTCCATACCTGGGGTTTCATTCAATTTACCCGGTGTCCTGGCTAACCAGAGTCCGGCTAAAGCGGATTCCACTATATCCAGCAAATAGACCAGGTGGTAGAAATTCCACCTGGGTCCACAATCACTCTATTAACTTAGCGCTACAGAATTTGGCAAATTCTTAAATACAGTCTTTAATTTTGAAGCCGAAAACTTGACATTGAATTGCCAATTGCTTCTCGCTTATCTGAGTAAACCTCGAGCCAGGTTGAATTCCCACCCACAGATGGAGGCTACTATACCACTGCGCTGTCGATGGTTATCAGTGCAGGTCTGCCGTACCCATGAAGCCCTGTCCTCACAACACCACACCCCACGGCGATAACAAGTGGCTCTGAATTGGAAACGAAACTGAATCTTGACTCTGAGCAAACAGAAACTGACCGATGCTTGTATGGTGTCGTTGCTGAACGTGCAAACGCGTATAGCAGCCTGGATCAGATAAAGTGGCTGGAAACCAGATAAAAAGTATTAGGAATTGCTGTGACGTGCAGAAACTAAGCTGCCCCTGTGCTGGGTGTGATATCGTGGAGGAGTTCACGTTAGGGTATATAAGGAGGCAGTTTGGAAGCAAGCTTTTACACAGAGGGGCCAAGATGCAGCAGCAATTGTACCAGACCAGCCCAAGGGATTTGGATACTTTCATCCAGGACTTGCGACCAAATGACTTCAATATTGAACTCAAAGCAGCCGTTCACAGGATCTGCAGCTTCTTAAAGGAGAATTGCTTCCAAAACACAACGATCAAAGTGAAGAAGGTGGTAAAAGTAAGTAGTGCATTTTTTTTTACCATATATATATATATATATATACGGTATTTATATAATAATCCTTGCATTTGACATTGCACCTTATCACATTTTCAAGACGTCTCAAAGCGCTTCACAGAATAACAGAATATACTGTAAAGTGAATTGACTGTATATTTTGTGGGTGTAACAAAATATGATATACATATATAGTTAGCTAGTTGGTCCTATTTCCAATGTAAACCGTGTATAATTATGTTTGTACACGTTGTTTTAAAACTTATTTCTGCATAATTCTTTTTTAAATATTAAAAAATCACACATATTTGTAAAGAAAAATGCCTTTGACTTCACTTTTTAATAATTTCATGCTTTCCCACTTAATGAAGGCATATTGTTATTATTATTTTTTGGTCTTCAAAATGAAATTTTATTTGATAGATTCGGCCTCTGGATTTCAGAATCATTCCCCCCACAAAAAAACACAGTCCCTAGAAGAACGCCATCCCTTTTGATACCGGTTGCAAGAAGGATTCTTTAAAAAAATGACTGCACACCCTCCCTAGCATTGATCCCACTTGCAGAAGAGAAAAGCCACAGAGATGATTAGATCTCTCAGTATTTGAGCTGTTTTTTACCCGTGACACTATTTGAAAGGAGAAGGGACTTTCTCCCACTGTCTTGGCCAACAATCAATCCACCAAATAAAATTGATAATTCATGGCACGTGGTATTTGCCTACAAATACAGTCACTGAAACGCCTCTATGACATAATCAAACACTATATCAAGTGTAAGAATTACAGTGTTATTATTCTGAGCCTTGAACAGCTGGGTATTGTCTGCAGATAATAACAATAATAATTCTCGCATTTGATATAGTGCCTTGTCACGTCTTCGAGGCGTTTCAAAGGGCTTGGCAGAATATACTGCAAAGTGAATTGACTGTATATTGTGTGGGCGAAACGCAGCAGCCAATTGCGCACAGCAGTGTTCCCCCGTGAAGCAGCAGAAGCATCACGAGGGAGAGCGTCACAGCCCCTCAGTAACTCTCCCTCTCTCTTTCTCTCTCGATAGGGCGGCTCCTCGGGGAAGGGAACGGCTCTAAGGAGCTCAGATGCTGATCTGGTCGTCTTCCTCAACTGCTTCAGCAGTTACCAGGATCAGAAAGCCACCAGGACCGATATCTTGCAGGAAATTTTAAGGGTGCTGACAAGATGCCAGAATAGCATCGCGTATGACATTCAAGACATCGAAATCAAACAGCCCAACAGCAGCAGCATCCCATCCAAATCACTGAGCTTCATCATCCAGTCCAAGAAGTCTTCTGAGAGTGTGGAGTTTGACTTGTTGCCCACATTTGATGCTATAGGTAAGAGGGGATTAGCCCTGTCTCCTCCCAAGCAGCCGAAACCCCTCCCTCCACAGCCGTGGCCCCTCCCTCCACAAATGTGGCCCCTCCTTCCACAGCCGAGGCCCCTCCTTCCACAGCCGAGGCCCCTCCCAGAGTTTCCCTTCCCTCCCTTGGTTTGGGAGGAGACATACCAGCAAGGATTACCTGATCTGTCAGAAGGATTTACTGAACATCTTCTTATTCTGCACTTACAGTCAAAGCAACCATCTCTGTTCAGCAAACAGCTGTCTAACGCGACCAGTGGCCATTCTTTTCTCTCGCTGATGGTGTTCAGCGGCCAGTTCTAAGTGCATTTAAGTGCAAGGCATCACCAATTTCCAAGGGCCTGCGTATAGACTCCGCTAGACTCCGAGCAGATTTACCAAACTGACGTTGGAGTCTAGGGGATGTGTACACACAGGCCCACAGATATTTATTTCAAAACAATTTGGACCTGGTCAACAAACCAACGAACCCTTACATAAAGGCCACTTTAGTCCAATCTACTGAATGGTTGCTGAACACAGACTTGACTGCATTTTGAACTCACAGTCCAGGCTGACTGTAATATTTGGGGAGCGCTGCATTGTTGGAAGTGTCGTCCTCAATTGTCCTTTTCCCCCCCATCCCCCCCACCCCCAGCTCAGGCTCCTAGTGAGCTGTGTAAAGAGCTTTGAGACATCCTCCTAACATGAAAGGCGCTGTATAAATGTCAATTGTTGTTGTTGGACTCTGAGGGCCTCAGAGCCACAGAATACAACACAGAACACTGCCGCTCATTGACCATTTCCCTTCCCGCAGATCTGTTTGGTGAGAACGCCTACGTGAAGCTGATAGAAATTGGAGATTCAGCCGGGGAGTTTTCCCCCTGTTTCACTGAGCGTCAGAGAGATTTTGTGAAGCTCCGTCCCACAAAGCTCAAGGACCTGATCCGCCTGGTGAAACATTGGTACATTCAGGTGAGTGTGAAACAAGGATTAATCAATCGTCACTGAAACAGTAATCTCACAATACGCGAGGTATTTCACGTGTTTAAAGCGCTCCAACATGCTATTCCGCACGAAGGGTGCTATATATATACACAAGTTGTCGTTATGGCGGAGTCAAGGAATGGCTTCAAAGAGATGTCCAGAAAATAGTGTTTGGTAGCTTCCTTGATGCTGATCTCAGAGCCACACAAATAATCCTCCTGTGATTCCCATATGTGTGAAATGCCCCTCTCCCCCCACTCCGATCACATCAACCAAACCGACGCTGGAGTCCAGGGAATGTGGGGCAATCCGGTGGATGGGAGGTGATGATTAGTGAAGCCCCCAAGTGTCTACGCACAGACCACGATTTTTACGGCTGAGAAATCAGCACTCGCCACCGCTGGACAATTCAACCCCTTCCCCAGGACAACATCTCATCCAATTAAAAAATATATAGGAATTGATCAGGACTTTTGTGTTGGATCAGGAGAGTTGAGGGTCACAGCTCTCTAAGCAGGTGATAACAAATCACGATTAACGAAGGCTTGGGAATCAATCTTTCCTGCTTGCCTGGAGTTGCATGAAGCATGAGGAGATTTTAAGGGGGAGGGGAAATATAGGGAAGGGTGGAAAAACTTTTATCACCGCTCACTGAATCTTCTCTAAATATAGTACGTCAAACCACGGAAAAATGAGCTCACAAATGGAAATCGCCTTCCGCAAAAATACGCAGTGGAGCTACTCACCATCCATGCCTGGGAGCAGAACGGCAAGCTGGAGGGCTTCAAAACGGCCGAAGGGTTTCGCACGGTTCTCGAGTTGATTTGTAGATACAGGGAACTGTGCATCTACTGGAATCATTACTACAAACTCAGCAGCAACGGCAACAAAGCCCTGACAGAGTTTGTGAAACGGAAACTCCTTGCCACAAGGTAAATTGGGTGCCAGGTGCATTTTAGACAATGCACATGAAGTAATCAGCCCTCTGCTTAATGATCGTTGCTGAAGACTCTCCATTTCCATTTTCAGGCCAGTAATTCTCGACCCGGCCGATCCCACTGGGAATGTGGGACAATCCGGTGGATGGCAAGTGATGGTTAGTGAAGCCTCCAAATGTCTGCAGATGCCTTGTATGGCCGGAGTCCAATCCTGGGATCTCAAGGTAACGGCTATAACAAACAGTGGCAGAATTAATAATAAATAATAATTTGGGTGTCTCGCGCCTTATCATGCTGGAAGTGCGTCAATGGCATTTCACGGGATTTGTTGAAATATTGCACTTCTTGTCTCCCCACAGCCCGTGACGGAGCTTCAAGTTAATGTCCAATTGATGGGAGGTTCCTCATTACTAATCAACGCCAATCCCTTCACGAAGGTGGCAACTATTAAGCAAACAGTTCAGCAACATTGGCGCAACTTTTCTCCCTCCCGCCAATCCCCACCAGTCCCAGTCCACCAGCAACGCTTGATGTTCAACAATACTATTCTGAATGACAGCGAAACACTGCTGGAGTCTGGAATATTAGATAATGTTCCCATCACCCTGCTTGTGACTTCAAACAACAAAATGGACATTTTTGTCAGGAATTCAGATGGACACAACCGAACATATCAAGTGCAACCAACAGACACTGTTTTGAGTCTGAAAAAGAAAATTGAAGCTGCGGAGCATATTCACTCAAACCAGTATTACCTGGTCTTTGGTGGAAGAACCCTGGAAGACAAGTGCACACTGCAGTACTACAACATAAAGGAACATTCCCACATTGACATGAACCTTCGCCTGAGAGGAGGGGGAATCTGTCAATCTAATGAGGCCAATGTCTCACTCTGTGAGACAATGGGGTTTTATCATAATTAGATCATGGGAAAAATCACCAGATATCGTTATTATTTCAACTACAATGGCAAACTCTATTGCTGAATGGAATTTCTGTCCAATGTTTACAATCAGCAAGTACGACTAGACTGTGGGGAACTTTCGCTCTTCATATGTAATGTTAAATTAATTCCTGCTCTGGAGTTTGTATTAATTTTATTTTAATATAATTTAATTTAGTATCATTTATTTTAATATAATTTACTTTAATGAAGCAATTTGCAATGGCATCTTGAATTGACCATAAACGTCACAATATGAATGACTGACTATGAGTCCCTATCTTTAAGTTCTGATTTTAAAAAATGACTTAGATGTTTTTGATGGTTGGGAGCTAAACAGTTTTTTATATCTGCTGTTATTCTCAATAACTGTTCATCTGATTTACTTGTTAAAACCTTAATAAAAGCTCCGACTGTAGAAATTCTGTGTCTCTGTGAGCCTCACATACCTGATTCGGGTGGATTGTACACAGAGGAAAGTGTCCCAGAATTGAGTCGTGTGTCGGGATTGAATTGAAAGCAGAGGAAGTGAGCAGCACTTTAGGGCCTGCAGCCCAGGGCCCCGGAGTTTGAGGGGCCACAAGAAAGAATCAATAGAAAATGGCACGTGCGCAGCGAGGGGGGTGTTGGGATGGCGACAGCAACGAGGGTGGGAAATGGGTTTTGCTCGCTGGTGAGTGACCGCTTTGCACAGGGCCCCAACCACTAAGCAGAAAGAGGCGATGGTAACATATAGAGGGAAGAAGCTGAACATGCAAAGAGGGGCCATCACAACTATAATAGCCACGAGCCCCCATCAAGCCTAATCCGGCCCTGGGTCACAGAGGTAAGGAGGAGCAAGACCTTTGAGGGCTTTAAACATGAGGATGAGGATCTTAAACTCAATCCTTTGGGGGCTGGGGAGCCAATGAAGCCAGGTGAGGAATCTCACAGGGTTGGTGTGAGAGAAGACATGAGCTGTAGAGTTCTAAATAATCTGCATTTTGTGGAGGGAAGAGCTATGAAGTTCAGTGAGCAGAGAGTTAGCAGAATCACGCCTGAACGTGATGAAAGCATTGCAGCTTGAAGGGAGCTTGAGGGGAGAGGTAGTGGCAGAGGCAGGCAATGTTGCTGAGGTGGGGGAAGGCAGAATGGGTCAACGCATGGTTTTGGGGATTAAAGGATGGTTGAGGATTGAACATGACACCACCAAGGGTCTGTACTCGGTCGATGAGGTGGAGCATGCAGCCATGAATACTGTTGCTGTCAGCGCCTGAGGTGTCTAGGCACTTTCAGGGACCAGGCAGGAGGGCCTCTGTCTTGTCAACATTCAATTGGAGAAAGTTATCTCTGACAGACAATCCCTCAGAACAGCATTGATCCTGGAGTTGAGGGTGGAGACGGAGAGCCAAAGTTAGGTGTCATCCACATACATGTGGAAGTTAACCCCATGTCTGCAGTTGATATCAGTGAGCAGGAGCATGTAAGTGTTAAAGAGAGGACCGAGGACAGAGCCCTGAGGAATGCCACATGTGATGGTGCGAGGACTCGAAGAGAAGCCGTTAGTGGACACAAAGTGTAGATGGTGGGAAACGTAAGAGTGAACCAGGCAAGGACAGAACTATAAAGGTGGAGCTGAGAGGAGAGGTGGTGGAGAAGAATAGAATGGTCAGCAGTGTCGAAGGAGACAGAGAGATTGAGAAGAATTGGGAGACAGAGAGAGCCCTGGTCACAAATGGACAGAATATCATTTATAACTTTGTCTAAGGCTATCTCCGTACTGTAGGCAACAGAGAAACTGGATTGGAGGTTTCATACAGGTAATGACGGGAGAGGAAAGAGCGAAACAACGACTCGTTCCAGGTCCCTGGAAAGGAAAGGAAGGTTGGAGGTGGGACAGTAGTTAGAGAACAGAGATGAATCAAGCGAAGATGACGTCCAACAAAGTGCAGGTTTGAGCCCTCACAAAGCTGGTAATAGGTACCAAGAACTCCCTGCAGGCTTTCTGATGAGAAGCATTGCCACCATTCTTATATACACATCTCAGACACATATCACTGCCCATTGAGCAATGGTTCCACTAGTAGGAGGTGAGGAGTTTGAGCATCAGCTACTTACCTCTCTTGCAATCCAATCAAGATGGATTCCAAGCCATGGATATTTGAAAGTCTGTTCACAAACCTGGACTCCAGGTTACGCTTTCCTGCAGCTGTCACCCCCGAGCCTCAGAGTTTCACCAGCCACCAATGGCAGTGGCACAGACACAATGAGCCCAATAGCCACCTTCTAATCATCATCCCATCCTGTGATTGCATTCTGAATTTAGTGTCTATCCCCCCGATTCTGATAGACGTAAAGTCACCGTGGAGTCCTGCAGCTCAGTAATTAGAGCACTCGGCTCGCAAGCGAAAGGATCTGGATTTGATTCCCGGCAGGGCAAAATGTCAGGCAAGTTTCCGTACTCCACATGCCTCTGTTTACCCAGCAGTAAGTAGGAAACCAGTCGATTGGTGGATTGCTTTTCCGGGGGTAATAATCCCTTCAATAAATAAATAAGTAAATAAATTGATCACTCAATTCACGACTGTTTGTGGGACGCTGCTGTGCACAATTGGCTGCTGCGGTTTACCCACAAATATACAGTCAATTCACTTTGCAGTATATTCTGTGAAGCGCTTTGAGATATCCCGAAGACGTGATAAGGCTCTGTATCAAATGCAAGGATTATTATTATAAGGTGTTTCACAATACAAAACAATACAACCCTCTGCTGGTTGCTATGGTGTCTGCAGCATTACGAATGAAAAACATTCTCTCTCAAGCTGGAGAATTGAAACCGAAACTTTTGACATACGTGGAAATGAAAAGCCAAATAGGATCAGCAGCTGGATTCAGCTCTATTCCGTGTCCCGAGATAGAGCCTGGCTACTCCTCTCTCTGACACTGAGCAGGCAGGTGAGTTTCTCTCAAGTTGCCTCAATATTGTCTGCATAAGAACATTGCATATTTATACAAGTTCATTGTTTATTTCCAGATCACCATCCCATTCTGCGAGTGTGTTCTTAATTTAGTTTCTACCTTCCCGATTGTGGCAGATGTAAAAATCGCTGCCCGGCTGTTAATATTTCATAGTAAAGTGGAGTCTCTCTCTCTCCTAGTTTTATCGTGTCTTAAATTTCTCCCTCGTTCAAATTTAACCCCAATTTCAAACCTTTCATTGGATGTGGGACATCACTGGCGCAGATTGGCTCACCGCTCAACCTTCTAAAGATCACCCCTTAACCTTCTAAACTCAAGGGAATACAGGCAAAGTTTATGCAAACCTGTCCTTGTAATTTAACCCTTTAAACCCTGGGATCATTTTGGTGAGTCTCTAGAGTCAATATATCTTTCTTGAGGTGGTGCTGAAAACTGAACGCAGCTCTCTAGATGGGGTCTGACCAAGGCTCTATACAGCTGAGGCATCATTTCCTCACCTTTGTATTCCAGACCCCTTTTTGCTCCTTTTTGTACTTGTGAACTAGGTTCTAATTACTTGTGTACATGGGCACCCAAATCCCTTTGCTCCTCCACAGTTCTTAGTTTCCCTCCATTAAGAAAATATTCTGCGTTTATCTTATTTGAATCCACAGTGGATGACCTCACATCCTCTGCTGTGAGTAAAAGTCCAATCATTGGCACTCGATGTGGGATAAAACCTTGGATTTATCTCTCTGGAATTAAGTGAAGAATCTGTAAAATGATTCCTTTGTTTGGTGCCGGAAAAACAGTGGAGAGAATCGGAGTGCACTAATTCTAATAACAATAATCCTTGTATTTGATACAGCACTCCTCACGTCGGGAGGACAACTCAAAGCGCTTCACAGGAGTGAGTGTAAAGTGTAGTGACTGACTGCGTGTTGTGTAAGCAAACTGTAGTTTGAGATGGAGCTGTATAACATGTTTCCGCGACAATTGGACAAGTTTATCTACAATCATCTTCAGCCCAACACGGACTTTCTGGATCAGATGTCCATCGCCATAAACAAGATCTGCAGGTTCTTACATGGGTACAAGTTCCAAAACTCTGTCAAAGTCATCAAAACCATTAAGGTAAGTCCGTAAGATCTCAACAGGAGTCACATCATCCCAGTCTAACCCATATCCCAGACTATTCCACAATGCCAATCTAATCCCAGATTCCAGACTGTACAACACAATCAAATAACCCTGATATACTCTTACAGATTCCTCCAGAAACTTCTTTCTGTGCTGAAAATTTCTGTTATCGTTAAACGTTTTGTACGAATACGAGGCCTAATCAAAGGTGCTGGGGCTGGTGGTAAATATTTGCAATATTATTTATTCATTGTAGATAACAATTTGACACCTAGATAACCTTGGACCAGCTAATGCTTTTGCGACCTAGTTAAGTAACTTGGAGTTTTGAGGCCTAACAAAAGCTGTTTGTTTCCTCTTGTGTTCAGGGTGGCTCCTCTGGGAAAGGGACGGCTTTAAAAAATGGCTCGGACGCCGACCTCGTTGTTTTCTTCAGTGACTTCCAAAGCTTTGAAGATCAGAAGAATAAGCGGGGTGGAATGTTGAATGAAATCTATGACGCTTTGCTGCTTTACCAGAAGGAATACAGCTTCGCCTACGAACTTAGCATGTCAAAACCCCAAATCATCAGGGAATCAAGTATGTTTGGCCTCTTCTCCGTCCCACGTTCACTCAGCTTCCAAATCAAATCCACAGAGGATTCTGACTCCATTGAGTTTGATGTTCTACCAGCCTACGATGCTTTAGGTATGGAATTATCATATTAATAATAATAATAATCTTTGCATTTGATATTACGTCTTATCGCATCTTCGAGATGTCTCAAAGCGCTTCACAGAATAGATTGTAAAGTGAATTGACTGTATATTTTGTGGGCAAACGCGGCAGCCGATTGGGCACAGCAGCATCGCACAAACAGTCGTGGATTGAGTGACCAAATTATTTTTTGAAGGGATTGGTACTCCCGAAAAAGGGATCCGCCAATTGACTAAAAAACTGCAAGGTAAACAGAGTTGTGTGGAGTAAGGAAACTTGCGCAATGTTTTGCTCTGCCCAGGAATCAAACCCAGGTCCTCTGGCTTGTGAGGCGAGCGCTCTAATCATTGAGCTCTGGGACCCCACGTATTGTATTGTATATCGTGCCAATGCTCAGTGTCTAGGTTCATCCAACAATAAATGGCCAATGGAGTGAGATATAAATGGCGGCCATCACAGGTAGTCTTCAGTGAACAGGAAAAAAAATGGGAAAGAAAGCAAAATAAAGAGATGGAGAGATTCACTGCTAAAATACTATCCTTTGAAGTGTGACGGCCTGGCTCAGTTGGGAACACTCTCGGGTCTGGGGCAGCAGACTGTGTGTTCAAACCCGAGCTCACTGTTTGAACACACAGTTTGAGGATAATCATAAGCACGGGTTGGGTTTCCATGTGTATTGGCTAACCAAAGAAAATAAAGATGGGTGCCACCTGCTGGTGTTCCTTAAAGTTTTCCTGAAATAAATTCAGGAATGCTTTAAGTCCTTGTGGTCACCTCCTATTTCCCCTCTCCCCTCTCCCCTCTCCCAGCTCAGCATCTGATCCCATCTTTGTGAAGGGCTCCAAGAGGTTATCCTATATGAAGGGTGCTGTATAAATGTAAATTGTTGCTCTTGAATCTTTTCAATTTCATTTTCCAACAGGTCAGGCTACATACTCACGTCCGGATCCCGAGATATACATAAGACTCATTGAGTTAAAAGCTGCTCGAGGTGAATTCTCGACGTCCTTCACTGAACTCCAGCGGAACTTTGTGAGGAAATCACCAACGAAACTCAAAAGCCTGATCCGGCTGGTCAAGTACTGGTATAAGGAGGTAGGTGCAATGTCGAAACTTCAGTCCTGAGTCACACCAGCCAGTAAATAAAAGAATGCTTGCGATTAGGGTTAACTGGTTAAACTCCAGCAGTACCCCAACGCACACTCTAGGGTCCCCAAGCCTTGACACCTGTGAGCCACCATGTGCCTAATACTGTCCTGAATAAGGTAACAAAGGCACATCCCTGTGGAGAGATAGTGCGTATTCCATTCCAGAATTGGAAATTTCCATGTGTAGCTGGGATACATGGAATTATCAATGTGGTTTAGATATGCCTTAGCATGGGGATGGGTTTCCAAATGTATCAGACACCCAGCTGACCGTATAACCGTAGTGACTGTTGCTGTGTTGCTCTGTAACCAATTAGGAAGAAAGAGTGCAATCCGGGGTACTGTATTGGAAGGTAAATTCAGAAAATCATAGTAATATCTGTTTTTCAATGGAGCTATGGTCTCAGGCTTTCCTGTAGCTGACCTGGAGTACTGGATGGACAGTGTAGAGGGAGCTTTACTCTATCTCTAATCCATGCTATCCCTGACCTGGGAGTCCTGGATGTTGAGCTGGGAATGCAAGTGGAAAAGTGTTCCATTCCCCAGGACTGAAATCGCCCGCCCGACTGAGCACAAGTTGACAATAAATAGGAAGACTATGAAGTGTGATCTCTACACCACAGTACGTGCGGCGACTGCATAAGCAGAACCTCAGGAGTGGAGAGTTCCTCCCCCACAAGTACGCCCTGGAACTGCTGATCATCTACGCGTGGGAGAGCACCAAACAGGGGCAAAATTTCAACACCGCAGAAGGGTTTCGGACGTTGCTGGAGCTGGTGGTCAGATACCAAGAGCTGTGGCTTTTCTGGACTGAATACTATGACTTCAGCCACCCTGACCTCAAGGAGTACCTCACAGTGAACTCCAAGGCCACAAGTAAGTCAGTCTCTTTCTGGTTGTATCAAGCTGTTTATTGAATAAATCCAGCATCCTGACCTTCCTGGTAACCTGTTCCAGCTGTTAATTACCCTCTGTGTAAAGAAATGGTTCCCAGTGTCTGCCTTGATATTGTCCTTCAGAAACCTGAACCTGTGGCCTCCAGTTCTGCTGACTTGAAAGCATTATTTTGGGTTCTGTGGGTGATTGAGGACAGAATTGGACTCAGTTATTATGTCCCCCTTTACAGTTAAGCACCTTCTGGCTGTCAGTGTTCAGCTTCGTCCACATGGTTGAGGGTTTTAATTTGCAAGCCAGGTTCCCGCATTTCTCTTTAAGAATCGGTTTCCAAACAAAGAATGAATTTCAGAATGTTCCACAATTCTGCATAATCCCAAATTGCAAGACAACGGTCTTGAGGCTAAGACCAGGAGAATTTGGGACCCTCACAAACATGTAACCTCCGGTGTGAACCACATTTGCAGGACCCAATGGTGTCGGTACAAAAATATGCCTGTAGGAATGTGGCACAGAACTTTCTTTTTAACCTGGTCCTTATTGTGGTTAAAATTTCAGGCCCATCATCCTGGACCCCGCTGATCCAACAGGGAACATGGCGGAAAAGGTACGATGGGATCTGGTGGCAAGAGAAGCACGACGGTGCTTGCAGCAGACGTGTGTCCAAGGTGTCGTTGGCTGGAACGTTGAGGTAAATTAGACTGTCTCAAGTCAGACAATGTCTCCTGGCTGTAGTGTCTGGTACAGTGTATATGCTTCAGGCAGTACTCTCCGAAACCTCGGCTTGAGGGCACCCATTTGGGGAAATTCTTAGCTTCGGATTGTAGAGAGCTCAGATAAACAGCAACATTAACACTATGGTTTGCTTCTGCAGCATTG